AAGTTCAAATTAATTTAAAAGAAGATTATATATATTTAGGAAATGTTTATATTTAATTACCTGTATACTAATATAATGGAAATTTTCAATATTTCATTATTAAAGTAATAATATTATTATTATACAGAGTGCCAAATTCAGAACTTTCTGAATTGTGATATATATTATATAGCATGTCAAATTCATTAATTTCTGAATTGTGAGCTTTTCATATTAATATATATACTTACATATTATTCTCCAAAAATATGAATTCATACAAAATACATATCTGTACAAATAGAATAAATCGGAAAATGCCTGAATTTATAATTGCCTGTTTTGATTTACGGACGGAAGGATGAGGAAAGTGGGTGTTAGAATGCACTTTACTTGTCATCAAACGTAATTATGATAGTGAAATGATACTTATTTAATTTCCACAAAAACCAGGCAATACCCATCGTCTCATTTCCTTTTCCTCTTGACCCAAAATTAAAACTATTAATTAAAAGATGTGTAAGTTTCAAAATGCCAAGTGCGCAAAGGATAAGTTAAAGGGACAATAACACTCTTGCTGGCTTGAAAGCTCCAGAAAATAAATAATATCTCTATCTAAGTACTAGATGTTTAAGTGTCCTACCTGTTGTGTAAATTATCCATTACATCCTATTTTACTTGTCCAGAGGGTTCGAAAATATTTTTAAATCGAAGTTTCATTTGAAAAGGTTTACGTTAGACGTTTTAAACCATTATGTTGAATTTTTCAAAATTGTTAAATAAGGTGTGTTAAGATGAAATTTGTATCATCAATTAATTGAAATATTCTAAAATAGTACAATTTGTTGACCAGAATAAAGATTGGGACATATTATTCAGTTACAACAAGAGTGGTATTGAGCCTTTAAGACATGGATTAAATGGGGTTTAACTTTTCTGCACCGACTCGTTTATAACCCGAGACGAGCATACGCCACACAGTGTGCTATGAGGGAAATTCATAGTGTCAAGGGTTCTTTTACTTTCACGCCTATGTGTATACTAGACCTAGGTTTTTGTCCCATCCGATCGACTAGATACTTTCCAGGTCAGACCTTAAGTCCTGCTCCATTGACGAGGGGAAACCACACCGTAAAATCTCGAGGAACTCTCTCGGTCAACCCGAGACCTATGGTTAGCAAGCCAGCGACTTACTGAGTCACCGCGTCTTTCTATACAGTTAATATTTGAAACCAAACCCCGATTTTCCCCCCTTGATACTGAATATAAATAAAGAGACCGGGTACTTACACATTCATTTTACATACAGAAATATGTGCATTTTACAGTGTTAAAAAAAACCAGGTAACTGACAAAATACAGACTTAAACGTGACGTCCATAATTTCAACCCGGTTTTCTCCGACTGCTACGCGCAAGCGAATTATTGAAATAAAATAAAATGTCGAGTGGACGTTAAACTATCTCTCTCTCTCCCTCATAATTTCAAATAATGCATGGTACGGGCAACGGGTCAATCGTTACATTATTTAAAACAATCTGTTTCAGGGGTATTGTAATCGCAGCCTAGCGAATAATCACTGCTGATTAGGTATCTATAAATCAAAATGTTTGATAAATCAAAGATCACCCTGTGCGAACAAAATCAATTGGTGTTTACGACCTGTTCTTATTTCTGCTTCCATGTCAGGAGATCTTGAACGTTCTGCCATGTCATGCAACACTAGGGAGTCAGCACAATAATCACTGAGTCCAAACAAGGTCTGGAGATCCGATAGTCGTAAGGATCCAATTCCATAATCTCTTGTAATACGCTACAGAAACCAGCACCTGTTGTAAACTATATAATTAACCTTGGATATTCGTTTATTTCACCCTGTATCATATACATTCCATTGTGTAATAAACTAGTAACTTTAACCTCTTCTGCGTCTTCTATTTCTTAAGTCCTTCCCGTTGCCAGCAGAAAATAGGAACTTCTCTGTAGATTCCATCGAATGTGGTCTAAAGCTACTTCCTTTGCTACTCCTTGTGACACACTGAAATATGGTGATAGGAGACATCCTTCTTGTCACCACCTTATCCCATTTCTACCATAACAGATCTGGGCCCGGTTCCTAGAAAATTCTTAAAGTAAGCACAAAGTCATGCTTCACTTTTTCTTACGTAAGAAACTTATAAAAATACCGTCCCTAGAAAATTCTCAAGACCATTCTTACGTAAGCACAAGTCAAGTATAAGTCTAAGCACATTGTGACTGGTAAAGTTTACCATAAACTGAGACTAGGATGCTCTTTAACATCATAAAAACAACTTTGGTATGCGAATTACGTCATAAATTTGTTGTCCGCTTCATTGACGTCATATATATATGGTTGATTTAGATGCATTTGACATGTCCCCTATTAAATTCTTTACAACTGCAAATACCATAAATGATTCTCACTCCGGTAAAATGGTGCAAAGACAAAGGAGATGAAATTAAAATGTCTCAGTTGGCCCCGTTGTATTGTTATGGGGTGGGGGTGGAGGGTCGGAATAACCAGATATTTTATCCAAAGAATGTGTCAATTCTTAACATTATCATTAGCATCATTTGTTTTAATGCATAAAACAATTAAACTACATTTATTGTGTCTTAAGGTTAAATTCTTTGAAATTCTAATTAGCTGACTGGTAAGTTCTGCACATGGTTAATTGACTGACGGGTAGATTCCTGAGTCCAGTCAATTTCAGTTGCCCTCGAAAAACTATTACACTTTGCTATTATAAACCAATCCAATAGAAAGATTGATGATTGCCCCTTTTTTTCTGATCATCTACAATTATCAAATTCACTGACTCTGAAAACTTAATAGAGGACATATTACAAGGCATATCAAACAGATAATTCACGATTATCCTTAAATTTGATCAATATTGGCAAATACTGGCCGCCATTTTGAATTTCCGCCATCTTAGATTTTAGAAACTCTTTTTTATTTTAGTTTGATTTTAAGTTCAATGACTTTGAAAACTCTTTATATTACATATTACACACCATATCAAATAGTGAAATGACTTTTATCTGAGAAATCGGCCATTTTAGATAAATGTTGGTTGCCTTTTTGAACTTCCGCCATCTTGGATTTTGGAAACTATTTTTTTATTTAGATTAATTTTAAGTTCAGTAAACCCTTTAAATTATATATTACAAACCAAATCAAACAGTGAAATGACTTTAATCTGATCAATCCGCCATTTTGAATTTCCGCCATCTTGGATTTGGGGAAACTAGTTTTAGAGATTATTTTTCAGTTCAATTATAACAAAAACCTTATATTTGATTTATTACAAGGCATACATTTTGGCGGCCATTTTTGAAATCAGGCAAACCCCAAACGAAAATGACGTCATAGATAAATCTTTTTTCAAAAATCGTGTTCAGCTAGCAATTTTGCATCTGGAAATTGCTGGCCTGAAATGATTTGTAAAGAAATGTCTTATTGTGACACCCCATGTTATATGTATATCAATGAATAGGCGGCCATTTTGGAAAAGATGGCCGTAACGACCATCAGGGGGAGCTGCTGAGGTGGATCCACATCCCAAAATAATCAGTAGGGTTGATGCCATCTATGTGCCAAGTTTCATGCTTTTAACCTAAAGTGCACAATTTTTTGCTTAACCGCCCCACTATATAGGCCTACACATATAAAATGTGCCACAAGATAAAAAACGCAGACACATACAAACTAACTGAATAATTGTGAAAGTGCCTGATCTTAAAGTAGCCTGTGTGTTTGTAGCCTATTGCTTCCTAATTGGCAAATAAATAAAATGGTTTAAGGGTAGGCCTAGAAGCGAAATTTTCTATAGCATTCTTAATTTGAAATTTCTTCTGGAGAAGGATTTTCTCTGTCTTGTAATTGTCTCTTTGGTATGAAAAGGTGTCGGAAATGCCTTCGAATAACTCTACGGTCAGCCATCTTTTTGAAGCAGAAACAGACTTAAGGTTGGTAAGCAAGCCATATACCTTGCTTGGGACTTGTGCTTAGATTGACTATGTTTAAGAACGAAGTTGTGCTCATGTTTTTTCTTGGAACGCATAATAACGTTCTTGTGCTTACAATGAAGTCTACTTAATGTTAAAATCTAAGCACAAGAACGTTCTTAAGAATTTTCTGGGAACACAAAATAAGGTAAGTTTCTTAAATGCAAAGTCTACTTAAATCTAAGCACAAGAATGTGCTTAAGAATTTTCTAGGAATCGGGCCCTGAATAGATCTGTGTTGAGAATTATGGCAGCATATAAAGCAGTGGACACATTAGCCGAATCCTTCGCGCCGAATTTTATTCGGCCGAATGGGTGGACACACTAGCCGAATGCATCGCCCGATTCAACCTGCCGATTGCATCACCTTTCACGTCACATGATTAAACATGGCGGCGTCTATGTCTTCACTGTATCACGTGACTTCTCGATATGAGTGGTGATTGGCTAATGAATTCTATATTCGGCCGAATGCTTCGGCGAAGCGGACACACCAGGCGAATATAATTCGCCCGAATAAATATTCGGCCGAATTTCTAGTGGACACACTAGGCGAATTTCGACGCCGATTGATTCGGCCGAATCATTCGGCTAGTGTGTCCACCGCTTTAGATGCAAAATCCATTATCCAGTCCAGTAATTTGTTTTACATTTGAACAATAATTATATATCTATCCAGTCAAGTACTTTGTTTTGAGTGAACAGGAATATGTCTATCCAGTCCATTAGCCTACTTTGCCTTACTCTTTTATTTGTAGTATTTCATACATTGTAATTGATTGCTTTACTTGTTCCTCCAGGGGATCTTATTCCTTAGTCATTTTGCCAAATAAAGATTTCTTCATTCTGTTATAACAAGTGAATTTAGGTATTTGTGATTGGAGAAGGTTCAAAGAAATGCGTCTTCTATACTCTAATTAATCAAGGGCAATAGATTCAAATATCCACAGCAGTTGTGCATTAGGCTGTAGAGAGGACAACAACATTAATTTGTGTTTATTTCAATTTATTCACCTTTTAAAAATATTAACAATGTTTTCAAAGCACTTTATACACATTCCATAACAATATACTTTATATAGCAATGGACTGACACAAAATTATCATACATAAGCCTAGGAAATTTGTGCACTATATAACTGCATAAAACCCATTTTTTGTATTATTGAAAAACCAATGATGGACAAAAACACAAAATGAACTTAAATTAGTCGTCATACCATCATTAATTTTATACATAAATTCATATAATATTTAAGGAATGAATGAATGACTTTTATCTTGTATGGAAATAACAAAATATGAGCATATTATTTCTTATTTCAGATATGGACTCACAAAATAACCTGTTCTGCTGTACACAGTCCATTTAAAATAAATACTATCACTTAACAATAGAAATGACATGACATGATGTATAATGTTAACATATCTATGTTATTATGAGACTGACAAGAACAACTTTGTTCCATACAATATGAGGACTAACACACACACACAAAAATAGATGAATCAACATTTTTCATGAGTAATGAGGACGATATGAAAATATGTGAAAATCAAAAACATATAGCGATATTTTTGGGAGAACAAAAACTGTACAGAATTTACAATATTACGGTGTTATTCAAAATGTCATTGCCACTGAAATTTCAAGAATGGGTAGACATGGTTTATTCATTTGCCTCACTGCCTAAAGAGTTGTCTTCCCATTGTGATAACCAATTTCCTAAACTAAATATAGTCTAGATAAACAAGAAATCCAGGAAAAGGTAGTTACTGTTTTGTGAGTACTTTGTAAATGGTAAACATGACTGTTGAAGCATTCATTGAAGCTTGGTATTTTATGCAGTAGAGTCACCATTTATAAATTAACAACCATAAGATTTGTATAATAATTGGTTATTCTATTGTTGAGATATATCAGATTTAATAGTTTCTTTAGTTACACTCACACCATCTCGAGCCTGTTTAAAATACTGAATACTCAGTTTATGTAATTGAGTGTCTACTACAGCTGGATTGAAAACTGGAGCCTGATCTAAGCACTGAAATTGCAAATAACAGAATTTCATCAAAATGGCAACTGTTTCTTTCTGTGTAGAGTCTATTGTCAGGTGGATAGGGAAGGTCTGAAATTCCTTAATGTTTGAGGATACATTTAGTAATTAGCTTTACTGCTGAGTATTTTAACAACTTGTCCTCATCAACATTATTGGAATTTCCCCAGACAAATTTTCTGTCTAAAATTACCTCCCAACCAGTCTGACAATCTATGTTCCCAAATATGTTACAGATAACAAAATGAAATGAAATGGGGTTTAACGTCCTACTGCTCCTATACTGGGCTAATGAAGACGGGCATACGCCATACAGTGTGCTATGAGGGAAATTTTGCCCGGGCAGCGGCACTATCGCCTACTCTTATATCGAATTCCAACTGCCAAGGGATCTTTTCCTTGCATTCCAATGTATACACGGGACCTCGGTTTTCTGTCTCATCCGAAGGACTAGACAGCTGTCCTTGTCAGGCCCTCCGTCCTGCATCACTGACAAGGGGAAAACACGTTACAGATAACAATGTATATCCAAGACTTTACAGTTGAGACTACAACCTATCCATTTACGAGATCAAATCGAATCAGTTAACCTTTATCGATCCAAAAGGAATTAAATTTATTTTAAAGGGATCTGTAAATTGGGGCAGATTCAAAACTGCGCTATAAAACACAATGTGAAAGAGACCATTTTCAGGGAACTGAGGAAGCACTATCTGTCCTAAACTACTTGTTAATATGTATATATCTCACCTTATCAACTTTACACAGCTGCCGTCTGATTTCAAGATCACGACGGGCACACAATGCTCGTCTAAATGGACCAACATTCTTTATTAAATTAGCCCTGTCTTTTATTTTCTTTACCGCTGAGGAATGGAATGCAGCAATATCATGTTCAAATTTAAACACAGGTTTTTCACCATCTGGAAAACAGATTAAGAAATATGTATTTGCCTAATATGTAAATCTTTATGGGCTTGCTTTCCACAACTAATGATAGCAACATACTGTCATAGTGATGCTTCTCTTTGCAGATTGGGGCCACGTTATTTGTGCAGTAACGTCATTTGACCCTTGACTAGAATGTCCCCAATTGGAATCCCAGTCTGGGCCCCTGAGTAAAACCTTGAGATTTTATGAGTCCAGTTCCAACTTTCAGGTGGCACAAAAATCTGAAATATTTACCATTATTCTCTGCATTCTCAAGGTCCAATTGCTTCTGGCATTCTTCTATAACTTTTTTATACATCACTTCCCCGGCATATTTGCGTGATACACCAATCTGTGATAGTATATTATGTGGCTTAAATCTATTTAAAGCTGAACCTGTGGTTGGTTTAGGTCTGGTATCTTTCTGCAGACTTGACCAATCAATATCAAGAACATCAACAATACCTAAAAATACCAACATAATTTAAACAGTTTCATAAATTGAGTCCTAGTGCATGTGATATATTATTAAATCATTCACAGTTAATGAGCATTTTGAAAACTTGCTCTTTAAACATCAACCTTTGTCATACTGAATTGGCGAACCCCAATAAAAGAAATTGATCTCCCATCACCATGAACAGGTAAAGTAATGTAATTTTAATATCCAGCTCTGGCCTTTGTTCTGTGACTTACATTAAATATGTCTATTGTAGGTTTTATGTTGGCTTCAAATGTTATATAAATTATTATTAAGACATTTTATTACATGACAAGCCTATAATCAACTCTCTAGTCCAACGGGTGGCGTACAGGCAAACGATTTTAAATATGATTGCCATTTAATGATTTATTTAAAAATGGAGAAGCAAGGCTGAGTCTCGGGTAACAAGTAACTTTGCTATGATAATAGACAATCTATTCAAGACTTCAAATAGTGATAACATCGCTTGGAATAAAGTAATTTGAATGAAATTTTCAATATATTAATTTTGAAATATATTTTTTTGAACTACTATAGCAAGAATGGGAAGTTCTTTACCTAAAGCTTACAAAACACATGTTTAAGACACAGAATTTATTGTAATGTTCTTACCCACTAAGACCATTCCTCCTAAAGCCATTTATGATATATTTTGTTTAAAGGTTAAATTTTAGGTATGTAGACTGATTGACAGGTCAATTTTCCAGCAGGTCAATTTCAATGCTAGTCAGTCATGACTAGCAAATATGACTGAAATGAGGCATAGCCCTCCACTATACCAATTACAGCTGGGTAGATTAGAATTATGGAATAAAGTGTCTTTTCAAGAAGACAAGGAATCAACAGCCAGATAAAGTGAGAATGGAAACATGCAACTGTATGGTTTCAGGTCTTAGCTCACTAATCTCTTTGCTATTTTCCTCCATCTACTGCTTACATAATCTTTAATTTTACAAAAGCTCTTACTTTGTTTTTCTTTCTTCTTATTTTCACCGTCTTCATCCATGAAATTTTCTTCTTCTGATGAAATCGACTCATAATCTATTGCTTCTTCATCTGTAAATTATATTATGATACAGATTAAAATGACACATCAAATGTATATAAATAACATTTTTTGCTTAAATAAACTATGCAGATTTAAAGATGTCAGAGAAGAATGGAAGATCAATAACCAAAAGTTTGAACTGAGTTTCATGATTGGACAAAAAAATTGATTTTCGTTGAGTTTCCCTGATCTGCTCAACCTAAAATAAGGTCAAATTCTGTTCTGGATTCCAAACTCACCCATTGAATCTAAATCTTTCTTTGTAATATCATCAGGTACTTCTGGTACATTTCCCACAGATCCAACTGAATTTGTATGTGCTCTAAAATGCAGAATTTAACAAGATATATCACAAATATTTAAATATATACGCAGGTTTTAAGATAAAACTTTCTGTAGCATAAAAAAAACCCTCAAACTATAATTTAAACAAGCCAACAGTGACGCTGATGTCCCTAACCGCAATCCCAAATAAAAAGACGACTCATATTAATTAATTACACGCGTGCCTTTATCTTGTTCCAAAGCATTGACCAATAAAATTGCTTAGCTCTGATTAGGTTTAGCGGAAATTGTTAAAGGAGCTAAATAACTAATATTTGGGACCTAGAAATTGACACAAATGGGTCTCAATGAATATTATATAATGTAATATGAATGATTTACATTCAATCGTTTTAGTTTTTAACTGATTTCTAATCAGTTATGTTTGGCGAAGTTTGAACATTCTAGCTGAATTAGAAGGAGAGTTATTGTTTTCCAAAGTCTCAATCAATCAAATTGCTTATAGCTCTGCTTAGAAAATGCTCATTATCGAACATAGTCAAGGTATTGATGTAATGAAACTATACACCAAGTTTCATAACTCTACATAATTAGAACCATATGTTTCATGTCTCAACGCATCAACAATCAAATTGCTTATCTCTGCTTAGCATAAGCAGAAAATGCTCATCTTCGAACTCCATCAAGGAATTCACCTAATAAACACCTACACCAAGTTTGACCATTTTAACTCAATTTGGAGAGTTATTATACCCCAAAATTTGTGATGGACAGACCTTTGTTAATAGTCCCCTGCTTTCTTCAAAAGGTGGCTGACAAATAAGAATGGAGATTAATGTTGCATCATCACAATACCTGGGTTATTTTGAGACTAACATTTAGTAATTATATTATTTCTATGGTTACTTGGTAGGACAACTTTGCCCAGACAGTAATGTTCGATTTCCTACCGACACAGCTTCTTGTAAGCACACTCTGATGTGTTCATGGATTTCCATCCTATCCAAAAGATTAGACACATTTTCCTTGTCAGCCAAGTAAATGTCAGCCCTGACAAGTGACAGACAGGCTTTGAACCTGGGACATTCATGTCAGTCACCACATCAATCTAAGACAAACATTATAAGCTTAAAGCACTTTAGCAGTGGGAGAAAGCTGGAAAACAAACTGATGTACTAAAGCAGGCAATCAAACTGGAACAGAAAGCAATACAAGTAAAATATGATTAGCTTTTGGGCTCATGTTGGTTTTGCTGTGAGCTTTAGAACCAGCAATGGCAGTTATTTATTAAAATATTTGGTTCTTAATATAAACATACTTTTCTGGTGCGGCTGTTTCAGAAGTCCTTTCACTGGTTTTAACCTGCTTTTGTTCATCTTGATGACTGTGTTTACTTCCTCTACTACTTCTACTGGGACTTCTTCTCTTCCTTTCCTCGTCTTTAATACTTTTTACAGCAGGTTCCTGGTGATACAGACAATTACAATACAACTAATACTGTATAATAAGACTCATTTTGTAAAATAAAACTCAGATATGACCCTTGAAAAGAGATCTTTGACTTGGGTCAACTATATAATTGTCACATTCATTGAATTTTGAATGTTCTTTGTTTTCTCGGATGATAATATTTCTTTATTGAAAATTTTGAGATGATTTCGTTTTCCAATGTTAATATAGTAAGCCAAAATTTAAACTCAAAATAGTAAACAAGCTCACATCCACTTAGTCTTTCAAGACAGATTGTATAGAACTTGTTCCATCACTAATCCAAATAACACATCTGAACAACTTAAACTCCCCGAGAGCCATTAGCAGAAGGTTATGGATTTTCTCACACTGTCGATTCATAGTACTATTAATAAATTTCAACCGTACATACAAGTTCCAATTCTCAGTTCACAGAATGACCCATTTCAGTGATAATGTAGTAAATGACCTCTCTGATTAAATTTTATTTGCTATTCACCTGAATTAAAATGTCATTAGCCTCATCATCATCTGACCAATCACTAAAAACTTCCTTTGATTGATCTAATTGGTTTTCATCTTCAGCCAAGGAATGACTAGATTTATGATCAGGTGATAAATTTTCAGCAGCTGGAGACATGGGTGGTTCTTTTTGTTCTTCAGGTTTGGCTTCTTCATCTAAAAATAACAAAATCCTATCATAATTTTCTATGAGCACTCGACAGGATAAATGCTAACATACAGAAATGGTTTCACTACATATGCATGAGATATTGAAACCGGGTTTAACACCCATCCAACTCAAATTAGGTAGTTTTACTTCAATAATTCTCTACTCCCACCACATATATGCATATTACCTGCAGAATATTTATTTTAGTTCTATTCAAATTAATATAGTTACTGTACCATCGGTTAATTTTGAACCTTTCAATTTTTTAGATGTATCGTCATCAGACTTCCGTTCTTTAGATGAAGATCTGGATCGTTTCGATTGTCCTCCTCTATCAGACAAGTTATCTCCCTTATCTCCTTTCTCTGACCTTGAATCTTCTTTAGGGAATGGAGGCTATAAATAGACAATATAAAATAATCTTTATTCCAGATCATGTATATTTTGCGATCGACTTTTGGGAATAAATGTAGTGTAACTTCGTCACAACATATTAAGCGACTGGAATGGAATGAAATGAAATTGGCCTAATGGCCCACTGGGCTAATGAAGACAGCATTTATTGACTGACACCTATTATCTAAAATTTTCTTATCAGTCTACTGGTGTTGAACATATTGAGTTGATTTTTTACTAAATCATGTTTTCCTGAATTAGTAAACTTTAAAGTATTTGATTGAAGATTGGTATATATCGAAATATAAGATCAAATTCATGTTTAGTAGGATATTGTCAAGCCATAGTTTAATGTTGGAGTCAACTGTCTGCAATTTAACAGTTTCATCAATCAATAGATCTTTATCTTATTTCTTTTCAAATACTGTTGGCCAACAATGCATAGAGAGGACTTCCTTTTTTTACGGGTCTACCATATATATGTGACTTGTAGTGAATGTACTTGAACAATACCTGTACGTTATCAGTCTTCTCTTTTATAACTTGATCAATTGTTTTTAATCTGTCATGACTTCCACTGCGACTTCTGTTTTCTTCCTTCTTTAGCTCACGTATTTTGTTCTTTGATCGTGAACGACTAGATTGGCTACGAGTGCCTACACTACCATAACTACGAGATGAATGTGCTGGAGAAATATCTCTAGGTCGTTTGTGGACTGGTGAAATGGACCTTCTCTCTGCTTCATGGTGACGTTTTCTATAAAAGTTTTAAAGAGTATTAGTTTCAATGAAAGAGATTTCATCACTACCAGACCTATATAAGCCTATACCTCTCTTGTCTCTTAAATATCAACGTAAAAAACAGCAAGGGGAATGAGCTATTTACCAAATGCTTCATACAGTATCTACAATTACAAACTTGTACTATTACTTTTAGGATCCGATTGAAAGCAAAAACACTAATATGTTTAATGACTTTCAAATACGTGTACCTTTATTGCTCAATATTAAATCTTACCAACAATTAAGATTTAATATTGAGCAATAAAGGTACACGTATTTGAAAGTCATTGAACATATTTAATGTAATGCTTAGATATCATGAAATACAAATAATAACCTTTATGGTCTTATTTATTAGAATACTATTTACTTTTCACTATTTTGATGAATGTAATTAATTACTTTTAATATCTGATAATCAGTGTTAGGTAGGGGTGTATTATACTATATGTTGGGTAATGGAATGATACACATATCGTTATGGGTATGATACACATAATACACATCGTTGGTATTGTATACATATCGTTGGGCCTCATATCGGTATGATAATACACATATCGTTGGGCCTCACACAAGTATGATACATATATTGTTGGACCTTATTTTGGTTTTACTGGGTCTCATATCCGTATGATACACATATTGCTCTGCCTCATATCTGTATGATACACATATTGTTGGGCCTCATCGGTATGATATAAATATTGTTGTTCCTCCTATCAATATATACCAATAAACAGGTGAATCACACCAGCACTACTAAACTCATCAATGTTAACCAAATAGTTGGCATTATTTAAAATAAACTGACATTTAAATGAAAAGAAATGGGATTTAACGTCCTACTGTTTTGCTCCTGTACTGGGCTAATGAAGACTGGCATATGCCATACAGTGTGCTATGAGGGAAATTTTGCCTGGGCAGCGGCACTATCGCCTACTCTTATATAGAATTCCAACTGCCAAGGGATCTTTTACGTGCATTCTAATGTATACACGGGACCTCAGTTTTTCATGTCATCCGAAGGACTAGACAGCTGTCCTTGTCAGACCCTCCATTCTGCACCCTGACATTTAAAACACATACTTTAAAGGTCACTGGAAAAGGTTCATAAATTTTTTAAATAATGCAAGTAATTATGTCAACATATCCTTTCCATAAGTAAAACACGCACCTGAATGTCAATATTACCTGCAACAGGCAAATTTCAACGTTAGCAATTTCCGCCATTCTCCGTGGGTAGTCGTAACTTTCCGTAAATGTGACGTCATTTTAGTCCTTCTGCTCATATTCTAGTCTATATTTCTATGTGCAGAAGGACTAAAATGACGTCACGGATTGCTTATTGACGGAAAGTTCCGACTGCCAACAGAGAACGGCGGAAATTACTAATGTTGAAATTTACCTGTTGCAGGTAATATTGACGTTCGGGCTCGGGTTATACTTATGGAAAGGATATGTTGACATAATTACTTGCATTATTTAAAAAAAAATTGATGCTTTTCCGGTGACCTTTTAACTCAAAACAACAAAAGTTACCAAATACATACCTTGAGTCACTTTTGGTTTTCTCGCTATCTGGCTTATGTTCTGATATTTTATCAACATCTGCATCTGGAGACGTCTTATCTACATCTTCTCTCTTCTTATCATTTCCCTCTTCATCTCTTCTTCTACTTCTATCACTAGCTCGAGATTCTCGTTCATGATGACTTAGACGATCTTCGGAATGTCGAGAAACTTTCTCATCATCATTTTTCACTCCTCTACGATCTCTTGGGCTGCCATCTTCTCTAACACGACCCTCCATTCTAGATTTATCACCTGTTCTTGATGAACGGTCCATATCGCGTTTTCCTAAATCGCCATCTTTTGATTCTCGCTCTAATTCATCCTGACGCCGATCACCCTGGCCTTTATCTTCTAAATCTCGTCTTGATCTTCCCTCCATACTTCTTTCTGATTTAGCATCATCACGGTCATCTCTTTTATCTCTTCTGAATTTATCATCCCTTTCGTCTCTAAGACCTCCTCGTCTATCATCCAGTTTATCATCTCTGATTCTGGGTTCATCTCGTCCTCTATTACGTGAGCCTTCTCTCTTATCACGAGGATCATCATCTCTGTCCCCTCTATCAGAGCGTGTCGCATCATCTCGATCTCTTAAATCCCTACCTCTGTCATCCCTTGCACCTCGATCAAAACTAGGTTCACGATTATCCCTTGGTCGTTCATCGCGACCATCTGGCCGCCTCATAAAAGGTGGAGACAAATCACGTTCTCTTCTGTCCATACTGCCATCTCGTCTACTAAGTCTATCATCACGGAAATCTGGCGGACGACGTTCATCACGTGGTATCCAGGGCTCTCTGGGAGGTCTACCATCATCACGGAAAAGACGGTCATCCATTCTCCTATCATCTCTAACATGGTCTCGTGGGATGTCTCGTCTGTCATCACGTCGTGCATCCCATTCATCCCATTCTCTGCGACCAAGTCTGCCAGCAAAATCTCTTTCAGGATAGCGACCTGAAGAATAATAATAAAATATTCTTTTTCTAACTTATTTGGGCTAACATGTAAATCAAAAAAAAAGCTATGCTACAATTGAAAATGCATTTGAACCTCAAAGATTTGTTTTTAAAAATGTACAATGAATACATATTACCTCTGATATAAGGTCCTGGTGCGAGAGGGGGCTCATACCCGGGTGGTGGACCTAAAAAAAAAAACAAACAGTGAAAACTTATTTTTAATACCTTCATCTACTTGTAAAACATAATGGAGTACAAAAAGAAAATCCATGTAAACAGAAAATTTAAATTCTAAACACTATTATTGTTTCTTTTGTTTTATACCATGTGCATTATGCATGTCACATGTGCAGCTGTGTAATCATTTAAGACATTTTTTCAAGTTTTCTTCTTACCTTCTAGTCCCCTACCTCGTCCCCTGTCTCTAGGTACTGGTCCCCAACCTCTTCCTCTACCTCTATCCCATGCAGGTTCATGATATCCAGGTCTTTCAAATGGTGGAGAACGCCTTGTATCTGTCAAAATGGGAAAAAAACACCAATTTTGAATCAACAATTGTTTGAAAGATGGTACAATCGAATCCAAAAAGGTAAACTAGTTATCAACTAAAAAATATTCATAATTCATTTATCAACTCACCCTCACGCATTCTTGGTCTGTCGGGTGGATATCTATCAATTGGATCACGATCTCTATCATAGGCAGGATCCAAACGTCCCCGATCTCTTGGTCCAAATACATCTCTTTCAATTCTTCTCTCAGGATCAAATCTATCAGGAAATGTATCATATCGAGCTCTTTCTCCTGGACCAGGTCTAAAGTCTGGTGGAGGACGACCATGTCTCCCAACATCTCTATCCCGTCTAAGATCAGGCGACAAAGATCTATGCAGCGGAGATCTTCTGGGATCAAATTCTGGTCGTCTAATTTCATCTCTTGGATCACCTCGTCTGAAATCATCTCGTTCAGGGCGTCTAATATCATCTCGTTCACCTCTTCTTATTGGATCATCTCTTCCTTCACCACGCCTGATATCATCTCTTCCTTCACCTCTTCTTATATCTTCCCTACCATCTCTCCGAGGTTCATCTCTAGTATCCATCCTTCTCGGATCATCTCTTCCTTCCCTTCTCATATCTTCTCTACCATCATCTCTTCTTCTTATGTCCTCTCTTCCTTCAGGTCGTCTCATCTCTTCCCTGGGATCTGGACGTCTTGGGTCATCACGACCTTCATGTCGACGTACATCTTCTCTATTATCTGGTCTTTTAGCTTCATCACGTACAGGTCTGCGCTCTTCAGGGGATCTTTCTGGTCTCCTTTTAACTTGTTCCTCACGTTCCCGCCTTCGTCTTTCATCTGGAGATTGGTTACGTCCACGTCGATCACGTCCCGGGGAAGAAGACGTCGAACGGAAAGAATCTGGTGATGGCCCTCTATCAAAATTTTTGCGGCCTTCTTCGGGGTCATCCCTGCGGCGCTTCTCTAGTGAAGTGTCTCTACGTGGTCCTCGAGGGGGTGAACCTCTCATCTTTACAGGTGGTGGTGGAGACTCTGATGATTTCTTACGTACTTTCTTGACTTTCTTAGGAGGGAGAATTTCCTCACGTTTTTCTCTTTCTTTATTCTTTGCTGGGAGTTTTTTCTTCTTTCTTACTTCAGGGCTTGATGAACTTGAACTGGACGAGTCCGAACTTGATGATGATTCATATTTTTTCTTTCCTCCTTTTCCCTTTCGACCTTTACTGTGAGACCGGCTCTTTCGTTCGGGAGAAAATGATCGTCTGTCAAATGAAACCGGAGGTTGGATATCCATTTTCTTTTTCTTACCCTTAACTTTGTCTTTCCCCTTTGGTGAAATTTTCTTTTGCTTCCTTACAGGAGAGGCTGGTGATGGTGACCTTGATGGTGATTTTGACCTTCGTCTTTTTCCCACAGGAGACTGAGCTTCCTGTGCAAATCGGTTCACTTTTATCAATTTTTCAGCTTTTTTCTCTGAACGAGGAGAATGTTTTTTCTTCTTGATGGGCGAGTCAGTTTCTATTGACTTTTCTGCCATAATTTGTTTTGCTAATTTCTTGGCTATTTTTAATTTCGTTCTTGGGCTATCCTCATCCTCACTTGGTGCCGATCTGAAATTATAAAATCAACTCATTTACAATACATTCACAATTTTGGACAAGACAGAAGAAATACTACAGATTAAAGAAAGAGGATCATTTTCATTTAGATCAAAATAAAGTGTTAGTTTATGATCATCTGCTACTGCTGTGATATTTCAATTATTTTTCCATAAACAAAAGTCAAACTACTTCTAGTGTCATAGAATCACCTTGGGGCCTAAGGCTTGTACATGACAGGATAGAGTTGCCTTCCAACCTTGTGAGTTTTCTTTGGGTCACCTGGTTTCCTCCCACTGCCAAGACCCCTGAACTCAAGGGAATTACAGAAAAAAAAGGAACTGCTCCAAAATGACCTAGTTGTGTTGAGTGGATGTTAAACCCGATTTCTCCTGCTCTCTCTTATCAACCCTTAAGACTGAACAGGCAACAAAGCTTCAACCACTGATCACTGTCGAACATTTACTCACTTCTTTTTCTGTTCTTTAAGCTTGAGAGCTATTTTCTGTGGACTTGGCGCTCTAACTGGTTTGGGTACCAGTGATGCGGTCACTAATGGTGAAGATTTGAGTTTATTCTTTTTGTCCAACTTCATTTTACTGCAATAAATATTAGTCAAATTTGGGTTGTTTCATAAGTTTCCATGATTTTTTCTATCAATTTTTATTAATATGTTAAATCTTTGATAAAAAATTATCTGTATATATCTGGCAGTAAATATTATTAGGTTGCTATGGATCAAAGTAAAGAAAACATTACCCTGTACTTACAAAGGTGAAATCTTTGAGACCTTTTTAACAGGCTTTAGTCTTTCTGGACTTGACTCTGAATCTGAACGATTTTTAGCAACCTGTAAAATAATAAGAGGCCTTATCACTGTTTCCCAGAATATATTGTAATATATTGAGAACAATAGCATACCATAATATAACCTCCTCCAGTTATCAACAGAGAAATAGCAAATTTTACATGATTGTTATTCATTATCATTTTTAACTTTATTTACAAATACTCGGATTCTGAATATATTCGATCATGCAGATATCACAAAATAATTTCTAACCTGAGTGATCCATTAAAGACAAATAGTCAAATTTGCATGAGTCACTTCTTTTTGGTTTTTACATGCCAATTAATAACAATATGGTGATTTGGTGTCCTTTTTTTTTAATGTATGTGCCATACCGGTATGGCTACCTGTTAAATGCTTTCATTGGTACAGTATGTGATGTCGGTTCAAGGTGAAACCGTCAGAGCTGAATCGCAGGTCTAGTACATATTTATACCCCAGTACTTACCCTTTTTTGTATTTTAAGATTTTCAGGTTCGTCTTCAGAACCTGCTAACTGACTTAATTCTCTTTGTAATTGCTGTCTTTTCTTCTCCAACTCTAATTCTTTCTTATAATCCAACCCTTTGAATAGAAAAGTAGGGAAATGTCAATGAAAGAAAAAACGTTGCATTTCTATTATTAATTTAATTATTTATTTTGTAATAGTTCCAAAATTTTACTGAGGAAATAAATGCTTCAATCCATGATTAAATTTATTGAAGGTCTGTATTAAACACGACACAATTACATGGAAAACAAGTTACATCGTGCAAATTATGGTTGGTTAAAAACGAGGTGAGAACTATTATTAGTGAAACGTCAGTCACTACAAATAAAGAACTTGTTTTCCATATAATTTTGTCATGCTTTATCCTGAGTAAATTAATAAATACAACTGGAATGATTTATTCAGTTTTCCACTTAAGGAAATATTCTGATTACAATCTGAATTAATCTCTGCTTAAATGAATAGAAAAATGTAACGTCAAACATTGTAAATTAAACTTACTATCAAGATTCCAACTTCCAGAATCTTCACTGTCTTCTTCAGTATCAGCTAGTTTAGATTTTCTTACAACCACTGCTGATTTCATCTTATCACGTCTCGATAAACTCTCAGATCTTCGACTATCTGGTGATCGACTATCACTTCTAGACAGACTTTGATTTCTACTCCTGCTACGATCTCTTTTTCTTTGATGTCTGTTTTCTTCAGGACTACTGTCACTACATATATAATCAACATCATATTTCATATATTACAGAAAATCAAAATAAAATTTTAAGATTTAAACTTAAGCCCTTAGCAACAAATATTTTGAAGATACCAGAGATGATAGTATAAACTGAATAGTCACCCAAAAACCTTGGTATCAATAAATTTAAAGTGTAGTACTATTGTAATTATAAGCTTACCGATGAGATTTATGGCTGAATTTACACTTGGATCCAAAATGACAAGTTCCATTCAATGCCCAGTGGCGGCACACCTGAGTGCGCTACAAAAGAACAAACAAACAGCTGAAAGATTCACTTAAAATTGCAAGTTTGTCGTCTTCAAAATATAATCCATGAGCTTATGTAAGTAAGGTCCAGTGGAATTGGGTCCTATTTCAAATGTTACTTGTAGTTAGGACAGACAATTACAGCCTTAACTACTTTGATCCACAATCAGAATGGCCTTACTTTACAAAGTGTAGGCAAGATGTAGGCCTACCGGCAAAAGTTGCATTTTGTCGGAAAATATCAAATTTCTCACAGCTCCATACTAATATTAATATGTAGGCCAGTCAGATTGATTAAACATTTAATAAAAAAAAAAATCAAAATATTAATGCTAGATAATCCCCCCCGACTTGGATTCAATTAATCGGAATAACCATCAATCAGATTTCACATACATGTAAGATGACGGCAGGTGTGTTAATATCATGACAATGACATCATACAACAAGAAATAGACTTGTAAATAATCAGCCTTTCATAAATTGCAAAATGGCTTAAATCTAAATTTGAAAGAAATGTAGATGTGTTTTGCTGACAGAACATCGAACAAGAAATGTGATGATAGGTCGTATTACACTCTGCAGTCAATGGAATTTACAGTCATAATATCTTTGAACATACTCAACAGAATTAATCCATTTTTGGACGGACATTACTATATAAATTCAACTTTTAGTCTTACACTATAGTTTGCAAGAGAATCTTTATCAGCGTCACTCTACTACTACTAAATCTAAATCATAATATGTTAGTTCCTAATCAGATTCAGAATGAAGAATGTTGACGTTTTCAAACATACTATATAGCACATATATAGATCTATAGAAACTGCACAGATGGAAATACACTTAGTTGCATAGGTCTATCATCTGCAGTCTGATTTTTCACAGATGGAAATACACTTAGTTGCATAGGTCTATCATCTGCAGTCTGATTTTTTTAATACCCCACCCAACGAACTCTGGCTCTATAGGCCTAGGCCTAATAAAGTCATAATACCTCTGGCTCTGCATTATATTTTCTCTGTCCGCCACCGGGTCCAAGTCTTTCAAAGACGCTGGGTTTCTGCTTCTCGCCGTCGTCTGATACTGATTTTCCTGCGTCTACGGTTACTCGTCGTTTAGGTTTACTCATTACTAACTAACATAAATACAGTAGTATGAAGACAAACGATGCATTCAAGGCACCATTTGTTTCATGCTTTGAAACTCGGCCATCTTCTTCCGCTGAAGGGAGATAACTCTACAATGAAATCGATAGACAATAATATTACCATTACGATTTATTTTCGCTTGTATTCCTTGTTCTTGCCTTGGTTCTTTGTAACTCAACCTATGTAACTGACTATCAAAATTGTATTTTATGCAATTTGAATTTTTAGACACAGAATAAAGAACACCATGTGGAATTATTTTTACTTTTAAAATAGTTGTCTCCCTTAGGCTACATGAGAAATACTCCCCACCCCCAAAAAAACCAACAGACAGATCCAAAAGGGGGAGGGGTTGTCAATTTTCAATTTAGGGGATCTGTGCGCCCATACATTAATAAGGCCCAATCTCGTGAATATCCAACACCAAATCTTACTCAAATTCTAAAGGAGAAATCGCTGCGAAATCGATTTTCTTTGAAAATACAGACGATCACTTTGCAAGTTAAGCCTAACAATCATGGGACTAGGCCTATAGGCCTATTACCTCGAGTCATGAAATGCATTGTAGAGAAATATGGGTGCGTGTAGTAAAAATGTACAGTGAAGTTGTCTATAGGAAACATTTCAGGTCAACATTCATTCTGTTTCACAGAGAATTACGAGTCTAGTAATATCTCTGTCAAAGATGACTGCCTTAACACGCGCCATCACAGCACGCGACGTCAATCATTGGCTGAATGGCGAGTGCATTGTTTACATAAGACGTTACTGCTTCGGGCAGAATGTTACATGCCTTTTAGTCATTTTAATACCCATTTACACTAAATAGGAAATAATTTTTACCTACAAATACGTCAAACGCCTTTATTTATTTTTCCAATACATAAAAAAAAATGTTTTAGAATTTAATTTGTCGCAGGAAAAAAGTTAATATTTCTGGCTCATTAAGTCGCATCGATGTCATCGTTATCAGTGATTGTAGCGTCCTAGCGAAAATTCACTGCTGATCAGTGTGGTCAACATTAAGCAAGCTATGCCCAGTGTTAAATGCCCCATACTCACTGTGATGTGGGTATGTTAATTCCCCAGAAAAACCTTCTCAATGGTTACGTAGGCTACCTCAGAGGCTACCCTTTGAGATTTGTGTGTTGGTACCATAAGCCACTATAGTTCGAGTGCTGGTCTACATTATTGCCGAAATAGTTGGAAAAGGCATCTAGAGCATTCCATTTTTTTCAGATTTTCTGGAAATAAGCCCCGCCAGATCCCCCATTGTGGGCTTCACTACAACACTTCAATGGAGATCTGAAAATTCTGGACACCCCCTACTAAAAATCCTGGATCCACCCCTGTTGACTTTAGTATCATCTCAGCTAGTGATATTACAGGTGGAGGTGTAGGGTTTTTTTTTTCAATCATTATATGGTACTGTATTTGAAATTAAATTTAAATAAAAAGACCCTTGACACTGGATACAAAAGATACTGCTTTCTTTTTCATCTGAATGATTATGAAGGTAGTTGGCACATGGAATCTTTGCCAATGACAGACATTAAATTTGCTTGAACTCTGGGTTGTCGATCAGGGCTGCAAAGCAAAAACAGACTCGGGAACCCATAGGTCTACTCTCCCCGTAATTTTGTTTTGTTGTGAATAGGCTATAATCCATGAACAATGGCCATCACTAATAGGTCCATATCATATAATATCATTTTTAAAATCAAAGTATAATTTTTGGTCACAAATGGAGTATTGATATTTCTACGAGTCCTTGCCACAGGATCCATGGGATGCCTTCCCCATCTAAATGGATCTGCTTGCACTGCATACACCCATCTCTCCTAGCTATAGCTCTGCACCCATACCCATTTAATACTTTCTGTATCCAGTGGTCTAAATAATTATCTGTAAAATATTTTTTTTGTTTTTTTGCAGTTTGCAGTTTGGGGATGGAAAATGAAATTGGCAACAATAGCAAATGTAATCTTGTTTTAAATTATATATATAGTTATCTTATTTACATAATTAACTGGAATATTTCTTTACAAATAAAGTTATATATTAGAAATAAACTTGTTTTAGGAAAGAAAAAAATGTTTTTGCGAATACTTTCTGCTTTATTAAGCTTCTTCAGGCAAACTTTACCAATTCCAACATGAGGTTTTAGAAAGAAAAAACTAGCACTAGCTAAGATGAAATTAGTTTTTTCCTTTTAAAAACCTCATATTTCTATATACTTTTACCTGAGAGTAGAATCTTTTATTAACTTTATATAATATATAAATCTAAATGAAATGAAATGGGGTTTAACGTCCTACTGTTCTGCTCCTACTGGGCTAATGAAGACGGATCTATGTATATGTACAATTCATTTTAATAAGTTACACATTTTATTATGAGATCACATAATTTTTTTTATCCTCTTAATTAGTTACTGGCTATGAAATGGCTTTATTCTTGAAAACTGGATGCATTTGTGTCTTAAATAGCAATCTTACATTAACAAAAGAAATGATGGATATTATAGGCCTAATTATAACTACAATAACAATTCAGTAATTTCCAGCAAATATTTCGGGAAGCGATTTTACAGTCAGTCTATTTTCAATATAGATCATGTCAAATCTTTAATCACATCGCTATAAGACTTTCAAGAATATTTTTATGTGGGATAAGAAGAACCAATGAAGTTAAACAGCATAGAGATTTTGCTTTTTATTTACATTAAGATTAACAATGTGACAACCTTTATGGACTGCTTGGGCGACTTAGCTGCTTTGGGCGTATATATTTTGTTGCCTGGCAACACATCTTTTTACAAAATGTCAACACAAGAGTGAAAATACGATTTTTGAAGCCAAATAATAAATGGCTAATGAATTTTTAAACAAAAATCAATCAGGCCTACTGCATAACAAATCAAAATGGTAATTATGATGAGTTACGTCATACAAATAAATAAAAGGTATGAGTAATAGCCATAACTGAAATATGTCAGGGCATGTGATATAAAACAGAACATAGAAAAATCCACATGAATCAGGAATTTTAATTGGTCAGTAGATTGCAGGTATGCTAGTTATACCCAAAAGCAATTGCTTAGTGGAGATTTATCAAAAGAAACACTGTTAGTAGTTATGTTATTCACTTCAAGATATCTCTCTTTTCAACCTGAAAAATAAAATATACATTTTGTAAAACAAAACCCATTATCATACAATCTCTGGTATTCATTGTTTGAAGTATTATTCATTTACTTATTTGGTAGGACTTATTATAAATTAAACTATGGTACACCATTCAATATTTTAAAAATTAAGTCTAACACTTGTCATATCATGATCAACTGTTGACTTTTTCATTACTTTTGATTCACAGACAGAAGCTTCTAACCTAATAGACGGATTAGATGTGCTGCTTTCATGAAAATATATGATACAAAAACGATATGCATTACTTAAAGTAACATTTCTGGTCATGCTAAATACCGGTAGGTATATAATCTTAGTTAAATAGAACAGCCACTAAATATGAATAATACATTTCAAAACTAACATGATTCTTGTGGTGTACTTGTTAGTGAGAGGTTACATTTAGAATCTGTCTGCATATGACTTAATCTATGAATTCTGGATAAAATAGGTCTACCTGTTTTGCTACTGCTTTATAAGCTAGTTCCCTATTAGATATTTGATTGTCTGGAGGGAGTTGTTCCCCTTTCTTCTGTAATGCTTTATCAACACACTCTAGCACCAGCTGTCTCATAGATGCCTCAATTGGTTGATTTCCACTGGGTTTCAGTGGTATGGGGTCAACACGCATTTCAACCGCAGTCACAATTCGACCTCTCCTACAAAAAAGACATTACAAATTCTATGTAAGTAGACTACAACGATGAAATCTAAATAAAACATATATTATATTTTCATTGCAGTAGTAAAAAGGATTGTCACAAACCAACTTACTAGTTGGTCACATCAGATGCCAATTTTAGTATTCGAATATTGTAAGTTATCATTTGAATATTTCATTAAACTGGAGTGATCAATATTTGTATTATTAATGTAGTTTTGGATGTCTAGAAATGCTGAATCTTTTAAATCAATATATTTTTGATCTTGATTATTTATTTTTGAATATATGTTGATTTCATTCATTTATCCTACTCTATGTCACATCACATATAATTGCTGGAGGGAGCTAGCTGCTACAATGGTTTGTTCAATCAGAATGGTTCTAGCTCAGTAATCAGGAGGTCAATCCTTATATTGGCTGAGAAAATTCCTCAGGATTTTCCAGTCTAGTTTCCCCTTTTAAGTGGTGCAGGATATTTTGGGACTAACATGGTTCTATTTTATTTCATTAATTCACTTGCGGATAGGGGTCTAAAGCAGTGGGAGGAAACCAGAGGACCCGGAGAAAACCCATGAGGTTGGACAGGCAACTCTACTCATTAGCCCAGTTAGTGCAGAAAAGTAAGACACAAAAACCCCATTTAATTTCATTTGCAATAATAGGATAAAACTTAAAAATCATATTTTAAACAAATTTTGTGGAAAGGTTTAGGTCCCATAGTACATACAACCCACTTCTAAGTTTCATACTGCCTTATGTCCACTCATTAGAATAATCAGACAATACTAAAACATAAAATATGTACCAGACTTGGAAAGATTTTGACATCATTCTACAATCTTCAGACAAATTTTTATCTGTTAAAGTCATCACATACAGATTTGTAGATTTCTATAAATTAAAAGAACAAATAAATTTGAATGATAACATTCGTATTACTCATAAATACCTACTTGTAGTAGTTTAAGTGGTACTTTTCAACCAGATTCATTGCTAATTTGTTTCAATTCCGAGACAACAGGTGATTATTGCAATGGGTTTGTCTGTCAAAAGTCACACCTTTCTAATTGAAGTAGAATGTTTGAACTTGGCATAGATGTTCATTAGATGGATGTCTTCGACAGGCTTTAGCATTTTCTCCAGGCTTTAGAATTTTCGAATTTGTTGATATACTTTGTAACACAATACAATAACATTGATTCTAATTGGGGGACATCAGTCTTACTGTTGGCTTGTTTATTTCTTATCAATTCTATTACAGAAACTAGTCTTTCATATGAGATGTAAAAAAGAAATCCCCTTGCATAAGTTGGCATCCACGTGAACAAACCCTTTGACAGTTGTAGCGCCGCTATCTGGAGAAAATTTCCCTCATGTGACCATCTCGATTAGCCCAGTTGGCACAGAAAAGTAGGACATTAACCACATTTCATTTCATTTACATTTTTATAAAAAAAACATACTAAAATGAAACATTACCTGTGAGTAATACAGTGATTTTAATTGACTATCTGATGACATCATAGTGACTTCAGCATTATTGGACAAGGGAAGCAACTTTTCGTCAACTATTAGACCAGAAAAATCTGCAAAGTAAATTGTAGTAAAAATATTATAAAGTAGAATTTATATTAGAAATCAAAATACATAATGACCTATCAGGCAATGATTAGAAATGAAATTATTGTTTATTAAACATACATTATGCAAGAGCTAAATCTGCGATGTTTACTGGATTAGGACCCCATTTGCTGCTCCACTTCTATTCTTGATTTAATCATGAAATGGATAATTGAGACGATGTTTTTTATCGTACCGACTTTAGTAATGATGATCGAGCCTAGCCCGAAAATTTAATCGCTAAAATCTCAGTTCAGAGTGGATCAATTTGACTGAAATTTTCAGAAAATTCCCTTTACATTATCTAGTTTTTAACTACTATAATGAGAACTGCCAGCACTTTATCTAATCTCCCATAATGTATCTTTATAATCATTATTGTAAAACTATTTCCTGATTCGCTTATTTTTGGGCAATCTACCCAAACAATTTATTCAATACTATTTATGTATCTAGATATTGACTTTATACTAACTTGAGACCCTTTCTGTATTATCAGTCATCAGTACAAGTTTTCCTGTGTTTAACGATATAGCTCGGACTCTTCCATTAAGCGTGATAAATAAATAATCAGAACCTGTAGGACCAAACACTCGACTCACCTAATAAATACAAATTACACAATTACTGAAGATGTTATCAGTTAATCCCATTAACATCAATATATTATATACTACTAACAGTTTTTTTAGACCCTACAGAAACATTGTCATCACTAGCTCTACATGTAACATTAATTCATGTATTTATTTCAGAAGTTACAAATGTCAAAATATAAATCGACAAATAATTCTGAAAATTATGATGGAAATATTCTTAATATTGATGTGGTTAATTCTTTACACTGTAACCCAGGTATCATTTAGTCTTAAATGATTTATGATGATTTTAAACATTTTTTACGAATTTTTAAACAAAGATTTGATATTAAACGAATGTGAAAGAAATTAGTGCTAGATACACACGATTAAATGATACCTGGGTTGCAGTGTTATGCTCCAGCAAAGCTTTTTGGAAATTCCATTGAGAACTTTGTTGCATGAAAAAAAAAGATAACTCGGTGAATGCGTTCAACTTTTATGATCCTAAATTTTTGAAATATCAAGTTTGTTTTGTTTTTTTAATTGAATGCCACATTTGAAACCACTTGTTCCCACAATAAAATAATGATTTGAAACAGTCACAGGCTCTTGTCTAAATTTAAACGTTTCATAGCTATGTTGTGTGTAAACGTCCCAAATGAAGTGAGATATATTGAATACTTACATCACAAGAAACAACATCTTCTTGTATTAGTTGTGTATATTCTGTATTAGATAACATTATATCTCTCCTTATATTACGTAATTTTAATGTCTTTAAATTAAGTATTAATACTGTCATATGAGCTCCTGAAAATATAAAAAGAAAGAACTTAAGACAAAATTTTTGTACATTTCTGTAAATAATATGTATACTGGGACTTCAATAATCCAAGCTTGCTATGAACTAAATTTCTGTATAAGGTGGATGTCAGCATAGCTCCCTATATCATTATAGTTTAGCCCTCGTATGTTATTTAAAAAGTCATAAAAACATTATACTGGTATATATTGATCTATAAATCAGCATTATATTGAAGATCCAGTCTATAATGTATATCATGGTAAACAATATCATACCTTTTGGAGGGAATTCTGGAAAGAGTAGTAGAAAGATGAGTTGTTGACCAGTAGGTGATTGTCGTACCTCTAATATCTTCTTACATCGTACCTATATAAATAAACTCTACTCTAGTAACTCAAAAAGGGAAGAGTTGGGAGGTAAAACCTGGTTAAAAGTAAGTTCTCTAACAACCTCATGCATTTTTTCACCTTTTTTTTTCTGTCTAAAGGAAAATACCATAATCCACAGATTTTACACTTAAAAGAACAAAAGCCAGTCTTCACAGAATATTTTTTTTATGTAAAAACATTCCAAATATAACTATAACATACAGATCTTTGCTATTGTCAGGCCTGTGTAAGGCTGGTGGTAATAGACCCAGGCCAAATTGGAAATGTGGGCTCTATTTCACACTTCACTTTTAATATTTAGGAATAAGTGATAAATACATTTATGTATGGGTATATATACACATAAATATTACTATTTGGTGCTAAAGGATCCCTCTTGATTATTTGTGCAGTATCAATAATCTTTACAAGAGTCCCCCTTTGCCTCGACCAAGGAGTGTCAGCCTTCTCAAAATTACAGGCTATTGAAGTCTTTCTGAAATTAAAACAGTATAATGTATACGTACTGTGACTGGTTTGTACATTCTAGTAAGATATGTAGAGAGTTGATCTGTTTTAGAATGGCGTATTACAACATTAAATAAAGCTCCTCTTTCTTTTATAGCACCTTTAGCGGGATATATTGATGTCTGAAAATGAAGCATGAAATATTTTGAAACCATCCAACAATATATTTTGAAATACCTTGGAATCTCCAATATGCTTGGGGACTTTTTAATTAATTTACTCATTAACCCCTTCAAAGGGAAGTTATTTTGATTTACTTTAGAATTAATTTGACAAAAATTTTAAAAAGATTAAATTTTCATCAAATGACTTTTGATTGACTAAATATTTTCCACTTTTGCTACTGAAATATAAAAAAAAAAAGAAAAAAAGATAATGTATGAATATATGCTGTGTTCCAAGTTGATGGGACTAGCATGAGCTGTCTTCAAAACAGTTAAGTAATGATGAAATCTTACCACAAGATTTTGCTCTCGTAATGTTTCTTCATGCCATGGATCCCCTAACATCATATTGTTTAATAAATTCTGAACTGTAAGAAAAATATACAATTTAAATAACCAAGCTACACAAAACTTATCTTGAAACTGGTACATAGCAAAGCATCTGCAGATCAGCAAACTCAAACACAAAATGCATATATTTCTATCATTCATTACATGTATCGATGTGAAACCTACCTCTTTGTCGATCCCTTGCAATTTCTTTCTGTGATTTCTTCTTTTTTTCTTTATCTGTAAACTTTATCTAAAAATTTATAAGAAAAACATAATATAAGACATGTACACAGAAAAATCATTAAAATAAAGATAGCTGTACATCTACTTATTGGCATTCAAATTTGTTTTTGTCCTTGACATTAGTCAGGTGTTCACATCAAATCCAATTAATATCGGGGGTTGGGTGGCCGAATGCTTAGCGCGTGCGCGCTGTATCACAGTGAGTCAACTGTCGTGGTTTCGATTCCCCGGTTGTACTGACCAGGAGTAGGGTTGCCTGTCCAACCTCGCGGGTTTTCTCCGGTTTCCTTCCACTGCTAAAGACCCCTGCACAAGCGATTTGTTGAAATACAATTGAACCATATGTTAAACCCCATTTCTCTCTCTCTCTCCAATTGATATCTAGTCTAGGGTTTTCTTTTCAGTCATTTCATTATTTTCTAATTTCAAAAGATTTCATGGGTCTGATGATCAGACTCTGATCCCTTTCCACAACCAAGAGAGTTCCTCAGGAATTTCCAACCTGGTTTCCAATTGTCACTGGTGCAGAACAAAGAGTCTAGCAAGGAAAAGCATTTAGACATTCAGATTGGGGCAACAAAAAAACCCCAACAACCTAGGAATCATGTAAACATTGGTGTGGATGTAAAAGAACCCATGGCAGTTAGAATTTGAAGAAGATTAGGCTGTAAATTTCCCTCAGTATGCTGCATGGTGTTTGCCTGTCTTTATAAGCCTGGTTGGTGCAGTAAGACATTAAACCCCACTTCATTTCATTTTTCATTCCCTTCTCACAAGGCACACATAAAAATTACGTACATGCAAAATGAACATTTAATGAAATAGCAACAATAATGAACTTCTGTATACGGAATATAACTAACGCTTTCTAGAACGGACCCCATGATATCACTGTACTTACGTTAGGTGCTGCTGTATCAGAAGGTGTATAAACTGTTTTAGACAAATCTAACTTTAACTTCTTAAAAGGTGTAAACCATCCAAAATTAGATAAATGTTGACTGAAAATATAATAAACAATTACAATTACATATACTTACAATCACCCATGAAATACTGTCAGTAATCTTCATTGTACAACAGTTCTAATCTACATATCAACTAATCTCTAAGTACTAAATAGGTAAAAATATCTTCTATTGTACTGGGAAATTCCACTCAAATTTGGAAAAAAATACCCCAAACCTGTACCCAACTCGTGCACAAGCAATAAATTCAAACAAAGAAATTGAAGGAGAAAATTCATTCAAAGTACTTGTCTCTCATCCATAAGTCACAGAAGAAGTGGTAAAACTATTCCTTATGAGATCATTACTGTTAGCATTTTGATGACATTATAACAGAACCAGTAGCTTTTATTAGAATAAGAAATGTTTCTAACAGTTATAATATGCCAAAAACATATTCTAAAAATAGGAAGACTGGCTGTCATTTAAATTTGGGGTTGATTTTCTTAAAATTTGTTGAAGGGATGTTTATACTTTGGAGAACATTTTGTGCTGTATTCAGATATACCAGAATTATTCACTATTGTTGTATTATGAATATATGACAAAAACTGACATGAGATATAATATTTGACTAACCTATTATAAATCCAGATATTAATAAAACCTCGTTGATCAACAGTAATCATTTTATTCATATTATCAATAAAACCCAGGTATAACACAGGATATTTATGATGACGATATAACTCAGCTTCTAAATTCTGCCCAATAGTATTCACACCATGCTCTTCACTCTGAAATGTTAAATAAAGAAAAAACTCACAATTTCACAACTAAAGTTTATAATTGTGATTTAGTATAGAGAGAGAGAGAGAAATGGGGTTTAACGTCCACTGGCACAAACTAGCAAACTAGGTCATTTGGGACTAACATATGGTTGCTTTTTTTAAAAATTTTATTTAAAAATTCGCTTGCGCATAGGGGTCTTTATCAGTGGGAGGAAACTGGAGGACCCAGAGAAAACCCACAAGGTTGGACAGGCGACCCTACTCCTTGTCACGTATAACCAGGGAATCGAAACCACACCAGTTGACTCAATGACAGATTTTATGATACAGCGCGCACACGCTAACCATTCAGCCATCCAACCCCCCCCCCCCCCCCGATTTAGTATAATTTCAAGAATTACATAAATAAGTCAAGTAGTTATATAGGGCAGTAAACTTCAAATTCCATTCTAAATTCTTTGAACAGTTGTACCGTATATGAGTCAAAAATCTAATTTTCACTAGAGCATGAATATGTAGTATAGTTATCTTTTTTACCTTCCAAAAACTCTACATGAGAGATCTTAGCAGTTTGTTATATAAACTGGCATTATGGGTGATTAGATAAAGAGCTGACAGTTCTCACTATAATAGTTAAAACATAGATAACATAAAGAGACTTGCTCCACTCTGAACTGAGATATTAGCGATTGAATTTTAGGCCTAGCCTTGATCATCATTACTAAAGTTGGTACAATAAAAAACAAAGTCATGATTATCCATTTTGATGTTAAATCATCCATCACAAATGTATTCAAATCCAGTAAACATCGCAGGCTAGGGATGGCATTGAGAGTTGATTATGGTCTGGATAAGATAATTAATGTCTAGATAACATTTAAGGCCTAAAGAAAGACCTGCAATACTGGTAGACAGATTTAGCTCTTGCATAAGGTATGTTTAACTGGGTCTTTTGGAAAATAAACCCTCTCAATATTCTAGAAATTTTGATCTCATAAGTTTATATTAATACATACATAGATATTTTCCTGGTATATTCTTGGTGCTTCTAGATAAACCACATCTTGTTGTTGGTCAACCTGGACTAATAAAGGCTCCAGATTACATTTCAACATATCACCATTATCCAGACCAACACAAACAGAATGCTGAGGAGAAACAAAAGTCAAGAATTTACATTAACATGTATCCCATTTATATACGTATTCAATTTTCAAATCCACATTTGAATGGTGGCACTGGCACACTATACAACCAGTCCATGGTTCGATACCAGTGTTGGTCAAGAAAGTTCCTTGAAAGGATTTTCTAGCCTGGTTTTTCCTTGTCAGTGGTGTAGGATGGAGGGTGTTGCAGGAAAAAAGGTCTAGTAATTTGGATGGTATGAAAACCTAAGTTCCCCCTGTGTACCCATGCAAGTTGGAATTCGATGAAGAGTTGGGAAAAATTTCCCTCATAACACACTGTATTTTTGTCTTTATTAGCCCAATTAGATCCTCTTTCGTTTTGAGCACAACATGCATTACCCTATCCATGCCAGATTTTATTCTAGGGCACTACAATAAAGATGTTTGGGATTAAAAAAAAACAGCAAAAATTATGTACCTGTGATCCAAGAAAGGTCAAACTAGGAAAGAAGGCAGCTTTAACAGGACTATTACTTCCATCTAAGACACCTTGATCAGAAAATGGCCCTAAAATACATAATTCATTAAAATCTAATACATATAATACTTTAAAGGACCTGTGCACAAAGAGTAACAAAGACATTGTAATAAATGGCCTCAAATTTTTTCCTGGACAATATGTAGTTGTCATGGGCCTGTCTTTCTTAAGTCTCAGAAACGATCACTAAACATGCACTTTATTTCTTCTAAGTTATGGTGAATGGTGGTCCTTATTTACATTTACCTTTCTTAAATGAAAAATCTTTCATATCATCATCTAGAACAACCAGTCTGGATAATTGTAATGGTAAGAATCCACTAGAATCAGCCTGGATATCCAATCCTTTGGCATCATTTTTACCTGAACCTCCTCCATCAAATGTCCAGACTTGCATTGAACCCTGAAACCAATATAATTAAACAAAACAAATTCCCTCAAACTAAATCAACTAACCACACTAAATTTAGGAGGATATTAAATTATTTAAACTAAAGGTCACCAATTCTGAATCTAATTTTTCAAGACTTTATCCATACTAAAATCTACTCAAATTGATCATCTCACATTCAACTAAGAAAACAAAACCAAAATATCAATGGTAGATAATCTCCCAGTTCAGATTTAAATCTGATCAAATATAGGCCTATCAAAAGATTTACTCAATGGTAGATAATCTCCCAGTTTAGAGTTACATCTGATCAAATATAAGCCTATCAAAAGATTTACTCAACACCTATGGGGTGGCGCTGGCTTGTTTATATCATCAGCAGAGCATGCAATCTGATTAAAATACAGATCTATATTTCATTTCGTTTTTTTATACTTTCAATGGATTACACTACATGAAGATCTGACCAGTGGTGGGAGGTTGTGTCAGGGGTCATATGAGTGGCTTTTGACCCTATGACGTCAGACATTGATTAATCAATCAGCGTTGACGTTTCTAGTATTTTAACCACAGTTCTGTGCACCGCACGCCAAGAACTTGCATTAACAGATGGTTTCATTGGTCATCCCTCACCATTCAGAACGCAGGTTATATAACAACTCTTCCCGATCCTAGTGTAGTACAGACAAAACGAAAATTTGAACTATAAAAAACAAAACAAAATAGGATCTGTGCTTTAATCAGATTGCAGAGCATGCTGCAGCTTGCAAAATTTTCAGTTAATCATCTTTGTAATATGCTGAATGGACTTGAACAATTTTTGTATTGATATTTTACAAAGTTGTAGTTTTCAAGGAATTCTAGTGCCTCAAATGATGACCAGCAGATTTAAATTTGTGGTTTTATGTAAAGCCCTGAAAGTAATAACATAAACTGCTAGCTATAAATGAGAAGTGGTATTTGATGCTCTACATTACAAATGGAATGAATACCCTGCCTCATAAGTCTTACCATTCTATTAATTGTGAGTATTTTTGAGTTATCTAATGTCCAGGCTATATCTATTACACTATCATCAACATTACTAGAATTATGTACAACACGTATAGCTCTCCATGGTCCATGTCTCACATCATACACAATTATATCACCTAAAAATATATATATAACTATAATCATACATTTCAATCATTCGAAAATTGTGTGAGTTTTATATGTAGTAAAAAGCACTCATCAACAGTTATGGTGGTAAAAGAAATACTTGAGGGAACAATCACATGTTAAAGGTTCTCTTTTAATTATTGAGGGATTATTCCCTGTGGCTTTCTGAAAATAAACATAGCTTATAACAATTAAATATAGCTTCACTATATAGCTTAGAATAGCCTTTTAACCATGCATTATAGACTTTAGAATAACTCCCTTGTATTAACCATGCATTAAAAGGTGTAATTCTCCTAAACATAAATAATAACATGATTGTATTCATCATACAGTTAGAATAAGTTATCACCTGTCATAAAATACAGTCTTAACTCAATATCAATAGCTATTCCACATGTAGAATAGTCTCCCAAGAAAAAACAGCCATTTCAAAGGTTAATATTTCATTTAAAATGGAAGTTATTTTTGGGAAGGAATTTATCAGAGCTGAGCTATAAAAGATATACTTACCATGTACTGTTCCAATAGCTACCATACTATTATCTGGTGATGGTTTAACTGACTGTATACCTTTACATTTCTTACTTATACTTATCTTATTGATATCACTCTCTATATTCTACAATACAAACAATTCAAAATGGTTTTTTACATTCTTCCTCTATGGATTTGACTCAATACTTTTTTCAGTATTTGGTGGGTTTGTATTTAGGGTAAAAGGAAGAACCCATTCAAATTTCCATCGTGTTTGGATTTGAGAATTGTTTTTGTGGAATTTTGTTTCAATTCATATTTTTAAGTTTATAGCATGTGAATGTAATACAGAATTTAAAAATGCACTGTTTAAGTTTCTTAATACATCATCCACATTTTCCGGCGTGGTTCCCCCTTGTCAGTGATGCAGGATGGACGGCCTGACAAGGACAGCTGTCTAGTCGTTCGGATGGGACGAAAAACCGAGGTCTTGTGTACACATTGGCTTTCACGTAAAACATCCCTTGACAGTTGGAAATCGATATAAGAGTAGGCCGTAGTGCCGCTGTCCCGGCAAAATTTCACTCATAGCACAGTGTCATCATTAGCCCAGTTCGGAGCACAACAGTAAGACGTTAAACCCCATTTCATTTCATTTCTTAATACATGGTTTGTATGTTTTGATAATACATGAATAAACTGACACCAGAAATTAGTTACATAGAAATATAGATCTACTGTAAAATAATTACCTTCCAATAACGCTGTTCTCTGTTCATATATCTCTCTGTATTTACTTTAAAAGTTTTTATTTCCTTTGAGTCTGTTTTCATTGGTTCATACTTCTTTAAATCTGTTGGAGTGATGTGATTAAAAGTGATCACCTCTGTATCAATGTCTGTTTCATCCCTAAAGAAATATGATATAGTAAAATATAGACCTAATTAAACAATCAATATAGTCAACTTGTTTCACTAATGAAAATCAATTGTTTTTGTTATGAATGAAATACGAACCAAGTACCATAAAAAATTATTATTTCTTTCTACAAACTAAATCAAAAGATCTTTAAATATTTTACACAATCAAATATTTTTATAAAATATAAAAATTGTAAATTTCATTCTATATTATCCAAAATAAATTTTATAAATTTCAAGATTTATTTTATTCATTGTTGCTGAAATAAAAAAACCCCGAGAAAACAACATTCTATTTTTAGCATACATATAGCAATGTAACTCTTCATTCCTAAAAGTCCTCTTTCGTCATCCTTATATGTATGTTGGCAGGACAATTTTAACACAATTCAGGAATATAATTGTTTTGCTATAATTCCTCACTGCACTGTAATAGCCATGATTTCAAGTGGAAGTTCATTCCAGGTGCAAACATTATTTTTACGATTTTTATTACATAAAGAAACTTAAGATGCATTAAATCAGAATACTTTATTCACATTAAATTAATATCAAACAAATATATTTCAAAACAAATGAATAAGCTTCCTGGTATATTTATTAGCACTAATAAATCAATAATTATATAACCATGTATTGTATATATAACACTCTCTGTGGCACAATAATAGACATGGTGGTTGGGAGGACAAAACAAAACCCTCTCGAGTCCTAAGCAAATAACAGATTAGAAGAGGCCTCTAAACTGTTCTTTAAAATACCAAGTCTTGTATTGTATCAAAACTCAAGCTGATTAAAATACAGATCTATATTTCATTTTGGTTTTTTTATACTTTCGATGGCCTACACTGCATGAAGATCTGACCGGTTGTAGTGGAAGGTCGCATCAGTGGTCATATGAGCAGCTTTTGACCCTATGACGTCAGACATTGATTAATCAACCAGCATTGATGTTTCTAGTGGTTTACCCACAGTTCCGTGCAACGCATGCCAAGAACTCAGCGTAAAATAACGTTTCATTGGCTAATCCCTCGCGCCATCCAGAACGAAATTTAGAACTCTAAAAAACGAAACAAAATAGGATCTGTGTTTTAATTAGATTGATTAAAACTAGAAATTCTAAATTAGTTTAAAAAAATAATAATAAAATAATTTGAACTTACAGTGAAATTAAATAGGACTAAAATAAAAGGTATTAGCATTAGCATTTGTTATAATTATTAAAATCATAAAAAAGGTAAAAAATTTGGATGAACTATTTACATGTAAATGTAAGGTGAAAAAAGCTGAAAACAAAATAAGTACATGATGTGTGTGAAAATGTCATGCAATTCATGCATATGTTTTACAGTATTGATGCATTGTTATAATTAACAGTTGTACTTCCACAATGTGATTATTGTCAAGGGTACAGACAGAACTAGTGAGTGGAACAGAAAAGTACTGGTGATTTTTTTTTAAAACAGAATTTCCCCATCCAAAAAATTGCAAAACTATTTTTCACATTACCCTAAAGTATATTCGTAGTCTAATTCAAAACAATATTGTATAGCTGTAATAATAGTTTAAAAAATATAATGTTAATATTGTTTATCTATAATGATTTCAAAAATAGTGTGAATATTGTATAACTGTAATAATAGAGTATCAAAATATAATAAATAAAAAAGCACTAATACAAAAAAAAAATAAAATATCTACAGTATTATAATATGATGTTGATTAATCAACTACTAGTTAAATTTTAATCAAATTATGTGTTCTTTAATAAGATATAAATTATGTTAAATGACATTTTGAGTATATTATTCTATATTTTGTCTGCTTTTCTAGTCTGGATTAACGTACCTCCTTTCATTAAACCGACTGTGTCTATAAAAATAGATTGTTATAGAAAAATAAAAAAAACTCATTTACATCAGTTACAATTATTTTTTTCATAGAGTATATTTTACTCAAATATGAACAGGTAGCGATTTCTAGCAGACGTCAAGTGCAATGTATCAGAATAGACACTCATATACCAGATGCAGCTTTGCAGTGTTACAATATTTATCTTTGCAGTGATACAATATTTATCTTTACAGTGTAACTAAACCTAATTCTGCAATAGTTCAACCTGAATCTCTGCAGTGGTGCTACATGGGTCTTTGCAATGGTGCTTCCCGGATCTTTGCAGGGGTTCTACACTTTATATCTTTGCAGTGGTTCTACCTGTTTCTTTGCAGTGCACTTTAATAACAAATTATCTTTACAGTGATGACAACTTTGTTGTGATATAAAACATACCTTAGCAGTGCTCACTTTGGAAGCATTCAATATAGAGTTATGTCATTTTATGCACGTGTGTGTGGGTTGAGTGTATGTGTGGGTAGCAGGGTCGTATAAAGGACTAACTACTCATTTTCTTTTAATGTAAAGTAAAATATCTGGCTACTTTAATGCATATAAACCTACCCCTGGTCTTGGTTAGAATTATTGTTGTTGTAGTTTACATTATTGCTGTTGTTTATATTGTTGCCATTTACATTGTTGTCATTTACATTGTATCTTCTATAAAATCAAAATGGCATTTCACATACAACAATTTTAATAGCTAGAGCAAATTAATGGCAAAGAGAAAAAAGAAAATATGAGAATTTTTTTATTATTAATACAAAGTTTGCGTAAAAAAGAGGCAATTTTTCTATTATTGTTTTACAACATCGTAAAAATAGCATTGAAGCCAGAAACACAGGCTTATACATGGATAAAAACTAACATCCAGTTTTAATTAGTTTGGCGACTTCTTATAGGTTTAAAATTCTGGATTACTTCTTTATATGACAAAAATTTCAAACACACAATTAAATACATAGAAAAATTATAAATAAGTATTAGATACCACATTAGCGATTAGCGATAAAAGTGTCAAACTTGCAATATAAGGAAAAACTCCATGATAGATATCCAAGCAGAAAAATCACAGAAATCAGTCAATCTGTGAATATTTCTACTTACTCATCTGCCACAGCTTCTTCGCCAGTTTTAGCTTTAATATGTACATGCTGAGAATGTCCCCATATGTCTTTCCTACAAAATAAATTGATAAATGTGTAGATTTCATAATCAACATAAAAATAGTAATTAAAGTGTCTACAGGTGAAAAAAATTACATTGATCAGGTATTTAAGATGTCTACAGGTGAAACAGATTACATTGATCAGGTAATTAAGATGTATATATATATAGGTGAAACAGATTACAACAGGTAATTAAGATGTCTACAGGTGAAATAGATTACAACAGATAATACTTGTAATTATGAAGTAATGGTCTGAAAAGACATTTGGCTCAGCTGAACACAGTTACCTAGCTGCAGAATAGGGAAGTTATAGCATGGACCGGTAAACCCCAGAATAATATTCTGGTCATATTTGCCTGTCCTGATTGACTGTCAGGGATATTTACCAACTGGAGAATTTACCTGTTTGTAACTTTTGTTAGGTCAATTACTGGCAAAAATGATTGTTAAGTAAGTACCGGTAATAGTATATTTTGGTTGTAACTGTTGGTACCACAAGGGGACACATTGCTGATAAACCAAGTAAGCCACTTCTAGTCCCCACAACCCGAGTGGTTGGTTTTCCAGTCTTGTTGACTTGTTAACTATCACTATCTATAAATTGTGTCGGTAAACTCTAATATCATACCTATGTTGATCACGAGAATCTACCATGGAGAAATAACCTTTAGTTATCGTATTATAGGCTGGATCATCAGGTAATCTTCCTTCCCTTTTACCAGTACTGATTCTCTGCAATAAATATCAACCAGTCATTTTATATCAATTGTCCATATAGATTTTCTTACAGAACCTCATAATGTCTACAGCCTTGATCGCCAGTGTACCTACCTCAGCTTGGTTCATGAGAGTAAAGTCTGTGAGATTGCGTAAAATACCATTTAAGTGTAAAACATCTTCAACAATTTCAACAGATAGTTTTCGTGTTTCCTAAAATGACAGAAAATGTAAATTCAAATCTAATCTCCGACAGGTATTTCATACCTAAAACATAGACGGGAGTGCCCTGGGAACTTACCACTCCACTCCACTATAGTTTCTGTTTCAAAATTGAATAAAATATAAGTTATTTACCACCAAGACTATCTCCTCCATTATAAGTTGTAATAATCGTTTATCAGACATAGCACCAGATAAATCTCCCCAAATTCCAATTTCATTATTCATTGCAACTCTGGAAAAAATACCATACAGCGTCATATGACACTATCAATCAACGATCATATTACAATCATAATTACCAGTCATGACTGATTAGCAGATGAAAATGACTGACTTACTGTGAAATCAACCTGTCAGTCAAATGCAAAGAATAGGGATTATTACAACTAAATGAGAAAAACAAAAATGACATTGAATATGTAAAAAGTCAATTTAATAATGAAAAATGAGTAGACAAAGATAATCATACCTTTGTCTAAGACTATCAGAATAACCTGGCGCTGGTATAATATGTCTATATAAACAATCATCTACAAAATCTTCTACTAATTTACGAACCTGCAATTAAAAATATCAGTTATGAAAACTTAACTATCATGTAAAACCTCTCATACAATCATTGGAATCTGCATCTTCTCCGTAAACACTTTAAAACAGTAATAAACAGACTCCTAAGGAACATGGAATCAGATTTGCAGTGTTCATTTTAAGGAAACTAGAAATCATAGTTTTGTGATAGGTATTGAAAAATACAGCCTTGTGAATTGTGAAGATGGGCAAGAATTTCACAGTATGATCACTGTGAGTTAGGTCACAGGAGCAGTAACTCCACTTCAAAACAGTTCAGAAGGTTTAATGCTTCAAACGCAATGGTAAGGGCAATAACTCTGTGAAAAACCAGTGCCACAAGCACCTAATATGAATCTGGTCATCATTATTAAACTTACAACAACATAATCTTCTAATTGATATGGCTGATATGATTCTAACCCAAGATGGCCGGTATATGGTTTTAACTTTCTATTATAATCTTTCTCTATATCACTCCTGCAATGACAAATAGATGTATTACACTGTAATGTAACTAAATTATTTAACAAACAGCATATTCTAATCTACAGCCGCAATAGCTGTCGAAAAGTTAGATCTCTGGACACTCAAATAGTTTCCATATAATTTTTCTGACTGAATTGCAAAATATTTGGTCCACCCGTGTACAAATTGGTTTGCAGCGGGAATTCAGAGACGAGAAAATGAAAATGCTGCAAAATGCATCTACATGCAGTTTGGGTCAGATTTTTACGAAATTTAAACTCAACCTTCATTGATGTGTAATGGTGATATATTTAAACGTTTTTGATAATTGAATACAAATTGTAACTTCTAGCAGGTCCACAAGCTAAAAATAAGATTTTTCCGAACAATCAGGGGTCATAATCCAGGAAGCTACATTCAGATATGGGCAATTATCGAAAGAAACTAAGATCTTTGGGTTATAAACTTGTATTTCAAGTTTCATCAAAAGCAGATGAAAGTTGTGATCTCTAGAGTGTCCACAAGCTAAAAACATCATTTTTCAAACAATCAGGGGCCATAATCCATGAAGTTATGGTCCGATGCATGCCAATATCGAAACGAACAGAGATCTTTGGGAGATAACCCTATATATCAAGTTTCGTCACAATAGGATAAAAATTGTGACCTGTAGAGTGTCCACAAACAAATTGTGGACTGATGGACGGACATGGGTGACGGCATAATACGTCCACATGAAAATGTGGGCGTATAAAATTATAGAGAAATTGGTGTTTTTACCGTAACTTCCAGATTCTGTTAATAGATTGTGGTAGATTGTCGACAGCTCTGCGGACATAAGAACCTTGAGAGTGGACGCTATGTATACTAGCTGACTTTACTTTAGGTGGTCCCATTATTACCTCGGGCATCAAGTCGCTCAAATTCCGTTCTGCAAATTAGATATACAAGCTGATTAATTACATGTTCTTGTCTGTTTAGTTCAAATTAAACGCCTATTTATTACAGTAAAATGGGAAAGTCAAGGCAATCCTCTCAAGAAAGATATGAACACAAAAAATATGAATATGTACATGGCCTTATATGCTTTTAATGTAAATGTTGGAAAAATTTTTACTTAAAAAACTCTGATCAGATTTGAGAAACCATTCCTATCATTTTGGAATCTTTGTCTTATTGTACCAAAATGAATCTTTCAATCCAGATTTTCCAGGGCAGTAAAATTTTCAGAATAAATAACAATTCTATTTCATTTATTTTTCATAAAACATTTTAATTTCAGAGATGTTCTATATCACATTAACCTAAAATGTAAAAAAGGGGAGATAAACTCTGCTACCATAAATTGTTAACAAAATATTACTTGGAAAAGAGCCAAGATTTTTAAATAATTGAATTGTATTCCTATATCATTTGTATGATATGAATTCGTTTTTTATGGGGGGAGGGCAGTATAATATCTGTTTCTATGTCAACATATCTATGTCAACATTTTCTTTGTGCTGTTCAGTTCATTATTCAGGACTGACTCAACTGAGTATTTACCCAACCAGCCATAATCTATGTTTGCGAACATTTGTCATAATTTATAATAAACACACATACGCAACATTTTTCTTAGTATAATAAACTAATGCATGCATGCTGTAAATATTAATAGAAGACAAACACATCTTGAAAACCAGTTTGACTAGTCCTTGGCTATTATGATAAACACCACAAAGACATTATTGTATATGTATGAATGGGACTAGTACTTCCATTCAATTATAGATATGAGTCATTAAATATACACGTATGTAGACATACAATAAATTAAACTACTGATCAGTATGATATATTTATAAGTAATATATTTCCAATGTAATCTAGAATGTTCATTATGACTAAACAGAGTTTAAAGTTGCTTATCGACCTTTTAGGAATTTTAAATCTCTCCCAAACTACAATATTCGGAAAGTTGAATTTCTGAAAAGCGTATCGGTCCAAAATTCATTCAATATTTACAAAATTTCACAACATTCAGCATCTTTTCAGACGATATTAAGCCAGCACCAATTATAAGTACTGTGTAAAATAACTGAATCAAACTCTGGAGATTTTCTTAATTAAACATTAAATAATCAATCTGAGTTAGTGAGTACATTTTAGGGAGGCAAACGATGATCAGCATATTGTACCGTGATTGAACTAACAAACTAAATCAACAAATTTTACAATTTTATTATCACACGTGAATTTATTTATTTAAATATACATATTGCATCAATCAGTGGCACATCTAAATTATAAGCTTATATGATAAAGTACAACTGAAGAAGTTTCCTAAAGAAGCCAAAAAGAATTTGAATTGAGTGTGGTATTTAAAATGAATCTATCAATTATCTGAACCAAAAATTAGTCTAAAAATATCTTAATCTTATTTCTAAACCCACTATAAATTATCTCCAAGCTTATCATTCAATAATAATTACAGTTTTTGGAAGGGTTACATACAGAAAGAATAAACTATGTTTAATGAACAAAAAAGTTTTAACAAAAAAGAAAGTTTTACTGCCTTCAAGTTGTGGGTGTGCTGTACACATACACGAGTGCAAGTTTATCAGCAACTGTCTAGTTGATTTATATATGTCCTGCGAATAGAACTAACCTAGCGTTGAAAAAGAGTAATAATATATGCCCATTAGACGATTTGTAAAAAGTGGATTTCAAGTTTTCAGGCTCTAGGGGTATAAACTAGGAATAAAACTGATGGACAAGTCTGAATTTTATAGGGTTCCCACCAAATAATATCACCATGTTTTGTTCAAAAGGGTTCCTAGCAAGTTTTAATAAATAAATATCTCAAAAACTCTGACCTGCAGAATAACTAAAAGATTTTAATGTCAGGATCGGTAACTATGGGAAAACTCGCTGAGCAACTCTGAATTGAAAAAAATCTCAAAACCTCTGATAAGCCATGTTTTGTTATCCCCTAAGTCCAAGATTCATATAAATATGTTGGTACAAATAATGTTCGTCTTTTTTCATGGGGAACTAAAGGTTTCTGTCGACAGAACAGAATTTGCCGTCCATAAGAATCTTCAGTCAAATCATTATCATTATAATCCCTCAAAACTGGAGAGTAAATCTGGAAATCATCATCGTACGATAATGGGGTGTATATTTGGTATTTCTTAGAGAAAGATTTTTGGTAATCTCTGAGTTTTGCCTTACCAAGAGGTGTTGGATTACGAGCAAGATATTGTTTTTTATCATGCAATCTCTCTCTGGCTTCTTGTAGTCGTCTTTTTTCTAACATCAAATATCTGAAAACAAAATAGACAAAGTAAATTTAAAATAATAATCAAAATAGTAATTCAGTTGCACAATTCCAAACTCTGATAAGACTATGTTAAATTTAAAGCATCATAAATCTTCCAGGGACACGCTTGGGCATGATGTTACTGTCTCTCAAATCATTAACTAGAATTATTACAGAATCATGAAATTATTATTGTAAATTTTTATAGCATGACTAGTTAGTACTACTCATAAATATTATACAAACTATAAATTTAAGAGTATTTATACTTATTGTGTTTAAATTGTATAGACTTACTTTATTTGCATTTCTTTATCTTGCTGTGCTAATGAATGTTCTTTGGTTCTGTGTGTAAGGATATTATCTAATACACCTGGATGCATAGGACTATCACCTAATAAAATAATTATTTAAGCTAAATTTAGTCATGAAAAGTTGATTACACACTTTTAGAAGTGACAAAGAAAGTCTTGCCAAACATTTACTGTGAGAGATATCTAAAACAAATAATTGCTAATAAAATCCTGATTCCAAGGTTCCAGATGGTCAGATATAGTAGCTGATGATTATATAAACTATAAGTTATAGCACATTTACTTACAGTAATCTAATGCTGTATTTGTCCCATATAAACGAGCCACTTCATCATTTAAAACAAAGTTTCTACTGTTTAATCTTGACTGAAAAAAAGAAAGAGGTGGGAATTTTGGACACTGTGGTGAAGTAGAAAATGACTACAAGTAGTTGGTATAATTTTAAAGTCAAAAATAAAAAAAATCAACATCCAGAGACCTTCTTACTATTCTTTTCATCATTATTTTACAGAAAATTACCAGCATCCACAGATTTTACGTAACGGTATTTGAAGAAATTGGTTAACAGATTTCATATAATTTTAACAGAGAGAAAGAGAGAAATGGGGTTTAACGTCCACTCGACACAAACTAGGTCATTTTGGGACTAAAATATGGTTCAATTTTATTCCAATAATTCGCTTGCACGTGGGGGTCTTTAGCAGTGGGAGAAAACCAGAGAACCTGGAGAAAACCCACAATTTTGGACACGCGACCCTATTCCTTGTTATGTACAATTGGGGAATAGAAACCATGCCAATTGACTCAATGACAGATCTTATGATACAGCGCGCACGTGCTAACCATTCGGCCATCCAACCCGCCCCTTTAACACAGATATGTGCTGTGCTGTAAATCAAGAGCACCTGACCATAATTCTATAACCAGACAGTGTTTACAAGTAGGTCCTACTCACCAAAACTCTTACAGCTCTTGCATCTTCTTCTGCTTTCAATCGTTCAATTTGTCGAAGTAATTTTGACCTCTCGTACATGTGATTTTCTACAGCTTCTATCTGATTATGTAGCTTGGCCATCTTTTCTTGTTGCAGTAAAATATAATCAACTGATTCCAAAGGAATAGAGATACGTGACATACTACTATGTGTCATGATGATGATAGATTGTCTCTAAAACTTTTCCTTATTTTAAGATTCTTCGCTTCCTGAAAAACATTGATATTACTGGTAGGCTAAATATTAGAATTAGGATTTTAAGATTGTATTATTTCTTTTGTCAATTGTTATCAGATGAACTAAAGCACTAAGTTACTTTGGTTATTTTGACCAAGATGCAGTGCTTTTGCTATAGTCAAATGTGTAATCATAGTATTCATAGTAGGGAGGTGAATTTCATTCTGCTCATCAATGAATGTCAACTATCAAGGGTTCTTTTATATACTTGCTAAAAAAGTATTATTAGAACTCTTCAAAGATTTTTTTCATTTCTGTCCAATTTGAACGACTAGGTAAAGCTTTGTCAGCATCATAGGTGCTAGCCCTGATAATGTGGAAAACCTGCCTTCAAAGGTTTTTTTCATTTCTGTGCAATTTGAACGACTGGGTAAAGCTTTGTCAGCATCAGGTGCTAGCCCTGATAATATGTGGAAAACCTGGCTGGTTCTAGTTCTTGTTCTAAGCAGAGATTCAAACCCAAGACATTCTAATTAAGAGAAGTCCAGTGAACTTACTGCTTGACTAATTCTCCCCTGAACAAAACTGGCTACGGTAGAACTCAAGCAGGGATCCATAAAAATTTAAGCTTACTTATCATATTCCATATCACTACCGGTACTCTTAACAATGAATTTTCGTAGAAACGCCTTCACCAACCAAATAAACATTATCCTCAACAGGTCACATGAAAACACTTTACTAACTATAGATATAAGGGATTTTTAATATATATATATATAAAACCTGCTTGTTTTGGCCTGTCCAAGTTCTCGAGTTTGTAGGCCTACCTGTGGGCTGTCGTCACAAATATGCAGTCGCAGAAATATTTGCCATTTGATTTGGTTAGGTACCATAATAAGAGATTCCCCCCCCCACCCCCAATGGGACCACCACTCACAATGATCATGCCATGTCATGACAACCATGGCTTAGATATAATATGATTCTGTTATCTTGTCTTTACTACAACTACTCTGAATATAAAGATTAAAAGAAATTACATAACTATTCAAAGTACCTTTTATCATGGACCTTATTCACTCATTTTCCTACAATCCTTGTTTGTTATCTGCCCTTTGTTGACTAACATCATCGACAAATATCACATTTAAATGTTCCCCTACATCTTCTACAAACAAAGCTAATATCAATTTGATCGGAAATCGTTTCTTTCTATGGTTCAATTAATTTCAGGTGAAAAATATGTTTATGGAAATAAATAGAGCCTCATGTAAACACGAGAATCCTTTCTTTTCAAGTTTCGGTCGCCATTTTCAAACAACTTTCGTGTCCTGGGTAATGGAAGGAATCTAACCAAGGGAGATAAATCCATTTAAGGAGGCATTGTGTGAACTCTGAAAGCCAATTAATTTAATAGACTGCCATGGCGTACATTTTGTAAATGTTTTATGACACGGAGATAATCAATTCTTGTACTGGAAACAATATGATTAAATTTAAAAACTGACCAGGGCATTGCTATCCTGGAATAGACTACCTGAAACATTAGCCATAAACGGCTAGCTCTAAAATTATCAGGTCATATTAACTTGAAACAGGTATAGCCTATATATGTAAAGGAGCTTGTTTCATACTATTAGTATATTTTATTTAAACAGCCTGTAGAAGTATTTAATAGAGTGGTCTTACGCATGCAATTTGGCCATGGGATCATAAGTTATGTCATTTATTGAAGAGTGGTTTTGATTCCATGCTAGTATGTACAAGACAAGGAATAGAACTGCCTGCCTAACCTCGTGTTTTTTCTTCAAGTTCTTTAGTTTCCACCCATTACATATGAACCAAACATCAGTTCCAAAAAGACCTAGCTTGTTTTATGTCCATGTTAAAACCCTATTTCTCTCTCCCGCTACATGTGTGAAAGGAATCTGTGTGTGACATACTAGATTGTTAAATTGATCATGTAACCCGCTATTATAAATGTGTCCTCTAAATTAAAGATGGATTAAGTAAGAGCTAAATCTTGCAGGTCTTTATACATTTATTCACATGACAAGCATATGTTCAGCTCTCTAGAGCATCAGATGGTCGATATTTAAATGGATTAGTACACCTGCGAGATTGAAAAATTTACCACAAAATAGATAATAGATAATCTTGATTATCAAGTACCGTTACTACGATTATAGACAATCTACGCTTCATATTCAAACACCCTTAACTTCGCTCAGAATAAAATAATTGAAATGAAATTTTCAATATATTCATTTCTTCACTATCTTTTTTTGAGCTACTATAGCAAGAATGATCATCTCTTTATCTAAATCTTTCATAATGCATCTTTAATTGAAATTCCCATCAATTTCATATTTTAAAAAACAAAACAAAACAAACACAACCGTGTAAGGATTATATTATGTATGACTTTGCAACACTTATAGTACTACATGTAGGCCTACATACAAACAATTCCTAATTATAAAAAAATGCTATTTATGATTGTAAATGAGAGATGACATGTTTTATGAATCAAACATTCCTATAATATATACAATTTATCTACAACTCTTTTTGTAATAGAGACTGATCAATTATTTTCATCAATACTGTTCCATCTTTCTCAATATTTAATATAAATATTGTATATTCACATACTAAAATAGAATGAAATTAAGAAATGGGATTATAATTACATGGTTAAAAAAATAATGATGATAAAATGAATGGATTAAGGATGAAATACATATAGAGGCACCTTTGAAAAATACCAAAATGAATTGAGATTTAGTTGTATGGACAGACATTTGGTATATTTCACAGGTATTCTCTACCATACAACGAAGTCCAAAATGGTTTAATATGTTCACAAGAATGCTTTCTAAATAAATATCTGTATTCTGATTTCAAGAGTTTTAGTTCTATACATATTAACAGTTATTAGAAATCCTATGTTTGAATCTTTCTAATCCAATTCTTAAGAACGGATTATTTACAAATTACAATTCTGTCATGGTATGCAAATATGGTATGTCTCATGGTCCATCCATTGTTTTACATTCTAGAAAATGTCATCCATCTATCTATAGCTTTATGTGCTATAAAATCAAGTTAAAGCTTGATTACTCTCTGTTTCAGCAGAAAATAAATAATACACTATAAAAACTATTCATGGTGGAAGTACCAAAACATGCTAATGTCCATTAATACAATTCCAGTAAGTGCCCTTCATGTAAATCAAATGAAAAATAATTACTTTAAATACAAATCCCTTTTAAATTAAATAAATAATTAATTGTATGAACAAACACATGTACATATCTTGTACCCAATGTGAGGCATGAATTTAAAAACAAAATTCAAAGACAAAACTATTTTGCATATTGTATACTGACTAGTGACATTTGTATGTAATGCGTATGTATTATTCAATCAATGTATAAAAGTATGGTAAAATAAATATGCAGTTCACAATAAAATATACATCTACAATTAAAACTATTTAGACTTATGAATGAAAATGAAAGATAAATAAAATAATAATGTTAATACTTCTACCGAGTTCGATATTCTAATAGGCAATATTTAACCACATTGTTCATGTATTAAATTTAAGGGAATGAATACAAAAATGGTCATATCAAGACCAATCACAAGAATTTAGGAATTTTTGGTATTGTTTATATGCTTGCACTTCTCCAATAATATTACCCTTACAAAAATAACAAACCCATAAACTAAAGTAAATTGAAGTTTTGTAATAATAGGGTGGTCATTAAGATCCAATTTTATGCAAGTAAAAAAAAAGATTAGAAAATGCTGAAACAATTCGTAATTATTGTTAGCTGTGTAACTTTTTAAATTAATAAAATAATTGTGAATACATAAAAGTTTGGATCTTTACACCGGATGCCAATTGCATAATACAACTAATTGCCATAACCACAATTAAAATTAAAATTTAAAGCTCAAAATAATAACAAATCTATAATTACTGTAATAATAATGTAATATCTCTTATACATGTAGTATCAATATGTACATATATAATATGGGACTGACAATAATGTACCCTGCATTAATTAAATATATCTTATATACCCAAAGTATGAAGTTGTCTTATGCAGGGATCTTAATCAGATCATTATTGTCGGCTTCAGCCGCTTGATGTTTGAAAAAGCCGATTAATAAAAGAATGAAACGGCCACTATGGTATCATAAATCAATCTACTTTCAGCTTAATTATTACTTGTTCAAGTAGTTGATTAAGAAGTCAATTAACTTGCTTGTCGACAACAATAACAGTGATACACCAAGAATGAATTTCCCTTATTTTCCCCAAGTACATATTTATCTTCTATACCCCAAGTATGAATTTATCTTATTTACACAAAGTATGAATTTATCAATGAAATAAATATGAAATACAGCAAGATTATTTCCATTGCAATAATAATCAATATCATATATTATCAATTTGGAAAATATATAGAATTTAAAGATATAAAACCCCTTCAAATAGAGAGTTTTCTTTTTTTCATAACAATTCCCAGTGAATGAATGAAATTAGAATATAAATATCATTTATTAGTGGGCTCATGTAACAAATTTGGATTAGTGTTGGCACGTTTATTTTGTATATTTTGTTTTACTTAGTGTTTCTGAAATGTCTATTACACATTTGGATATTATGGACGAACTTTAGGATAGATATGGTTCCTGTCCTGAAATATTATCATTCAATTTGTCCATAAACAAAATCTACTACCGGTATTATCATTGATCATTTATTATCACCACTTAATGATGTTTTGTATTACTGGATTCAACTTTTATCATCTCCATAATAGTTTTACATTAATGAATTTAGGCCAGGCGATTAGTGGCTTGTCTCTAAGTTGTTATTGTGGTTTATGTTCAAATAATTTTTTGATAATTTTTTGATTTGCTTGATAAAGACTAGAAAATCCTAGGCGAAACATCCCTCAGTAATAATGATAATTCTATTTCATAAAATTGTGTTCTGTGGATAAAGAATATTTGTGTTTTTGCACACAACCATAATGGAGTAAAGTTTTTTATGCCCTCCAAATATTCCTACATGTTAAGTTTTAGAAAGCACATGAACTCCTGTTTATTTTCTTCAGAAGACTTGTGTTTTCTAAAATTTTCTTTTGTACAACATCATATGGAAGCAATGAATTAATAAATTAACTCATGGTAAAATGAAAACATAATGTTAAAATCATATACTACATGTACGTCATATGATAAAACTTATACATAAAATATTCAAATAATGTCTTAAATTAGTAATAGGAGTTCAATTTTTCATATTTTGAAAGTTCATAGCTATTATTATCATTAAATTAGATCAACCATGTGAGATATGTATTTGCAATGGCACTGATGTTAAGTCTAATTTTTCAATACACTTTTAATGTAATCCACCTTGGTCAATTAGTTTCTATAACTCAAAAACTTTGATGACTTTAACGCATATTAATAATACAATGTTGAAGACTAAAGTAGCACTCATACTCTAAATAGAGTATTTTAGAAATCAAAGAAAACCTGGAATCAGTAAGACTATGGCTAACGTAAGAGTTTTAAATGCATTGCATCTTGTATCATAAAATATAAGTTGTTTTTTTTCCAATTTCAACATTATTCTAAGTTTTCCCTTTTTTTAAAATAAAAACATAATATTTTACAAATAGCTGGGTCAACTAGGACTTAATATTAAAATTAATATCAAAATTAAAACATATCTATCATAATTCTTCATCAGATTCGTTCTCTATTATAGTAAAACGACCTCGTTTAGCAGGAGGACTCCAGGAGCCTGATGTTGAAGGGGGAGTACTTGGTGGGCTGATTCCTGGATCACCAGGTGTTGGAGATATAGCTCTTGCTACTTTTTCTCTGCCTTCATTTATCCAAGTAGACTGAAAAATAACAAGAGAATAATCTAATTACCTTTTTAATATTGGGATGGGGAGTCAAATTGACTCAGTAACATGTTGGCTCGCTAAACTGGAGGTCCCGTGTTCTATCCCGCCAATTTTACTGTATGGTTCCTTCCCCCTTGTCAGCAGTGCAGGACTGAGGGCCTGGCAAGGGACAAGGTATAGTCCCTCATAGGGGTCCGTGTACTTATTGGTGTGCATGTAAAAGAAACCTTGACAGTTGGAATTCAAAATAAGAGTAGTGTCACTGTAGCCCTGATGTTCAGACAAAATTCCCCTCATTGCACACTGCATGACGTATGCCATTCTTCAATAACCTAGTTGATGCAGAACAGAAAAACTATTAAAAAAAACCTTTTCATTTCATTTTAGTCCATGTGCCAGACCTGGGATTTTGGAACATCATTACCAATTTGATGAATAAATTCAACCATGATTTTCAGTTAGCCTGGTGGCTGAAGTGTTGAAATTTGGTTGATGGACTTCCGGGTTACTTTGCTAAATTGCATTTTGGCGGCCATTTTTAAAGATGGCCGCCGTTATTTCATTGAAATTGAGCGCATCGGGGAAACCTTCATAACTCCTGAAAAGATCGACCTATGGATATGGAATGAGGCTCACAATGTTCACAAGAAAATGCTTCTTCTGGTGCTATATGATACTTGTTGTTGAATGAATCATATATTTTCCAAATCAACAGATTATTCTGGAAAAAGCAACCTTTTGGCATTTTTATTTTCCCAGGTTTTCATGATTTATTTTATAAGTTTACTACCAAATCCTGTTCAGAGTAATTTTAGCCAAATTATGTGTGTGGTCTTCTTAAGTTATTCAATTAGCATAAACAAATACGCCCAGTGGTCCTCCCTATACAGCTGCGGTGGCCGCAAACTCAACAAAAGTCGTAAGTAGACTGTCAAATTTAAAATGTTGAATGTCGGCGAGGCAGGGCACAAACTTAGTGAACTTTTAGCTAGTGTGTCACAATCGAAACGATATTTGGGGACGGGTTGTTTCCATGTCAAAATTTGTCCCTAAAGACAATTTTGAGATTATGTCACTTTTGTGACGTCATTTTCGGTTGGGGTTCTGTCCGATGTCCAAAATGACCGCAAGGGAGCTAAAGATGATCCGAACAATTATAGGCCAATCTCAATTCTCCCCACAATTTCAAAGATATTCGAAAGGCACTTGAGCACTCAAATTCAAACTTATTTGGAAACCTTCAATGTTCTTTATGCTTACCAATCTGGATTTAGATCAATTCATTCATGTGCTACTGCACCGATCCGAATGACAGATAATTGGCTTGATGCTATCGATAATGGTGCGATGAGTGGTATAGTGTATCTTGATTTTAGCAAAGCATTTGATCTCATTGATCATAAGCTTATTATTGAAAAACTACATCTTTATCGATTTGATAATAATTCACAAATTTTGATTGAATCATATCTTGACTCACGGAAGCAAAAAGTATGTTTAGGATCAATTACCTCCTCAATTACTACAGTCAAATGCGGGGTTCCACAAGGGTCGATCCTGGGTCCTCTCCTATTCCTTATTTTTATAAATGATCTCCCACTCAATATTGAATCAAGTCAGATAGATTTGTTTGCTGATGACAGTACCCTGCATTGTTCACACAAAGATATTTAATCCATCGCCAATAATCTCCAAAATTATCTCTATTTGGTTGCTAAATAGTGTGAAAACAATGGGATGGTAATCAATCCTTCGAAAACAAAATCAATGCCGATTTCATCAAAACACAAAAGAAATCAGAAAAACCTAACTTTATCACTCCATGGTGAGAAAATTGAGACGGTTACTACCACAAAATTACTTGGAATTCAAATTGACCAAGACCTTAATTGGGAAGCACAGATAGCAGATATGTCTAAAAAAACTTACATCAAAAATATTTCTCCTAAATAAGATAAAAGATCATTTACCTTACGAGACAGGAATTTTGTTTTATAACAGTTACATACTACCAATATTTGATTATTGCTCTATTATTTGGGGAAATGCTACCAAAAGTAGATTAGACATTCTTTTAAAATTACAAAAGAGGGCAGCAAGAACTATTCTTGATGCACCGATTGAAACTCCGTCCACCTCTTTATTTACTAAACTCGGTTGGCTTACCCTTACACAGAGGATTCTTTACAATAAAATTGTCTTAGCATTCAAAATTATTACATTTAATACTCCACTTTATCTAAATTTCTATTTTATTGAAAAATCTCTTGTTTCCAAAACGGATATCTTGCTCCGTTCACAGACCAGTAAATCTCTTTTTCTTCAAAATTGCAAAACGGAATCTGCCTTTTGATATAAAGATGTGTAAAAATGTTGAAAATTTTAAGATTAAACTGAAAAGTCATTTATTTTGCACACTGAAGGAACCATAATATTCAACTGACGACATACTTATTATTTTTAACTTGCAACTGCATTCTATTTTATTTTGTGTGTAATTATAGTGTTCTTCCTATTTTCTACTTGTATAATGTATATGTTTTGAAGTTTGGGAGTGACTTATCAAACTCCCCACTTTAAAATGCTATTGCATTTCTAATGATTTTAAATTTATTCTGATATTACATGTATATATGTCTTTGTAGCTTAGGAGGGACCTATGGAAGATTAGTTTTTTTGCAAACTAAATACGTTGCCTCAATAAATAAAGTTTTTATTATTATTATTATTATTATTATAGTATCATGCAAGGTAGGGCTTGTGATATATCATGTATAGGGTTTTCGTAGCCACTGAATTTAAAATTGAATTATTTATTGGAATTTTCGATGAAACGGAAAGGTTTGTTCCGTACAGGTATTAGCTTAGAAGGGACAAATACAATTTGTAGAACCAGATATTTTCTATCCAGACGAACCTTCAGTATAATAATCTGTATGCATACAAAGTTTATGAAAATACACATTCAAGCAGCATTTAATATGGTCTACCACCTGTAGGACACTCCCTTCAACTTAAAAATAAATTGTTTATTGGAATTTTCGATTAAATGTAAACTTTCTGTAAAATGTAAAATACTCGACTAATATACCAGTTGTTACATGTTTAACATCATATCTTTCCACGCGAATTAACAATAAATTGTTCATTCGATAAAACGGAAACATTTTTTATACTTGTAAAATAAATACCTATTGTGTATATGATACGTTGAAGTCTACCATGTAATACGGAAATTTGCAACACGTTTATAAGCACCATATCTTTCTACATGAACTAACAATAAATTGTCCATTGGATAAAAAGGAGACATTTTTTTTATATATATAACTGTAAAATAATATATGAATTATCGTTTTAACATCATATCTTTTGCCTCCCTTTTCAGGGATGGACACTCAAAAGGAGTATGGTAGTTTCGGGGGTTCCTAAACTAGTCAATGTTCTCGCGTAGTTATGAATTTATGTCGTTTTTGATGAATTATTAAGATATATGCATAAGCTAAAAACACCAGGATATACTCTAGAAAGTACCATTTAAATTACAGTCAGTTTTTTCAAAAGAAATTTCGAGCCTGGTTGTAGAGAACCCCGTCGTTCACCTCACGGAGCAAAGATAAGCCTGTCCTATCCTAGGTATCATATGTGTAATTTTATGTCAACTTCACAATGGTCAGTATAAATATAACATTTACTTGACAATTATCACAATTTTCATCTGGCCTTAAAACATTTTAATTGGATTTGTGTTCCTGGTGTTATAAGCTTTCCAAATATGTATAGTTTGTTTAATAGGGAGGACCTTGTAGCGGAACTGTGTTTCTAAGCAAGCTAAAAATTTTGGTTGCAGGCCTACTAGACTATACGACAAAAGTTGCCGGGCATAGAGGCGTTAATGTAAAAACGGACCACATTACCATTTCTGAACGAATAAGAGATCTTATTTTTATACGGCTTAAAATGGTGCAAAGGCATAGTAGATGAAATTAAAATGACTCACTATTTTGGTGAAATGTCTTGTGATCTGTGAGATACAAAATAATCAATTCCATATTATGCCCCATTGTATTGTTTATGGGGTGTGTGTGTGTGTGTGTGGGGGGGGGGGGGGTCGCATAGGATGTGTCATTTTTAGCAGTATCATTAACATCATTTTCTTCAGCATTATTTTTGAGTTTTTATTCATGTTCAGTGACTCTGAAAACCTTATAAAAGAGACATTATAAGCTATATAAAACAGTCATTCATGTTATGGAAATTCTGACCGCCATTTTGAATTTTCCCCATCTTGGATTTTTAAAACTCTTTGTTTAGATTAAACAAACATTGTGCAAGAGCTAAATCTGCCTATTGCAGGTCTTTCTTTAGGCCTGAAATGTTTTTTCTAAATTATTATTTAGACATTAATTAACTGACCCAGGCCATAATCAACTCTCGATGGCATCGGATTTCTCCGATATTAAATAAATTAGAACGTATCAGTCATATTTTGATTTAATCTAAAAATGGAGGAGCGAGACTTAGCTTCGAGCAACCAGTACAGTGGTTGAAATTATTGCACGTGTCTTGTCAAACCTTCAAAGGCTAATATCTTCGCTCGCAATAGAGTAATTTGAATGAAATTGTCAAATTATTCATTTTACATTATCTATTTTCGAACTATTGTAGCAAGAATGGCTAGCTCTTTATCTAAATCTTACATTATGAATCTTTAATTGTAAGCTCATTGGATAGTACATGTCATATCAAACAATGAAATGACTATTATCTGACATATTGGCCATTTTAGGAAATTTTGTCGCCATTTTGAATTTCCGCCATCTTGGATCTGGGACACTCATATTTGAGATTATTTTTTATGATCAATGTTTCTGATATCTATTCAATCACTTAAGTTGACCAAACAGATAATTTGGCTTATATGGGTCTGAACACGATTTGTTAGTAAACATACGAACAGACATGAAAAAAAAAATCGAAAATATTGCTTTTTTCAGATTAATCTTTTATTTTAAAACTGATAGTATTGATTAAACAACATATATCATATACCAGCAGATGCAGAATTATATTATGAACATTTTGAGATATATTACATATCCATATAGGTGAAACTGTTGAGGAGTTATGAAGGCTTCCCCGACTCGCACTATTTCAAATAAGAAAAAAAACGGCGGACATTTTTTTTAAAGATGGCCGCCAAACTGACATTTGGCAAAGTGACCCAGAAGTCCATCAACCAATTTTGGACACTTTAGACCTAAGGCTAACTGAAAATCATAGTTAAACCAATTCATCAAATTGGTAATGAATATCTGCCTGTCACATGGACTATTTACTGTAGATTGTAGATCCACAAACTAATTAAAATTAGATGCTATTTTTGTTTCACATTAGCACGTATTTAACCTTGGTGGTACTCCGACTGAAAGCTAGTCCGTGCAGAACAGAAAAACTATGAAACTCCTTTTTATTTCATTAACAGTAGATCGTAGACCCACAAACTAATCAAAATTAGATGCTATATTTGTTTCACATCAGCACATATTTAACCTTGGTGGTACTCGGACTGAAAACTACCAAAGGTTTTACACAACCTAGGATTCAAACCCAAAACTACTGTTATGCTGTCCCCTGAAGATTTGATCATCCTACTATTGTTAACAATAAAAAGTGTTTTTCAAAAATGCATCATTAATATCAAGTAATTAAATATATGTGACTTACAATTTTTCCTTCTTTTCCAAACATTTCTAAAAAGTTTCCAATGAATTCTTTTGATTTGTCTTCCCATTTATTAAAGAGTTCATGCCTTTGTTTATCCATTGATTCCATAGTGTCCTTCCATTTATCCATATATTGTTTACTCTTTCCTTTAAATTTCTCAAAATTTTCTTGTATTTTTAATCGTTTTTCCTAAAAAAGAAAATTACAGGTAATAATTAACATAAAGTAATAGTAGCATAATGGAATTATCGTTCATTAGATTTTCTAATGTCAACATATGTCCCCATGTCAGAATAAGTAAGAGCTTACTATGGACCAGGGACCAAGCATGACGTCACCACCACCATATTGAAATTGTGATATCATATCAAAAATCAAAGGTCTCCAATCGATGCACAATTGTCCAAGGAAGAAGCATGCAAATTATCGTGTCAATTGTATTTGAATTGGCAGAGTCTAATCTGTTTATGAAGTGCTTCGCTCCAAAGAACAAGATGAATAGTGCTTGGGGCTCAGTTCCTGATCCAAAAGTCTGTTTGCAATTGACAGAATTGCATTTTAGTGTCACAGAACGGAGTCCTGTTATAGACAACAGATGTGGTGTGAGAATGTTGGCACATGCCTTGGCACCAGAATCTCTGGTTTTTACTTGATCAACACCTCTTTGCCGGATTGAGAGAATTTGATTATGGAACACTCAACTGAGTATCCCCTGAGTGTTACAGGTGTGTTTTCTTGTTTTGAATGACAAAGGGACATAACTCAATGCATTATCAACTTGACTCATCTGAACTAATGAATCAACATAAAATTACATACCTTGACAAAGCTAACATTGAGTTCTTTAGCTGTATAACCACGAGAAAGATTACGTCGAACATATACATCATAGTCTTTTATAATTCTTGCTATAACATCTGTTGTTGATATACCATCCGTTCTTTCTGTTGGCAAAAACCTACAAAAGGCAATGTCAATCTGATGTCAATGTGTATCATTTAATTCATAAATAAATTATGTGTATAATACTTAGTATTTGTCTGAATTGCAAGATCACTATTAGCTCACTCTGATCTCCAGGGCGGACTTTAAGCCAATTGTCCAATTGCTCCCAATTGGGTCCTGCACTAAGGTCATTTATTCCAGCCTTCTCAAGTAACCATGCACTCGTAAGCAAATACAATGTAAGTTATTAATAAATTATACATTTGTGGGCATATTTAATAAATCATTCCACTAAAACAGAACTTGTCTGTTCTCAATTTGGCCTTGCAGCTCTAAGGGCAAGACTGGTCCTACTGATCTCAATGAAATAGTCTAATGTTTAACTTGGGCTCTTCCTATATGAAACATTTATCTGGTTGGCAAAACCCATTTGGTAAAATCTGACTCTTCAAGAAACTTTGTTCTTGTGTACTTAGGACTGCAATAGGGCTCCTGCAGAAAAACATACTTACATTCCCCTTTCTTTAACAAATTTATAAACATCATCTGCTGACCCTGTTGTATAAGGTAATTCATCATGGGCAACAAAGTCAATCTACAAAATACACATTTATATAGTAAGATAGAGATATTAACAAAATATTCACTGTATTGGTTGCATTTATATTTACAATTTATATATTGAGATGCAATAAAAATGTGCCACTGATTTGACTGAAAATGATATTTTGTATGCTTGTTGGCTGAATATTTACCTACAAAAGAAAATCGAAAACAACCCATGGAGTACATAACATTTCCTACATTTTAACTCTCAACCCCTGCCCTGTCTTAGAACGTAAAGCTATTTTATCTCTTTAATTAAAGAGTTGGATTGTGTTGATCGGATATGTTATTTAAGAATTATGATGGGATAAAATCTATCCAATTTCATTAAATTCTTGTATTACAAGCTTTGATATGGCAAGTGGACACTTACTTTGTGCTTTTCGAGGAATTCTGTATCTAGTGTCCATGGGGCACTTGTGACGACTTCATCAACATATCTACTATGTCTTAATGCTTCATATCTCTCTACTTCATTCATTACAGTTCGACCTTTCATTCTATGGGTTAAAGAATCATTGCAAACTGAAAAAAAAAACCATCACAAAACAATCTGACAAGTGACAAGACTAAATTTCATATTCATGGAATGTTATGTGCAAATTGGCCAGAACCTACATCTACTAAATAACTTATTGTTTAATTTGTAATTTGTAAAAAAATGAGGGGGTCTTATTCAACACAACTTTAACTAATTGGCTAACAGCTCAAATTTGTATCAGGATTTAAACTCCCAGCCAATGAAATTACTGAATCCTTAAAATATTTTAGTTTTAAATATTCATGAATGAAGTCCTAAACTCTTTTGCGAATCAGTAAAGACTATTGTTAAGTATATCGTAGTAGTATAGATCGTAGATTCATCAAAGTACTACAATTCTGTTAATTTCTTTAATATTGTTTGCATGTTTTCTAACGGGATGGGAAAAAAATAATGTAAGCCATAAAATCACTATACTTACCCCCGACAATAAGATAACAGTTAGGAAATGCTAATTTAGCTTGCATGAGTTGTCTTGCATGACCAGAATGAAACATGTCATAAATACCATCAGCATACACACGTACTGGTCGTTGAGCTGTAAATACAAAGCATGTAATTTTTAACAATTTCCTTTAAAAATTATCCTTTATTTCTTACTTCCATTTTATTAGAGGGTAAAGCATTAAAAAACAACCTACACAGTGTAAGAATAAATGACAGTGCCTCATCTACAGGAATATGCCAATATAATTGAGAAATCAAGAGTAATAATCTTCCTTTAAATAATTAGTGTAAGGACAAGCTTTTCAGGCCTTCTTGCTCTCTGTTAAATTCCAGGCAGTGGACCAATGAAATTGCAGTGTTAGGGATTCAATCATCCATTTTTTAAATGATCTGGAAGCCAAGTGACCTGGAATGCATTTAAAGGAGCTAAGTCGCTAATATTTGGGACCTAGAAATTGACACAAATGGGTCGCAACGCATACAAAAATATAATATGAACGTATATAAATTGATTTACATTCAATCGTTTCTGTTTTTACTGTAATTTCTAATCAGTTAGGTTCGGCAAAATACGCCAGTATTCTTAATCGAAATTCAATCTCTAGCGTCTGGTTATTCCAGTCCACGCCAATAGTATTTATTGGGCATGCTCTCCAGATAAGAATATAGCGTCACCGTTTGACATGACATGTGGAATATGCTTAGCCTTGTTTTTCGAGACACTTATTACAAATAGCGCTGAAACGTATTATGGTACACGATTCGTGTACCAATTGTAAAATGTTTATTTTGTCTTAAATATTGGATATCAGAAGGCCATCTTTTCCCGGTAAAATCACAACATCAATGTTGATTTAAACCGACAAATAAATCGTGTTTTCAATGTCGAAGATTTTGGATGATATTGAGTAAGAGACTTAGCTACTTTAACACCAGCCACCCTATACATGTATAATCCAAAAAACATTCATTGTTTAACAGAGAACTTTTAAAATACATACCAGTTCCTGATTTGGCCATTTCCAGGGTAATTTTCTGAGTATAATCACATGATTCTCTTTCTTCACATGCTTGTTCTTCATAATCAAATGGTGCCGGACCATGATTCTAAAAATAAACAATCTTTAAATATATTTTCAAATAAAAAATTTGCCTTACATGTATGGACATTATTAAACCTTGCTAAATGAAACTTCTGGTTTTTGAAATCTTGCTGAATGTGTCCTTACTTTTTGTAAACTTGCTAAATGTAAGCTTACTATAAGTTTATGTATTATTTATAACACCTTGCTAAATGTAAGCTTACTATAAGTTTATGTATTATTTATAACACCTTGCTAAATGTAAGCTTACTATAAGTTTATGTATTATTTATAACACCTTGCTAAATGTAAGCTTACTATAATTTTATGTATTATTTATAACACCTTGCTAAATGTAAGCTTACTATAAGTTTATGTATTATTTATAACACCTTGCTAAATGTAAGCTGATTTTTTATTTCTTACTAAATATAAGCTCTGATTTTTTAAACTTTACTAAATGTCACATCTGATTTTTTAAATCATACTAAAATACAGTAATCTAGATTTAAGTTTCAAAAAATAAAATGCTAATTATGAAACCTCCAAATGTAATCTCAATCTGTTTTTTTCATTCCTAAAAATTAACATTCATATGAAATCAAATGACTCCATATTTCTATCATACAGGGTGTATATCATGACACACCAAGGTTTGGTCATATTACTAGCTAATAATATAACATGTACAGGACAAGCTTTAAAACTCAGTATAATTAAATTGATGCCACAAAATTACTACCGGGATATCCACTAAAATACCATTTGATATCAAACTTTCAAAAGAGGTCAACCATCAAATACTTTGAACTTAATTCATATCAGATAATTTAAAATATATGTGATGGTAATATTTCAATTAACCAGGTTACCCATTTAATAATGTTTATTGTTATTATGTACCATAATTTAATCAAAGATAGAAATTATTTATCTTGTATTAATGTACTATGTCCTTGTTAAAGATTTCCTATCAGTGACCTCTACACCCAATAGGATCAGAACACAGTTCAAAAAGTCAAATTTCAGCAACTAAAATTTAATGTATGTGGAGTCTAAGGCTTAGACAATTAGTGTATTGAATACACTCACCCAAAAGGAGATATTATCGAGAATGTCATTTTATATCCACATTCTGAATGTAGGATTAGGTATATGGGTAATTAAATATTTGCGGGTGACAATGAAGCCTAGACTCATAGGCTAATTCGTAGTAATTCGTAGTGACTGTTTCATGTTTCAAAACTCATGGTATACATAGTTGACATCACAACAAGTAGAGTTAAAGATTCTGCGCATCATTTCAGCACTATGGAATCCCTTACAAACTATAATATTGTAAAAGTTGAATCTCTAATAGGAATAACAGTTCAAAAATGGTTTAATTTCATTCAGTATTTACAAGAGAAAATTGCATTGATCGAGGCTTCTCCCTATGTAATAAAATGCAGCCATTTGTATTTAAAAATCAATCTGAGCAAGGATAAAGAAATTTGATATTTCCCAAAAAATAAATATTAATTTGAACTATTAAATTACAAGTTTCTTGGACCAGCTGGGAAATGTAAAAGTGAGTAGCTATTAGCATGACATTGACTCATTAGTCTGACCAAGAATCTATCGACAAACTGATCAGTCTGACATCAGATATAAATCAAACAGTATGAATTATAGTGCTGGATATGTAAACTGCCTCTAGCCAAGTTTTAAACTTTAAAGGAGCTAAATCACCAATATTTGGAACCTAGAAACTGACACAAATGGGTCGCAACGCACATAATAATGTATTATGAATGTATATTAACTGATTTACATTCAATCGTTTCAAATCAGTTGTGTTCGGCAAAATACGTCAGAAGTCTCAATCGAATTGCAATAGCGTCTGGTTATTCCAGTCTACACCAATAGTATTTATTGAGCATGCTCTCCAGATAAGAATATGTCGTCACCGTTTTAATTACAAAAGGAAGAAATATAAACATGTTAAGCGCTGTTGTTACCCTCAAATATCTATTATATGTTTTTTGTTTCAATTACTATCTTAAGAAAACCTGGCGGCTACGATAAGTGTGTCTGTAAGGAGTACAATACCCTCACGTTTCTCCCTGGCTGTGGAAGTATCACTTACATGTAATATATTATGAACTGCTCATAATCAAGCTAATGGCAATACATCAATATATCTCCAGGGATCTGACAAAATATCTTATTTCACAACCATTTTTTAAAATGTTTATGCACAATAGAGAAAATGAACTAGAATTCTACTGGTATACAGATTAATAATCAATTCATGTTAAGATACGTTTTCAATATTATCATGAAGAAGTACATGTATTACATCATCATTATGTGTGCACACATACCTACTAATTTAACGATGGCTGCCATTAAAACACAATATAAATTCTACCTGATTATTACCTTATTATTATTACTCATTCTCATTAACTTAAATACCGATACTCCATATAATCATTAACATTAGTAACAGATGTTTGAAAATAATAGACTGATAATTGACTGACAGTTCCATTCTGGTAATTGACAATAAAATCATATTCAATAAATCAATATGTACATGCTGCCATGCTGTTCTAAAATAACTTACATCAGATAGACCAGACAACATCACAATAAATAATAAAACAACAGCTGTTTTTGTAATAATAGCAAACTTCAAAGTATGTCCTATGGAATCTGTTCACTTTACAAAATATGTCAACATTGTAACTAGACATGTGTCATAATGACAGAAATGAGAGTCAACCAATAATAATATTTTTCAGTATGAAAACTCAGTTCAATATAAAGCACTGAGTAAAAATGATCTTTCAGGATTTGTGGTGCATGTAATTCAAATGACATATCATATCTTTATTTAATATATCAATAGGTCTAACAAGCCAACAGTGAGGCTGATATCTGCTGCCTCAATTTCAAAATAAATTGATGACACATATTATTATTAATTAATTGCACATTATCCTTTTGTAAAGCATCAAGCAATCAAACGTAGCTTTATCGGAAAATGCTCATGATTGAACTTCGCTATGGTTTGGTGCAATGAAACTACTCTCACTCAATTAGAATTAAAGTCACTGTGTCCCAAAGCATCATCCAATCGAACTGTTCTTTCTCTGCTTAGCATGGCAGAAAACGTTAATCTTTAGGCTGTGCATTGTGGTTGTTCATTAACAAACTTAATGAAACAAAACAGGTTACATATTCCTGTTGCCTACATATTAATAAGACTTGAAGTACAGATAAAAAATACATGTAGGTAGTTCCTACGGCATGGGTTCAAGGACATAACAGCTTGTCTAAGCTTCTTCATTTCAATAAATAGACAAACTAGGTCATTTCGGGACTAACATAATATAGTTCAATTTTTATTTCAATAATTTGCTTAGCAGTAGGGGAACCTGGTGGACACGGAGAAAACACATGGGGTTGGACAGGCGACCATACTTTTTGTCACATAAAAGCGGTGAATCAAAACAACACCACTTGACCATATGATCTAAAGTTCACAAATCTGATTAAAACACAGATCCTATTTTGTTTCGTTTTTATAGTTCAAAATTTCGTTTTACTTGTCTTTACTACACTTGGATCTGGAAGAGTTGTTATTTAACTCGTGTTCTGAATGGTGTCAGGGATAAGCCAATGAAACGGTCTGTCACGGCGAGCTTTAGGCGTGTTTTGCACGGAACTGTGGGTAATCCACTAGTAACATCAATGCTGATTGGTTAATCAAATGTCTGACATCATAGGGTCATAAGTCGGTCGTTTGACCCCTGACGTGACCTATCGCTATAACTTGTCAGATCTTCATGTAGTGTAGTGTCTGCGATATCACCTCGGTGGAAGCGGACGTAAAATACAACTAACCCATCATGTAGTGTAGGCCATCGAAAGTATAAAAAAACGAAACGAAATATACATCTGTATTTTAATCAGATTGAAAGTACACATGTTAAACCATTTGGCCACCCTAACCTCCTGTAGTGTCACACAATATTTAAATGTCACACAATCCTTTCCACAAACTAAGCTAGAAATAAATTATTGAAGCATGGTCAAAATCTAAATGAAGCTTTGTAAAAAAACTAATTAAATTTTTTATTGCTTGACCAAAGAGCAAACACCCTTCAAATGATAAAATAAATTTAATGAAAGTACTGGTTTATTTAAAATAAAATAATTAATTGGAGAAACTTATTCTTAAGCAACTACAATTAAACCATTACCCTGGTTTAAGTAGGATTTCCTACCTTAGTCCATTCCTTTCCTGCACGAAGTGGCTATATAGAAATAAAGATATTCTATATCATTTTCTATGACATTATTGTCAAATATGCAGCACTGTATCTTAGATACATGTATAGTCATGTCTTCACTGACTTGCATAGGGAGTCCCAGTGGTTCAGTGAGTAAGGTGCTGGCTCATGGATCGGAAGGCCCGGGTTTTGATCCCAGTGTTGACCGAGAAAGTTCCGCAGGATATTTACTTTTAGGTTTGGTTTCCCCTTGTCAGTGGTGCATGAAGGAGGGCCTGACAAAGACAGTGTCTAGTCATTCAGATGGAATGAAAAAAAACCGAGGTTCCATGTACACGTTGGCATGCACGTTTAGGAACACTTGACAGTTAGAATTTGAAATAAGAGTAGGTTGTATCGCAAAATTTCCCTCATAGCACACTGCATGGTGTATGCCTGTCTTCATTAGCCTCGTCGGTGCAAAACAGTAGGGTGTTAATAAACCCCATTTAATTTCACTGACTCATGTATTAGTGTTATACCTTCACAAATAACTCTAATCATAGCCTGGTACATAAATAAAGACTACTAACCGGCCTCAACCAACTGAATCTGAAATATACATATTTCTTTTTTTTTTTGAATTATTTCAATCTAACCTGGTTATGAATTTAAATTTAAATTTACTAAATCAGGTGTTTAACGTTTGAGTGAACTAGCTGAAACAGTACTCTGCATGAATTTTGCATGATAAGCCTTTGCAGTTAAGCATTTATTCTCTGTGGGTATTCAAGGGATGCTAGTTAGTAAAAAAATAATTTTTTAATTTGACATGATTTGACAATTTACAGTTATGATGCAAAATTTGAGACAAACCTGTCAAGCCAGCCTTGATACATTAAGGTTTCGCTATCATTTTACAAACAGTATTGATACATGGATTTGACAGTTATGAGAAAGAAATGACAAGTTATTTTCTATGGAGATGGGAGCATCATTCACATTAGAATTACAAAATCAGTGCGTATGTCCGATAAACAAGATTTTTAGTTAATTGTAAAATAAAAACCTTCTATTCACCTTAGCGTACAATAAAGGGTTAAATTATGTACGGCATTAAGTGAATTGATGTAAACAGCAGAAATAAACAGATAGTGAAAAATATGTAGAGCCTTGAAATGTACAATGCAAGCAGAATTATCTGGCATGCAACCAAAAATTTCAATGTCACTTGTCTTTGTGGGCCAAATAGATTAAGCTCAAGGCCTGCACATAAGATTTTAGGCATTTATGTTTTATGTCTGAAGAATGATAAAAAGTTTTCTAGAACAATGCCATTTTATCTGATGTCAATATGAAACAGGCATTATGTAAGAGCTAAATCTGCTTATTGTAGGTCTTTCTTTGGGCCTTAATTAATGTTATATAAATTAATAATTAAACTCTCGATGCCATCTGATGGCTCTGGTAGATTAGAATGGTTCGGCCATTTAATGATTTAATTTAAAAATCACGAAGCAAGGCTAAGACTCGAATGACCCGTACGGTGGTTATGATCAATGCACAGTTGCACACATCTTGTCAAAACTATGACCATTCATAACTTCACTCAAAATAATGTAGTTTAAATGACATTTTCAATATATTCATTTTGCATTATCTATTTTTGAAATATTATAGCAAGAATGTCCAGCTCTTTATCTAAATCTTACATAATGCCCCTTTAAAGGACAATATTGGTGTCCTCTCATCGTCAGATATAACAACTTTTCATCTTCAACGGAATTATCAGTGAAATGAAATTCGATCGTTTGTCTGTTACCGCTCGTTACTTCAGTCAGTTATATAGAAGGACAACTCATGTTTGACGTCACTTCCCGTTTCTTCGCGTGCTTGTTAGACATCTCCCGTAGCAATGATCTCTGTGTTAAAATTATATTTGGGATGTATTTAACGAGCTCTATCACATATTTTATAATGACTGACACCAATATTGTCCTTTAAATGTTGGTTATTGCATATTAAAATGTGTATTTAGATTTTTCTTACAAAAAACCTAATGCTCTTGGTATTGCAAAAACAATCAAAAATATACACAACCTTTAAAATAACTTAACATAAGCTTACATTGTATATTGAAGTCAAGAAGTGCAATTCATACCATCGCCCACATAAGCTAAGTCATCTGAACAGTCCATAAAGGTTGTCACATGTTTATGCTTTTGTTGGTAATGGGAACATTTAGAAGACACTAACAAACAATGGAAAGATTTTTTTATAATCAACATGAAGTAGATCAGCTAAGTCACATGGGCTGTCAACAAGGGTTGTCGCATATTTTTTTTCTTTCGTTGGTAATGAAACATTTACAATACACTAAAATCTGATTAGGAGTAACAACTCATTAAGTAATTATTAGAAATCATGAATCAGTTTGGCTTTAGTTCTACCACATGTTAATGTTTAGTATACGAAACATTTGATATCATGGATTTAGCTGTTCAATTTATCAAAATCATTGAAAATCAATAGACTTGTTCTTCTGATGACCATATAAACACTATGTGTAAATTTAAAGTCAATATGGTAATAACTTAGCCAGACCGACGGACAGGGTTGACGACAATATACAACCACATTTCAATGTGGGCATATAAAAAATGAAGTAGTATATGTTTATAACAAGCTTAGCATTGTTGGATTCAATAATGTTTTGTGTGGAGGTAGTTAAAGAGATATATGTCCTTTTATAAATATGTCAACTCATTATTGATACCATTACAAAGCTCCAACATGGTAAGGATCAAAAATATATAAATGCAGTATGTAAAATCAACAGAGATTAAACAATCTGTTGTCAAGTCAGAAATGGCAGCAGTAGAACAAAGACATTAATAACATAAAAATGCTTAAAATGATATCTTCAGACTTTGACCTTAATCTATTTAACCAACAATGGACGAGTGACATTAAATTTTTGGGTTGCTCGCCATGTCATCATCGTGTAGATATTTCTTTTCCTTGTAGCTGAATTGAAAATGTATACAATACATGTAAATAACAAACACAGCCAAGCTTTGTAATTACTGAGGACAGTCATTATAATAGATCAAAACATTACTATTTAAAGTACATGTAAATAGTTAGAATTAGAAATCAGTAGGTGATTAATTACCCCTAAATTACTGTTTTGCTTGTTTCATGTATGTGGAACAATATGTCACCAGGTACACATTCCATCCTTTTGGAAGTATGTGGAACAATAAGTTTTCTTATTGATACTAATATCTTATCATTTAATATAAATTACCAATACAAATGCTAGAATCTTAATAGATATTATCAAACTGAGTTAAAATCGATATCTAATTCTAAAAAAAATTATGCAACCAACACAGCTGTTACAAAATGTACCAAACTAACTCTGTGTAATGTTAATATTATTCAATTGTGATATTCTAACATAGATCTATATTGAATGACACTCAAGTTTCAAATCAGATTCAGACCCCCACCCCCTCCCAAAAAGATATTGTTTTTTAACAATGCAGCCCAATGATCAACATAATAGGATGTCCAAGAAAACTTTGATGTTAATTGCCAGTTTACAAACCTATATGTTGTGCACTCAACAGTAAATAAAGCTTCTCAATTTACGGACAACTGGACTAAAAGACTACAGAGGTGAGATGCTGTAATGTGGTTGTAATAATTGTATTACATTTACACTATCTTGATTCCTCTTTCCTGAACACATGTACACTGTAGACAGCGAATAAGTTCAAATCAATAACTATATAGCCATTTTACAGAAGACATTAAACTGATTAAACTCTAGAAACTATTGAAATAAGAACAAGTCTGAAATCAGAATCTGTACAGATTAGGGATGAAATCATATCTTACATTTAACATTGTAATACCCTGGTAACCCAAAAACCTCAAAATGTCATTTTATCATGGTTTATATTATAAACATAGTTTATCTTAACAACAATATTTATGACCTCTTCTATATAATATATTTTCATATTTGTTTAAACCTACATGTTATTGACACATATCAAAAGGATTAGGCATAAGTTCAGGGGTGGAGCCAGGAATATTTGCAGAAGGGGGTTTGCCCGGTACCTGAGACAATGTATCTTGCAATGTACATGTATCCCCCTCCACCAGCCTTGAAATTTTTGAGAAATATACATGTATGGTCTCTATCGTCAGTTTGGCATATATACATACACACTGAGCTTTTTAAAGAGAGAAATCCAACACTCCATGACAGTTTTTATTATGAATTAATATGATGACTTTGTGATTCAATTTCATTGATGCAAAGGATAAAGCAAACAACCATGACACTCTTCCCATAAAAAGTGTTGTTTTACAAATTTTTTATGTAGCTGAGTAAAAGAGAGGGGGGGGAATCCACACCCACCCCCCTCATGGATCCGCCCCTGAAGTTTCAGAAACTTAGGAGTAACCTTTCCATGACTCCATACATGCATGGAAATAAAGAATTTACGAGACACATTCAAATGACTCTAGTTATCCACATTCACACCATTAATCCTTTAATGTAACAAGTTTATTATTCCTGCCAAACGAAGCTAAGAGAGTGATATTAAAATGGACTCGTCCATCCTGGTTTTGTTTCAGAAGTAGGGCCTATATTTCATAAACAGTTCAACCAAGAAATCTTTATGAATCTAGTATTATTCCAGTTATAGTAATTTTGTTCATTAGATATGTCTCAGATTTAATAGTTTTTGAAACAAGAGCACTGTACATGCGGCAATACTATTTACCGGAAAACACCGGAAAACAACCGGAAAACACCATTTTATACTGAATACCGGAAAACACCGGAAAAACACTAAATACCGGAAAACACGCTAAATACCGGAAAATACCCTAAATAGGTAACCCGGAGACTGGCACCCTAAATAGGTAACCGGGAGCCTGGTCCTCTGTGTGCCTGGGTTAGGGTTAGTTTCCGGTTTATAGTATAGCCCTTATCCGGGTTACCTATTTAGTGTGTTTTCCGGTATTTAGTGTGTTTTCCGGTATTTAGTGTTTTTCCGGAGTTTTCCGGTATTCAGTATAACATGGTGTTTTCCGGTAGTTTTCCGGTGTTTTTCCGGTTGTTTTCCGGAATATAGTATAGCCCCTGTACATGTATGTTAATGACAGAGTCTGGTTTATTTTTAAAAATGGTCCATGTGTAAATGTATCAATGAAAAAAGATTTGTTTAGTCACATTTTAAATAAAATAATCTTCACTTACAGGTCTTCTGTATTCACCACACCCATTTAAGTTTACCAGTTCTCCATTTTTAGCCATTTCTCCGTTTCTTGACCTTTTTCTCGAGGACATTCTTGTTCTGTAAAAACATTTTCAATATTACTTTTTATAGCAATTATAATTGACTTACGCTACATATACAACTTGGTATATATAGACAAATATCCCCCTCTCTATCCATCTATGCACACACATAGAGCATCATTAGAAAAAGCCATCATAAGATTTCACAATTTAAAACGCAAACAGGGAAATAAGTTCTAGGTATGTCAATCAAATCTCTAAATTATAAATATTCAAAATGCTCTTCCTTATGCCCCAATGAACAATCTCTGAAACGTAGAGACATCACCATATATTTCCATCGATGAGTATAGGTTTCTTCTGCAGGTTGCCTCTGAAGGTCTTCGCTTTTGCTTGCCTTTCAGTTTCCAATCTAACGCCAGATGTGTATTGCTTGAATGTGGGTAGTGCCAGGTATGAACAACCTATCACCACTTACATACATTAATTGAAATGAAATGAGGTTTAACGTCCTACTTTTCTGCACCAACTGGGCAAATGAAGACAAGACACGCATTGTATGAAGGACATTTTGCCCAAACAGCTGTGGTTTCATCTACTGGTACTCTTCGCTGATATTCATGTTTTATGTGCACGCCAATGGGTCCACTGGACCATATATCTACTGATATTGATCGGATCATCCAATTTGGCAATCACATGCAGGAATCTTAAAATAAAATTAATGAATGGACCAAAATATCTACTAAAATTTATTCTGACACCAGAGAGAACATTCAAAAGATGTAAATGCACAATCCTGTCTATAAATTTAAATATAAATACACTGAGATGATATAATTTAACTATGTCAGATTTAGATAAATAGCTGATTGCTCTTGCTATATTAGTTCAAAAATAGATTTATAATGAAAAATTAATATTTTGAAAATTTCATTCAAATTATTTTACTCTAAAAGAAATTATGGGTGTTGTAAGATGTATCCCAGATTGTTTATTATTGTAGCAATGTTACTGGACAATTGAGACTTAGCCTCGTTTAGTCTTGATTGTTCTATCATTTAATTTTTAAAATCTCGTGGGAGTCCTAATCCATTTAAATCTTTTTCATCTGGTGGTCTAGAGAGTTGATAATGAGCTTTATATAACAATTGAAGCCAAAATAAAGACATGCAATAGGAAGAATAAGCTCTTACATAGTGCATCTTTAAATTTACCAGCATACATGTGTGTGTATGATACAGTATGTAATTGTAGTGTGCTGATGCTTGTCGGCCTACATATTTCTGAATAATTCTGTCTATCAAAATTCTTAAAAAAAAAAATACAAAAAAGTAAACCTTCTATAATACTAAACAGTTGTGTCAGCTTGTTGAATTGGGGCAAACATTAATCACATTGCAAAAATCGAAACAGTCTAAATATCACAACATGAATAACATCTAAAGCAGAGTATATTATTATTAAATTAAAATGTTAAAGGTGGAAGTTTTCAGTAATATTTAATCATGCAAGCTTATTCCTTTTATGCTATTTTTAATTAAAGTAGGCTTATCCGTGACAAAATACTTAATCCAAAAATTTTGACTTAAATTAAAATATTGAGTATGATACATGTACTTGTGGTAGTTATTTCTTTAGAATTTCTTTAAATTAAAGTGAAATTTTACAAAGAGTTATTACACAGGAAGATGGTGCACTGGCAAATATTCATTTTCAATAAGAAAAAAAATATTACCAGGAAAATTTGAAAAATTTTTTTTCTTGATTTCTGCTTGTTTTTAATCTGCATTTTGACTGCCATATTGAAAAGACATATTTGATCTTTCAATAAGAAAAAAAATATTACCAGGAAAATTTGAAATTTTTTTTTTTTGATTTCTGCTTGTTTTTAATCTGCATATCAAAACATAAAATTTGTAACCAATTTAATATTTAAACAAAAATTATGGATACATGTACTATAAGGAATATCAACACCAATCTCAATTCTAATACATTCTGCATGTCAGCTCATATTCATATAAAATTTTAATAACCTTTCTATTCTTAAAATACTAAATAAACCTAAAAGTTGAAATAATCAAAGTGAGAAAAGCCTGCTCACGCTCTTCCAAAAAAATATGCATGTATATTCTATTTCTTACTAAAAACTTACCTTTTAGGCATTTTTATATCCTTATTAATAAATGCAAATGATTCTGACTATAAGTATTGAATACGTTCAATTCAGGCCTATGCCAAAAGACTATTAAATTTAAAGTAAATTAATCAAATATAATTAAATTCAAAAAATATATATATTTTTCAACTCTTTTGATTTTAAGTGAAATGTGGACACTATACAGGTACATATCCTCTTAAATGACCAATAAAATTGATAACAAACTCAAAGTTCACATATGACATGTTATATCTAAACTCAGAGTCATAGACCTATATCAATGCGTATTAACCAGTAAATAAATGATAAAAATATTAAAATCACGTGGTACATGATTTCAACAGCTGTTGATCAAATCGACCACGGTCCACAGAACAGCGATAAATTGCAAGAACTATTATTGACTCTAAAAGCTAATTATCATTTATATATTTATAGTACGGCTTTAGTAAGTATCTAAATTGAATTGATATTTGAATCATAATCTTAAATTGCTGAATATAAAATTTTACTGATATTGACTGGTCTTTCTAGGTACCAGTTTGCTTTACATATTATAACTTATTATAGGCTACAAAGCTGTTTTGATTACCTGGCTGGTCTGGCAAATATTATAATATTAGGCTATCATTGACAGAGATGCACTTTACAGTATTTAATGTGATGCTGAAAATAACATTTGGATGGGGTGATCCCAAAACAGTGGTATGGCGTGATAATTCTCGGGACGCTTGTGACGTGGTAGGTGAAGCCAGTGAAGGTGAAAACGTGACTAATAGATGTTTACTAAGTTCTTCACTGAGTCTTCAGTATTAATTTCTGAAGAAATATGGTCGGAACCCATCTATTTTAAATTTTTGTACTGAACGTAAGCTTACAGTTCAATTTGCAAATATCCGATTTACTTCGTGTAGAATCGAGTAAGCAATTATTAAAATTACAATATACTTACAATTACTAATACATCAAGACTCTATCTATGAAACACACAACTGGCCTTTATTACATCAATCTCTGTTGATAATTATTTATGCCATGTGTAGTATGTGAACTACGTCATCATTATTGTTGTGTACTACCTAAAGATTTAGTCTAGATTGTCAAAATTGGAAATGTTTATTGTCTTGCTAACCGAGTCTACGAATCATAAATTTGCGCAATGTATCACACACCATTGCGCAAAAGAAAACTATCTCCAAAAGAATGAATTACCAAACACCTTGAGCGTTTTTTAATGCCTTAGCCACTCTGTTACATCTCAATTAATTCTTTGAAGAAAATAAACTATAAATTATCGATTGGTTGACTCCCATTTTTACTTTTTTAGAAGAAAAATAGGTAACTGTGGTAGGGTTATGTCCCTTCATATACCCGCCAAAAAATAAATACAAAGTGCGGGAAATGGCTCCAGCTCCCGAAATGGACAACACAGATGATCAAACACAAGGTTTTCGGATTACATTCTTTCGATCCCAATCATATAACATAATCATGAAATATTCTATCTTTAGATTCTAACGACCTAGAATTGTTTAAAACTATTTTTGTCATAAACACTAAACAGATCTATTCAGACAAGTCAAATGAGACTGAGTGGTGCGAATCAGTCTTGACTGAATTGACACTGACTCTGAGGCGATGTCACAATAATAACAAGAAATGAATAAAAATAATAATAATTATACGTGTTATTCTCATTAAACTAATGACAGAGATATGATTTATTTTTTCACATTTTCATTGTAGTAGAGTAGATCTACAGACTTGGATTATTTAGGTTTAATGTCTGTCCATCAATATTATAAATAATAATAATATAATACACCATATGGGTATCATGGGACCATGGGTGACCATATATATATGGCTATCAATCCAAAATGTGGTCTTAAATACTACACTAAGCAAGAGATAGCCTGTTTGTTGTGGATAAAGGGTTTCACAAAGATGTTTGGTTGGTTATGTTGGATGGGTCATACTCATAGTTACTTAGTATCAGTGTGTGGGAAAGCAATTCTTTAACATTTTTTGATCCATAAAGATGCGATATGTGCAGTTCTTTATCGTTTTTTTGTTTTGTTTTTTTTTACCAAATTTTCAGAAAAAATAATTATTGGCGTAAAGATGAACTCTTTTGATCAAGAGTAATAGATTTGGGAGATAATTTTCATTGAATAGTTTTGAATTATAATTAACTTATTATATAATAATAATAAGGGTTCTTGACATTCACAAGCTTTTATTTATAAATATGGCTAGGGAAACTAAAAAAAGGAAAATGGATGGAAGTAGGTGATATAATTATAAAAAATTCGATAAATTAAATTGCCTAAGAGTTAACTGAAATAATGTAATTCAACTCAATTTTTATTTTAATAGCCACCGAATCAATAGCACAGGGCCGATCAAGGCGTGAAAAGAAAGACAAATCAGGAAAATTTGCTGCTTTTGAAAAACTTAAAAGAGCAAAAGAAAGGGGAGAAAAAAATAAATATGAGGTGAGATAATATTGAATGCTTGTTGACAATATTTCTAATTTTATGAACACGGCTGATAATAGTGGTAAACCTAAAGACCAGTCTAAAAATAAAGCAGCTTTCACAGACATTGTCAGATACAGCAACTTCAGACTTGCTCAGGAGTAACCCCTCTAGTACTTATCATTTTATCTGGTGCCCCTTATCGTCTTTTTCTTTGCTTTTGTTGATGATTTTAATACATGTCCAGTACAGGGATCGAATTTGACGAATGCAAACACGCAAAATTCGTGTTGATTTTGTAGACTGCAGGTTACAAAATATGTCACACAAAAAAAATGCTTGTAACATTTTTTCACTTATTGTTACTGAATAACATGATTGTTCAATAAAAACAATACACACATATCATAATTGACCTTTTTTAGTGTTCGACCATCTGTCCTTTCATTATTGTCGTTATATTCCATCAAACAAATTCTGACATCGGTGAAAAATGTACGTTATTGGCGAATGGCTTTCACGCGACACAAACAGTTTTAATAGTAAAAAATACATACCGTTTTGATTTTTCTGGATGATATTTAACATAAATATTGAAAAAATGTTATTTACGATATTTTATAGCTTAATGATGAATAAATACTGTTATAAAATAGTGTTCAGAGTTGCCTGACATTTTTTCAGATATAAGTAAAATTGTTTTCCAGGACTGGGAATGGCTATTATAATGATGAATCATGATAACTAATTGTCCTCTAGAGCACTAATTTCTGATCTCCTTACACAGAGTTCATAGTGTTCTAGCACAGATATTTAGTAAAAAGATAGGTTTTCAATGTTGTCTTACAACCAATTAATGTTTCATTTTACTGAATGTATCTTGGAAGATTATTAAAGTTGAATCTGTAGCTGATCTAAGGTTAGGTCCTGATTGGTTATAGGCGCAAAGTGTTCTTTCACTTATAATCAGACTTCAAAGGTATTCTAATACAGTGGACTCTGTTAAATCCAACATCGTATGGGATCGTTACAATATATCAGATTATGCAGAGTGTCGAAATACCCTGTTTTCTCAAAACTGGAGGTATTAATTTAAAATTATTATTTTAACATTATTATAATGTAGCTTCGAATCCCCAGAACGTTGTTCCCTTTAAAAATGATAAACCTTTCTGTACATTCAAAATTTGATTACATTAATTTTGAATAGGTCAAGTCTGTCGTTAATTTATCTTCTTCATTGTCTTCAGTTGATCTCACACTTGTCTTTGGTGTCGTTCCATATGTCCAGGTCGTCGTCACACGGTTCGGGTAGATCCGTAGGGTGAACAAACTTAGGTATTCACGTTCAATCAGCATTGCTAGGAATATTTTTACGACTGTGAATTCGTGGGAAAATTCGTGGGTATTCTTGAGTATTTGTCGCAACTGTCTTACAAGAGATTATAAAATTATCAAAGTAATCAAAAAAGACCTACGCGAGCGAGTTTTAATCTCACCGATAATTGATTGGCGATTGCTTGTTAATCTTTTGTGGCTTCACACCCACCGATTGAAGGCCGGATTATACAATGTTGATTCAATGGAAATTGTGTGACCGGACGATTGATTGATGTCGTAATTCCGAATATTCAGAATACCGATTACTCAAAGCTTTCTTGACTGAAATAATAAGGAAATAAATCGGGACATGAAATTGATGTTGTATTTCACAGAATGTCGTAGTATTCAGATGTCGGATGTGACAAGAGTCCACTGTATAGAGCAACTGTCTTTTCACAGGTGTGATCTCTACTGTAGTAAAAAAAGAAATAATATGTATGTTTGTGATGTTTTTAGCTGGAAGAAGAGAAAGCTGTGTATGATATTGTTGATGAAGATAATTATTCTGAAATAGTTCGGCAGCGACAAGAAGATGATTGGATTATTGATGATGGTGAGATATATACGGACGCACTATTTAAATACAAATCTTCCTTTGTAAATGAAATGTAGAGACTGTAAATCATGATTATCATATTTGTTGACTGTATTGTAGATGGTGGACCTGTGGTGGCTCACTGAGTAAGACATTGGCTCGCTAACCAGAAGGTCCTGTTGATCCCTGCATTGGATTTTTCGGCATGGCTCAACCCTGTTTGTAGTGCAGGACAGAAGGCCTGGCAAGTTACATCTTAACAGATGTCTAGTGTACACATTGGGATGCCTGTAAAAGAACCCTTGGCAGACGGAATTCGATATACAAGAGTAGGCTGTAGAGCCACTGTAGGTTCGTCTTTATTAACACAGTCGGAGCCGAAAAGTAGGAAGTTAAACCACATTACTTTCTTTCATTGTAGATGGAGCTGGTTATGTTGAAGATGGACGTGAAATATTTGATGATGATATGGATGATGATACTTTTTCTAAAAATGAAAGTAAGTAAAAAGTGATTTCAGAACCTGAATCAGTGGTGCTCCAAGATAAAAAAAAATAATATCTCCAAATATATCAATGATTATGCCACCATATTCATATATATATAACAAGCTATAGTTTCTACCATTTATCATCACTAGGTAATTTTCATGACATTTCTGTGCCAGACATGGCCAGTTTTAAGTGCAAAATCAGTTGTGTGCCCTAGGTTCAAAATTAGTCGCAACAAGCCAGACTACTGACAGTTCTCTGGCCAATTGACAAGTCTGGATGACCAAGACTATTTATATGAAACAATAAAGACACCTAGAAAAAAATTGGAAGTCAAGAGGTTTAGAAAGCTTATAAAAAGGCAAAAGAAACGTACTTCTAGGATTCTGATAGCGGGTCTGTAACGCAATCTTGAGATAAATTCTGTTAAAGCAAAGCATGTCGCTCTAATGAGTATTAGTACAATTCACTAAAATAGCAAAAAATTTAATAATCCCTACAAATTTTTGTGGCCAAGAGGTCCTTCAGATATAACCAGAGTCAGGAATGGTTCTTCAAATCTTTAATACTGAAAAGTGGAAACTTATAATAATAATTAACTACATACACTTACAGGACCGGAATAACCGACTAGTACCTAATACTATTATAAGTCGGATAGACCTTAAAGACTCATGTATCAAGTACAATCATATATTTATGTGGAATTACTTATCACTTGGTGAGATCAAGTGTTGACATAAACAATCATTGATGTAATAATTTACAATATAAGAAATAAAACAATTAATAGATTATTCATACAGTTGGCATCTTCACGAGACAGGCCATATTGGCAGTTTTTTTCTATCTATAAAAGTTTTATAAACAATAAGGGATTATAATAAGTTAACATGCCATTAGCATTACATAACATTTCATCCATGGCTAGTCCCCTTTTAATAGCACACACACAATTAATGTTTTGAAGGAATAGAATAGTTATTGTCCCAAGAGATTAAATTAATTCAATTTGAAGGCTTTCACTTTTAAAATAAGTAATGTATTATCTTAAATATTCAAGATTTAAATTATAACATATAACTACTATAAACGGCACGGGGTTATATTTTGTTAAAGTTGTCACAACTTATAATCAAAATTTTTAGGGCTTTATTATGTCATGTGAGTTGGCTATTTAAAGTAACTTCCCAGTTTTATTACAGCCCATTTCTGGCTGTTTGGGGCACACCACCTTGATAAATTATATAATTATAAACTGTTTGAGATATGAACAAATAGATTTGTGTTTGGTAACTGCTTTGTATTTGGTGTTCCATTCACGTTTCAGTATACCTTCATTCCTCTGCTTCCATGGTAACATGATATAACATTAAATATTGTTTTGTTTTGTAATATGGACTAGATGAACACTTGTTGGCTTTCTATTTTTTACCCATTCTTAAAATTGTTTTTGGGGGGGTTTTTTGCAGAGAAAAAAGATGGTGATAAGAAGAAAAATAAGAATATTGTACGACCAGGTACAAAACCTAAAGCTAATATTAAATCAATGTTTGCAGCTGCTTCCATGGTAACAAAGAAAAAACCAGAGGTAATGTAATGGATATTTTTCCGCTGATGATCATTTGCATTTTTGGGAGAATCTCTAGTAATCCAAGCTAAGCTACTCAATAGTTTATTAACATGATAATTAAGAATACATAATCAGAATTTCAACAGTAGATAATGTCCCTAATTGGATTAAATAGAGACCCATTATACAATTTTAGTGAAGATTATAGGTTGTTTTGATGCCGAATGTTTACAAATTTTCAAATGATCATATCTTTGTAAATACGAAACTGAAATTTATTTTTAGAGATTCAACTTTTGCAATACTGTAGTTCGCAAGATATGAAAAATCTTTAAAGGACAATATTGGTGTCAGTCATTATAAAATATGTGATAGAGCTCGTTAAATACATCCCAAATATAATTTTAACACAGAGATCATTGCTACGGGAGATGTTTAACAAGCACGTGAAGAAACGGGAAGTGACGTCAAACATGAGTTGTCCTTTATATAACTGAAGTAACGAGCGGTAACAGACAAACGATCGAATTTCATGTCACTGATAATTCCGTTGAAGATGAAAAGTTGTTATATGAGACGATGAGAGGATATCTGACAATTCAAAAAAAGAATTGGCTGTCAGTAGATAAAAGATAACGAACAAATTAGAAAAAGTCCGTGCATTACAATGTTTTTATTAAGAACAGAATGAATAAAAACGGGGGAATGCACAGGATTTTTCTACTTTTTCTCGTGTCCCTTATTTAGTGACAGCCAATTCTTTTTTTGAATTGTGAGATACCCTCTCACCGTCCCATATAATAACTTTTCAACTTCAACGGAATTGTCAGTGTAATGACTGACACCAATATTGTCCTTTAAAATGACAGATGTTAATATAAAGTTAATATTGATTTCAATTTTGATTGAGCGTTCCCAAATTGAATTCTCCCAATCATTCTAAAGGTGTTAATTGATAAAACAGGAAAATTTCAGGACACAATGGATGCTCCAACGGGATATATCTGAGCTATCTCGATAATCGCTATAGCTGAAATGTTTGATTTTTTCATGATTCTGCTCACATTGTTTTTGGGATTGGCAGAAATATGTCAGGACTCGATTCCATTTCTATCGATTGTAATTCCTTGAATTGACTATTTATTCTTGAATGACAATCGAGTATCTCTTTGTTCCTCAAATTTATAGAAATTATCTCCCTTTAATGCACAAGGTTTATTATTAGTTGTCTCCCCTGGGGGAATTATGTTTGGTTTTTGTAGGGATGCTCGATTGTCAGTCCAGAAGGTTCCGAATTGACAGAATTGCAATCATGTGACATAGAATTCAGTTCTGTCAGTCACGACAACTGAGGTGGTATTAGTAGAACTGTGAACTAATTAAGCACAACAGATATGTTTTAGCTGTCATAATTGGTTGAGATATTTTCTCATACAGTCGACGCATGCATTCTAGCAACAAATTTCCATTTTCGCTATTTTGGGGTTTGACAGAATTCAATTCCTGGAACGTTCAATCGAGCATCCCCATAGATATCTTTTTTTGTTAAATTATCTTTTAATAGAAAATGTATGCATATATTCTTCTCAGAAACCATTTTGAAAGATTAAATTGTAAAATAACAATTTCTAATAAGATTTTTTTTTTTTTTGATTGACAGAAGGATGTGAGTTTAGCTAATGATGATTTATTAGGAGATTTAATGGAAGAACTACATAAAGGTTCTTCACAAGCTAAACCTCTTCCTGTTAAAATCAACAAAAACAAAGCAGCTTCAAAGTAGGTCTTCTTAGTTTTATTCTAAATGGATATTCAGTATTTTATATATAATTATTAGAAATGATCAGGACATTTTCTAATGGTCAACACAAATTCGAAGGAAACAAGGGACTATTAAAATCTGTCTGTCTGTCTGTGACATTTTATGAGACACAATAACTCTCCTTCTAATTGAGCTAAAATGTTCAAACTTGGTGTGGGTGTTTATTAGGTCAATGTCTTGATGGAGTGAAGATAAGCATTTCCTGCTTAGGGTAAGCCGAGATAAGCAATTTGATTGGTATATGCTTTGGGGCACAATTACTTTAGTTCTAATTATGTAAGAGTTATCAAACTTGGTGTATAGTTTCATTACATCAGTACTTTGACTAAGTTTGATAATGAACGTTTTCTGCTCAGGGTAAGCAGAGCGATAAGCAATTTGATAGGTTGAGACTTTGGAAAACAATAACTCTCCTTCTAATTAAGCTAGAATGTTCAAACTTGGTGAAGGCGTTCATTGATGGAGTTCAATGATGAACATTGTCTGCTTTCTAAGGCTGGGAATCGATATGAAATTTCAATATCGATTATCGGCAAGAATTTGTCAGCAATTATCGATAATAATCGATTATCAATCATTCTTCCGGAAAAAACAAACTTTACCGACCTGTTAATGTTATTTGTGTTGATCGAGTTACAGTAGTGTTATTATCCTAGTCTAATACTGTGCCGATGTACGTAAAAAAATCAATTAATGTAAAATAATTAGTTGCTAAATGTAGGATTAACTTGAGTATTATTCTAAGTTTTGTTCTTGATTCATTTGAACCTTTTTTTTTATTCCAATATCTCCGATAAATACAAAGACAATACATGGTTTCTCTTTGCAAGTTACTGGCGATCACACAGTGTTACTAATAATAGAATAAAATATAATAGAAGGCGTCTATTGATTGGACAATAAAAAAATAATTACCGGCTTTCAAAGTAGAATTTTTATGATTGGTTAATTTTGACGAAAACCAAAGTAGAATTCTTCCAAGAAATTACGAGAGATATAGATATTTTCCCGGGAAGTCAAAAACGTGTTTTGTATGGGCTGTATCTGACATGATTTAGTAATAAAAGCTGAGTTAATCATTAATAATACAATTAGTTTTATCGTGAAAGCAGACAATTTCTCTACAAATCAATCAAGAGCAAAGAAGGGAGATAATTCTAATTTTACTATATCACGTGCGATCGTCATTGTTCACAAAGTGCGTGACCTATTTTAGTTTCAACTAGTAATAACAACAAAAACAACGAAAATATTAAAATAATGTATTTAATCTTAAAGTTTAGTTTTTTTACAATAATATATATTTAAAATGTGCCAGTTTGTAAGCAGAGTGGGAAAATAGTTGTTGTGTTGACGTTGTGTATTCGTTCATTCGTCTGCATGCCAGACTACGGCAAATTCAGTCATGTGAAAGTGACCGTAACTTGCCGTCAGAAGGTAAATATACCGATAATCAATATTTGAATTTCAATATCGATTATCGTATCGCTAAATAACTTCTACCGATTATCGATTATATCGATATTTTTGCACAGCCTTACTGCTTACGGTTAGCAAAGATAAGCAATTTGATTGGTTGATGCTTTGGGGCATGATAACTTTGGTTATGATTAAGTGAGAGCAATGAAACTCCAAGTATAGATTTATTATATCATTAACATGACATAGTTTGATGATGAGAATTTTATGCTTAGGCTAAGGAGCGATAAGACTTTTGAACAACTTGATGTAGATGTTCATTAGGTGAATGTCTTGATTGAGTTCACTGATTAACATTTCCCACTAAAGCAAAGCAGAGCTAAGCAATTTCATTGGTCGATACTTTGAGACAAAATAACTTTGATTCTATCTAATAGAGAGTAATGAAACTTAGTGTATAGTTGATAATCAGTTTGATGCTCAATACATTTGAAAAAGATAAATGTGCAATTAATTATATGTGTTATCTATTTATTTCGGGACTTCGGTGGGGGACATCAGCCTCACTGTTGGCTTGCATTTTATGAAAATGATTTGACCATAAAGGGTGTCATGCATGACTCTTAGTATGCTTACTCTTTCTAGAAAACCTGATGATCTTGTTCAATTCTGTGAGAAGTTCACCCAGTTATTGAGGATAAATCAATGCTTTTTGTTCTGATTTCCATTTTTCCTTTTTCACAGAGAAGCATTGAACCCATTCAGTGTGAAACCACTTCACCCCAAGAATATAAAACGGGAATTAGACAACTCAAGTCAGAAATATGTTTCTCCCACTATTAAAGTTAAAAAACAATGTAAACCAGAATCATTTAGAACCAAACCTGAACCAGTTCGAGTTAAAAAGGAACCAGTTGAAGTTAAGCAAGAACCAACTGAGGAAGAATCACCAATGATTGAAGAATTTGATACTAACATGGATGATGATGATGAACTAGTCTTAAATCAAAATGGTCTCAATGATCTCAGTAGGTATCCCAGGATAAATGTTCTTTTTGTCAGTAAAATCAAAATTTATCTGGTTCACAACACGCTTGTAACATATACTCAGATATATATCAAATATGTTACTATATAGCTCTATTTAGATCCGCTTCCAAACATTTCAGCTATTTTCATATGAGCGTCTTCTATCTCAGAAATTAGGCGATGACACACCTCCATTCACTCCTAGTCTGAAAGTTAAGTGGACTAAAATTTTGAAACTAACAAATCCGAAATGAAATAAATTCAATTAGAGTTAGTGGTATAAATAACTATACACATGAGCCATTCAATAGGCCCTTAAAGAGGGATCTCGTTTCAGTCATTTGCCACTCTTGACTGACTGTTAGTGAAATTGTTAGTCAATTTTCAAGCCCTAAAATCAAAATTTCCAAAAATTTATTTTATTTTAACACAATACATGCAGTTAAATTTATAGTTTTTGTATGTAAAAACATTTAGAACATATTGGGGAAAATGCACTAAATTGACCAACTCTTAAAAATGATAATCTGAGAGAACAAAGTTCTTCAAAAATTGACCGACTATCAAATTTTGAAGTGAAAGCCCTTCTTTTGAGTAGTAGTTCATAGTCATAAAGCTCCATTGACTATACATGTATGTAAACAATATACATTAATGTTAAAGTGATCAGATATTTAGTGAAATTAATTGTTGGGAAGTTCTGGTATAAAAGATTACATTTCAAGTTTGTTGTCATTTGTTATATATTTAAATGTTATATTTCAGATGAATCAGGTATGGAATTAAATGATATAGATTTCAATGATGAAGTTGATGATGTAAAGCCTATTAATAGTAAACCAGTTAAAAAAGAAAATACGGTCAAATCACAGCCAGTTATAGAAAGGTTTGTTGTAAATTCATTTTAGAAATATTTTTCTAATAGTGTTCATTTTGATGGACGTTTAATTAAAGCTTCTCCTATGTATAGACTCGTTGGAACAAGATTTTAACAGCTAAATATGGTTTTCAGCAGGTAAAAACAAATGTTAATCTCTTTGAGAGAGCAATAGTGGTCACATTTCTTATATATGAAGGTTTGTTTTGAAAAAATAATGTTCATTTGATTGATGGAATACCTAAATTAAAGTAAAAGATGGCTGAATGGTTAACGTGTGCATGCTGAATCATGAGGTTTGTCATTGAGTCAACTGGTGTAGTTTCGTTAACCCAGTTGTACGTGACAAGGAGTAGGGTCGCCTGTCCTCCAGTTTCCTCCCACTGCTAAAGACCCTTATGCGCAATAGAACCATATGTTAGTCTCGAAATGAACTAGTTTGTGTCAAGTGGACGTTAAACTCTCTCTCTCTCTCTCTCTCTCTCTCTCTCTCTTTCTCTCTCTCTCTCTCTCTCATTACCAGAGAATTTTATATTTGTTATTTTTTTCAGTAAAGAGTTTGTATCATCTGGTTGGGATAGTATACAATCTGATAATACAGGTAGTGTTGTAGATATACAAGTTGATTCATCTAAATTACCTCTAGTTACTAATGAAGAAGGGGAACAAGTAATGAGATTCTATTGGCTAGATGCTTATGAAGATCCCTGGAAACAACCTGGTACGGTTTTATCTTCAGTTTAAGCACATACAGTACAGCAATCTTTTCGAATCTGTCCCTTACTGAAAAACTCTGTAAACAGTTCATTCAGTTTTACCTATACTGTTACGTTTCATTTTTAAGTGGGGACTATATTGTAGTCACCACTGTCTGTTGATCTGTCCATATATTTACAATTTGCAAAAGTTCTACAGCTCACAAGTTTTTATGATTGTTTGCTGAGATTGTTTAGTTAGTCAAAATTTAGATTCACACATTGATTTCATTCAAAGTCACATCACCTATTACTAAAATCTTGAACACATTCCATGAGAGTTTCTGAGATATGTTATTGCTTCTCTGACTTGACATATCCTGCTGTGTTTAAACTATGTCAAACTTAGTTTTGTATAAAAACAGTTGACTTGTTTATACTCCTATGTAAAACAATAGATTTGTAAAATAATTGATTTTATAATACTCTTATGTAAGGCAGTTGTTAGGTATATATTCATATGTAAAAACAATTGCTTTGTATATATTCCTATGTAAAACAATTTATTTATACTCCATTGAAAATTGTTTTCAGGTATCGTGTATCTGTTTGGTAAAGTTTGGATTGAATCGGCCAAGACACATGTTAGTTGTTGCGTTACAGTCAAAAATATACAGAGACATGTATATCTTTTACCTAGAAAAACAGTAAGTACAATAATATGGACACATATCTATCTTTTACCTAAAAAAACATTACATATTATCACATGGACACATGTCTATCTTTTACCTAGAAAAACACTAAGTATTACCACATGGAAACATGTCTATCTTTTACCTAGCAAAACACTAAGTATTACCACATGGACACATGACTGTCTTTTACCAGAAAGACACTAAATATTACCACATGGACTATCTTTTACCTAGAAAAACAGTAAGTATTAGGATATTGACACATGTCTATCTTTTTCCCAAGTGATTACATCTCTGCGATCATCTGTTGGAGTGGACTACCAGTGACAACATTGCTCGAACTGTAAGGATAATGGCACCTTGGCATCAAGGTCGAGATCCTATGTATATTCTTTTAGCAGTACATAAAAGATCCCCTGTCAGTTGGAATTCAAAGTAAGAGTTGGCTGTATTTCTGCTGCCCAGGCATTATTACGCTCATGGCACACTACATGGTGTTTGTGTGTCTTCACTAGCACAATTAGTGCAATCAAGTAAGACATCTTGTGGAATGATTTTCTTGTTACCTGGTGATATATTGTTAGATATAGATAATTTGGAATATAAACTCATGTTTTAATTGAACATTATTTTCTACTAGAGAGTAAATACAAAGACTGGTGAAGATACAGGTTTTGAAGTTAATATGGTAGATGTCTATACAGAATTTAATGATAAAATTTCAGAAAAACATAAAATTATGAAATTCAAGTCAATGGTAAGTTATAGCAGAATTTATAAGTAATCATAATAGAGTGGGATTTTGGTGATGAGAAATGTAGAAGTGTTACTTCTGCATAAAATGAGTAATTGCTCCACCAATCCTCAGACATTCAGCAATTCGTCGTGGCATGCTCCTAATCAACCGTCCAATCACGATTTGGGGCAATCTGACCCACTCCTCTTGCAGTACCACGGCCGATTCTTGCAGTGTTGTCGGCTAACGTCAACGAACACGTCTCCCGATCAAATTAAACGTAACACACTAAAGCAAAGATACGCTAAACAGTAAATCTTATGCAAAAACCGATGGGAAAGCAAACATGGATAGATAAACCAGCGCGCGGCAGTTTTCGTCAACCCTTCCTTGAAGTGTCAAATTTGACAATGAACCCCTCCCACGTGTATGGCGCTATTGCGTGTCGCACGTGCAGCTCAGTGGTTCTGTCGGGGCGATATGTTCTTCATCTGTGAACATACTCTCAAAGCATGTCAAATGTCCATGACTATTTATCATATCACAACCTGCATAGGTATTTGTATTTTAATATCCCCTACTTTTTTTGAAGAGTATATATAAATATTATAATTTTTCAGAAAGTTACTAAACAGTATGCATTTGAGAAGATAGAAGTACCTGTAGAATCTGATTATTTAGAAGTGAGATATGCTGTAAGTATGGGACATTCATTCATTATCAAGTTTGTGGCAAGAAGAGGTGGTTTATATACCTGGAGGTCCTGGTTTCAATCTAGGTGTCGTTCAGTATTTTCCAGCTTGGTTTCCCCAATGTTAGTGTCTTGTCATTGAGTCTCAAAACCAAGGTTCTGTTTATACCATTGTCAGCATATAAGTAAAATAAACTCCTGTCGAGCTGACTGTATGATGTATGTCTGTCTTCATTGACCCAGGTTTTTAATAGTAAAGTAAAACATAAAACCACATTTCATTTCATTTATAAAAACAAGGAACCCTGGCTTTATATTCATTAAATAGAAACATTAATGATCCACATTGTAATGTATTAATATTTATTAACAGCATTAGTAATAATAACTTGAGGTGGGTTTTTTTTCTAGGCTGATTTACCTGCACTACCCACAGAATTATCAGGAGAGACATTTAGTCATGTATTTGGTGCCAACAAGTCTAGGTAAGGAGGTATTATGCTAATTACAATTATATTACACTTTTAATTAATCATTCTTACCTCTTGACACATTAATTTTGATGAAACCCAAAAATGAACATCTTAATCTATATTTTATTGGATAGAAGGTTTAATTTGATATCAATGTGAACTAATTGCCAGTAAATAAGAGATGATTATCTAGTGAATATAAATATTAAGAATCTTGAATATTTATATTTTAAATGTATTTTCAGTTTGGAACTGATGTTGATAGATAGAAAGATGAAGGGTCCTGGATGGTTAGATTTAAAATGTCCACGTAAGTTTTATCTACAAATTATCTTAAAAGTAATTAAATGTTTTCGTTAGCTTATAAAAATACATGTGCATTAATTTTGGTATGTTGGTAAGTTTCATTTGGTGTCTTAACTATTAACGACATATTTTATTTATTTCAGAATTACCCTCCGGTTCAACAAGTTGGTGTAAAGTAGAGGTAACGAATGTTTATTATTGATTTATTACATTGAATAGACATCATACTTGATACAAGTTATTACAATAAATATACACAAATTGCATCCTACATATCATTGGCGATGAATATGAAATTCTTATACTTTAGACCTTGAAATATTTTATTTAGCCCTTTGGCAGAACGATACACAAAACAAAAATTGTTTAATTTGAATATTTCACTAATATGCCACATTATGCCAATAGACATTAGTCTACTCAATGCTGGAGACTTCCTCCATTTATAAGTCTTTTCCTTCTTTTTATGAAAGATTAGGGTTTCCCCGTTTAAAAAATAAGGTATTTTCCCATTTACCAAGTATTTTATACTGCCGCCTTTCAATGATGTATTTGATTTACTCTGGCAAGGTAAATCTAATCTTTGCTGAGATTTATAAGAGTAAAAGATGTTTGGGTTTTTTTCTTTTAGGCTGTTGTTTCTCGGCCTGAACATGTGACTGTTTATAAAGATTCCTCATTAGACCCACCCCCACTTGTTATTATGTCACTTAATCTACGTACACTACCTAACCCTAAAACACATCAAAATGAAGTAAGTACATTCTCTGATTCTTTTTTAATTTATTCATTTTGAGTGGTGGCGGGGGGTTGAATGGCCGAATGGTTAGCACGTGCACGCTGTATCATAAGGTTTGTCATTGAGTTCACTGGTGTGGTTTCGATTTCCCGGTTGTACGTGACAAGGAGTAGGGTCGCCTGTCCAACCTCAGGGCTGGCCACGAATAAATTGATGGCGAGCAGATGACCGCTCACGCAAATTTAGGTTTGGGCGAGCAAGGCGAGCAATAAAACTTGCTCGGGCAAAATTTTGTTTGCGTGAGCACACATTTTGTAACATTGTTTCAATTTAAAATCATAAGAGAATTGCTATTCCTGGCACAGAGTTTGCAGTAAACATGTGCGATCATCGCTTTCTGTTTTTGACAGTCATACTCTTCTTAAAACCAATTCCCGTATGGATGTCTTCATCCCACGGGCCAAGACATATAAATGTGGATAGGGCGATCGGGTTTCCTTTGGACTTTAGCCATTATTACGCTTAGATTGAAAATTATACGACTGCACAATGGAATAAAAACCGAAGTTCTGATAAAATAAGAAATACAGATAAATATTAGTTTGAAACGTGTTCATTTAGCGTCGACGTGAATGCCAAATGCCGGATGTAAACATTGTTTACTTTAGACTCGATTATCACGCGTTTGTTACTGGTGTTCGTAGGAAAACCAGCCATGACGTTCAGGTCTAAAGTGTATTTTTAGTAACACAAGTGGCGAGTTACTTCATTAGCCAATCAAATTTAAGGAGGAAATCCCACTTTCGTCTGACAGACGAATTTATGAAGTTATTGACATTGTTGGGTTAGTTTCGGCAATAAACTTGTCAATATTTTGATTATTTTTACAGGTTTTTCTTAAAATTTTGCGTAAGCAACTACCCGCTCGCGCAAATGTAGATTTGCGCGAGCAACTGCTCGCATCTCGTGGCAAGCCCTGAACCTCGTGGGTTTTCTCTGGATCCTCCAGTTTCCTCCCACTGCTAAAGACCCATACGCCATATGTTAGTCCCGAAATGACCTAGTTTGTGTCGAGTGGACGTTAAACCCCATTTATCCCTCTCTCTTGAGTGATGGCAGGGGGTATATTGTACAAAAAACAAGTTTGTTAATTGTTTTATTTTGAACAATTCTTTGTTTATTATGTAATTAAACCATTGATCTGGCTATTACTTGGCTGTAAAATTCCTATCTTAGATGTTACTTGCAGACATGGAATTTATGATTTTAGTTGTATCTGACAATGTCCGAAATTATTAAAATTGTACATGATACACCAAAGGAATTGTTGCCCTCCAAGGGTTTTAATGTGACCTGTGGAACAAATTTCAATAAACTGATGTGTTGATAATTCTTAGAAACTAGCGGTGGAAATCATTTATTATTGTTTTCCGGTTCAGTAAAACTCTGACTTCTGTACTGTATGATAGACATCTAAGTTGTATTTAATACAAGAGAATGTTGTGTTCAGTATTAAAGCTTGGCAATTTGGAAACCAGTATAAAAAATTACCTGTGTCGAGGATGTTTGGCTTTGTTGTAGAATTCAGTAAAGTTCAAGGACATTTGGCTTTATCATGATATTTTTGTATATCTCTGGCCCACTTGATGTAACATTTTAGTTCATGTGGTCCCTGAATCAAAATTAGATCAACATCCCTGATCTAAATCTTTTCCTGATGTTGATCTGATAGGTGCTTTATTTCCAGGCTTGGTATTGTGGAAAAGAAAACTCAATCAGTTGTCATTTTTTTAGTCCTTCCATTAGTTCAGAAGTTCACCTATTTTATAAGTGTAAGCTTCATTTATTAATGTAATAGCTACAATGATTTCAGTATTAATATAAATGAAATAATTATTTGTATTGTAGATTATCGGTGTAGCAGGTTTAATACATAATGATTTTCACATGGATAAACCAGCACCTAAACAACCTCTCTTTCAACAACATTTTTGTGGTAAGTACAATATCTGTCTCCTATAAATATCATACAATTTGTTCTCCACAGTTATATCTAACATGAGGCCATAGCAGTCAGGTGGTAATGGCATTGGACTCTTGGCTAAAATATTTCAGCTTTGAATCCTGGTGTTAGTCCCTAAATGAAATAGTGATATTGAGTGGGTGTTTAACACCCCCCACCCCACTTATCTATTGTTAGTTTCAAATAGTTGTCAGTGATAATACTAATATAAACTGAAGTTTTGTATTTTATTTTCAGTGATAACCAAGCCAAATGACTGTATATTCCCTTTTGATTTTAAAGACAAGTTACAGAGAGAGGTAACAATATTTTATAAAGTGATTTTTTACCCCAGTTCCCACTTGTCAGGAGGTTGTTGTACATGTGTGGCTGATAAGTAAAATGTTGCTAAGTTGTTTGGACGAAAAACCACATCAGTGTGAACTTGAAGTTTTCCCGATTAACATGACTATAAAATAAAAATAACAGTAGGTTAGTCAGTAAATTCATAATTTCATCCAGATGTATGCCACCATTTGTCTTTCTGGTCAATAAATTGCACTTTTCATGTTCTCAGGGTTTTCTTTTTTTAGATTTTATATTCTTTTGCATATTTCAGAGTAAAAATATGAAGACTGAAATGTTACCAACCGAAAGAGCGTTGTTGGCCTATTTATTGGCTAAAATTCATAAAATTGATCCTGATCTTATTGTTGTAAGTATAGATTTAAACTTTATGTCTAATACAAATACTAATTAAAGTTGCTAATTCTTATTTTCAATTTTCAGACAATATCATACTTTCAGATCTCGGACAACTGCCAGTGAGGACAACTGCCGGCCATTTTATCGCATAGTTTATCAAAACATAACATGTCCCACCGGTTATTGTCATGTTCCCAAATTTTTTCAAGCTCATAATCTAAGCTTGATTATACTTAAATTGATTATTTATCATTTAATGAAAAACACTGATGTCAATTGCAATTTTCTGACAATATATATCATTTTTCATGACTTATCCACACTAAAATATACCATATTTGATTATTTAACACTTTGAAACTTGAAAAAATTTTGTGGTGTCGCATCACCTATCCTGACTTTACAGCACGATTTTGCAACAATGACGTCATTTAAATTTACATTAAATGTTAGATGTAAATTTAATATTGTATGTGTTTATAATTATATGAAATGATGAAACAAAGATATTTATTCAATTCTATCCCCAATCTGTAACCTGGGAGTGACAATCGTGCCAACAGTTTTGAACTCTGCTAATATCTTGACCACGCCCTATTCCAATATTTCTATCACCGGCCATGTAGATCAACATTATTTACAAATTGATTACGAGTGTTATCATCGCTGTCATTTTCTTTGTTATTTTCATTTGAATCTAGGGCATATTCACTTTCAAAATCACTTTCATTGCCGTAATTCGACCCATCAATATCATCACCATTATTACTCATTATAAGAGCTAGTGCATCCGTTGCATTTAGTCGTTAAGAACACACAATTCATCGAAATATTTGTCAAAATTAAAACAGCAGACCGAGAGCAAACGGTAAACAGAATTTTGATTGGCTACTTTGTTACTGTTAAAGGAAGCGTATCAGAGGACATCACGCAAAACCGACATTTTGGGACCATGCACTACAACGTTCTAAGAGTTAATTAAGAAATCAATATATCAACTGTAAATAATCTGCCAGCTTGAATTGAATCAGATTAAAAAACATTTAGTGAAGATTGTAGGTGTTGCTGGCTTGTTATGACCATATCCTGCCTATGTTGTCTGGAGAAAAAGCCAAGTGCTTATAAATTACCAGTTCATCATATCTAGATCAATACTGAATGAAATTGAATCATTTTTAGACTGATATTTCTATTAGGGGTCCAGGCATCGATATTTCCGCGCACATGCGCACGCCCAGGCACATTTGCTTTAAAAAAACTTTTTTGCAGGCACATTTTTAAAGATGTAGCGACGCCTGCGCCCAGCACTTTTTTTTGCCGCCCAGCACAAAGAAAAAATCGAAGAAAGCCACCCAGTCGTATTTAAACCCCTTCGTCCATCTCTGTACACAAACTCGGCGCTCGAAATTTACCACGGCAATATAACGGCAAAGCCATGATAAAAGCTGACGTACGCAAACCATGTCTGTCACGGCATAATTTATTTTTGTGTGCCGTAGTAGACCCTATCATCCCAAATTAGTTTAAAGAAAGATGTATTGGTATTTTGTTTATTTATACTTAGAAGATGTGTAGGCCTGAGTCTATTCATTTTACAATTAATCTACGGTCTTTATATTTGTTTATTTGCCGTAAATAGGTCACCCAGGCCAATTTACGGCACTCCAATGTTAAAGGTTTGAATGTCGTAATTGTCCAACACGTGACTACAAATTTTCACGATGTTTCTTATTTTATTTCTTACCTGTGTTGACGGTTGATTTGCTACGGCCCGAGAGTAGGACTAGGGGGACGATGAGAGCTTTCTCAGTTTCTGCCTGACCTGATGCTCATTCCACCGTAATAATAATAATATTCGTGAGACACGTACAACTTTACAAACAAGTCAAATAATACGTGTTTTAATTATCAATATCTACCTATTGTCATAATTCATTGTACTCAAATAAAACACAAACACCGTTTTAAGAATCGTTTTAATTTTTAATCTCAAAGTAATAAAGTAATATTTGAAAAAAAAAACCACCAAAACAACAAATACCGAAAGGTCCTCAACTTATCTATCCAGAGAAACAGAGTGGGGTGGGACAATTTTATGCTCGGTCGGGTGGTGTCAAAAAGTTTTTAGATCCCTGTATCATTGATGAAAATTAAGTGATTTTGGTAAAATTTGAATATATAAATGGAAATTTGATTTGCACTGAACCAAATACAAAAGGCAGCAGATGCTTTGAAAATACACCAAGAAGGGTTTAATTTTCATAAAAGACCACGCCCCCCTCCCCAAAAAATTTTTGCCTCGCTCCGCTCGCCTAATATATTTTTACACCACTCACCAAATCCTGGCTACATCCCTGTGTTTCAGTATGACCCTGCAGGCACATTTTCAAGTGTGTGCGCAGGCACACTCAACTTTTATAGAGCCCTGTAGGGGTCCCACTTTCATAATATTGTGTCTTGTAAGGGAGTAAAAATCACTCAAATGATGATCAGGGATTTTAAGAAAACAAAACCAAAATATCAGCTATAAATAATTTATCACCTTGGATTCAATCAGATTAAAAAACTGACCATTACTTTTAGGTGGCACCGGTTTGTTATATTGTTATATATAGTTTGCAGAGAATGACAAATTTTGTAAAATTATCTTGTAAATAATATTGATCCATTTGTGGTCGGACAGACCTTTTAGAGATTCAGCTGTCACAATATTGTTGTTTACAAGGATGTATAATCCCTCAAATGACAATCATGATTGACCATGAATAAGAAATGCCCAATATGCTTTAGGTTTTTTTTTGTTGATTAAGGTACAAGGTCTTTAAAAATGTTAACATATTCCAGATTTGCTTCCCTTGTATTATAAGAATTTTAAGGTGTTTCAAAACAATTGGCTACATCGTTTATTGGATTTACTTCCCTTTCTCTGTAAATTTCACTAAATACTAAAACTTTTATGAATTCTCTCAATAGGGACATGATATTGCTGCATTTGATTTGGATGTTATTTTACATCGTATTAATGCCAACAAAATACCCCATTGGTCGAAAATTGGTCGTTTAAAGAGATCCATTATGCCCAAGTTATCTGTAAGTATACCAAACAGTAGATTGAATTTATATTACAGATACCGTATTCCAGATTTAAAAAAGGCAAATACATGTGTAGACATTCAGTCCATTCACATTCAATGGTAGTCAAATCAGAACACATTTTGTGCAAATATTTATTCTAACGAAAGTAATGGCCATCTAAAAAGGTCATTACTTTCTATTGTTTTCTTGGAAGTCATCCTTTTCTGCCTTAGAATGTCAAGGCAGGGGTTTTTTTTATTTGTCAAGATTACTCTCTAAAGAACATCATTCAGCAAAATGACTCCTGACAACAGAATAATTTGGGTTGTATGGACTTATTGCCGCTTTAGATATATTGTTTATGGCATTGTTAGAATTATTTTTGTGGTAAATTATGTGTATATTATTGTTATTATTATTATTATTATTGTGCTGTTGACTGTGATTTGTTTATAACACAATTCCTGACTATTCTATGGAATATTGTGATTAACAGAGTGGTCCTGGGCAGCGTTCTATGGGTGAGAAAACAGCTGTATGTGGTCGTATGATGTGTGATATACAGATATCAGCTAAAGAAGTTATACGTAGCAGAAGTTATGACCTTACAGAACTAGTACAACATATATTAAAAGATAAACGAGCAGAAGTAGACTATGATGAAATTAGAAATATGTATGGGTAAGTCAAGCACAATGAATTTTATAACTTGTAGCCCACTATTCTATACTTAGTTTAAGATCTTTACAGCTTAACATAGTATAACTTACCATCAGTATTTAATAGATACTAAAAGTAACATGATGTTCATTGGATTTTTATTTCATAATAAAGAGGGGGTTTTTTTTCATGCCAAGAGACAGATATTGAAATGGGATCTTCAAAGGCAAATGATTAGAATTACATATCAATAAGTTTTAAAACATTATCAGTAGTTTTTACTGTGAATGCTATTTATGGTGGTATAGAAAGATTATTTTGACGTTTTGGAAAATGGCTTCTAGTATGGTGGCTGAAAGCGTCCATTTAGATCGGCGGGTTTCTAGATACAACGCGAGAGTCGCCGTTAAGCCACGCGCCGAAAAAATCGGCAACTTGCTTAACGGCGACTCTCGCCTCGGAAGTTGATAGTTAGTTACATGCGCAATGGCTACATTTTACGCACACGGATCACCAAATATTTCTACGCCGTAATGTAGGGCGAAAGTTATTTTTAGTCTTTCTCTCCCTTTCCCTTTTCCCCCTTTTGCATGGCGATTTTTGGTGTAGAATCGAAGAAAGGGGTTTGAAAATACATTTTCTGCCAGGTTTTGGTGAATATTCATGATCTTGAGAGGTCGGTTAGGTTGAAATGTAGGGCCGAAAATTGCATGTTTACTTGTCCCTACTTCCAGCTTGTGTATTTGAAGTTTTTCATGGTAAACCTCATACATGCTTTTGTGCAAGAGTTTGCCACATGTTGCTCCATCTGTGGCAGAAAGTAGGCTAGCCTACAAGTCCTAACTAATCCAAAAGCTCCTCCATTTTATATACAAGAAGTAAAATGTAGCCATTGCGCATGTAACTAACTATAAACTTCCGAGGCGAGAGTCGCCGTTAAGCAAGTCGCCGAAAAAGGCGCCGATTTTTTCGGCGCCTTTTTCGGCGCGTGGCTTAACGGCGACTCTCGTGTTGTGAAAGTCGCGGATCGCCGATAAGGTAGTACAACGAAAAAGTCGCCAATCGGCGCCTTTTTCGTCGTGCTGGTTTAATGGCGACTCTCGCGTTGTATCTAGAAACACGCCGATCTAAATGGACGCTTTCAGTCACCATATTCTAGTCTTATGTCAGTTTTTCAGTATATCTACAATAAATAACCAGTCTGATTAAAACACAGATCCTATTTCGTTTTGTTTTTTATAGTTAAAATTTTGTTTTACTTGTCTTTACTACAGAAGGATCTGAAAGAGTTGTTATAAAACAGGCATTCTAGATCATGTGAGGAATTAGGCTATGAAACGGTTTGTTACGGCGACTTCTTGGCCTGCCATGCACAGAACTGTGGGTAAACCACTGACACGACCTTTGAGCACAACTTGTCAGATCTTCATGTAGTGTAGGCCATTGAAAGTATGAAAAAACGAAACGAAATATAGATCTGTATTATAATCAGATTGATAAATAACATTACAGTAGAAGTTATTTATTATATTGTCAAATTTTTCTCTAAACCAATCTTTTTCTTTAAATTTCTATATTTAAGATCATCACAACATTTATTACATCTGCTTGAACTGACATTGGTTGATTCTACCTATATTTTACGTATTATGTATGAATTAAATGTTATACCACTGGCTCTACAGATCACAAATATATGTGGTAATATCATGGTAAGATATAGTTTATGTACATACGTTTATAGCTCTTGATGAAATAGCACCTTTAAATTTGCTGTGATTGTGGCACTGGATCTTTAACCAGAAGGTCTTTTGAATGACATGAAAAACTGAGGTCTCATGTCCATAGCGTCACTGTTTGGGAAAAATTCCTATCACAGCATACTGCATGATTAGACTGTTTGATTCAGAAAAAAGATGTTAAAGCCTCATTTTATTTCACTGCACTATCCCTCTTTATAACGTAAGCCCAAAATGAAACCAAAATTAGTAAACCAGCCAACTTGTGCTTGATCTTTTTACTAATCTTAATAAAATATCCAGATTAACCCAACTAAGGTCTTTATTTTGAACTAAATCAAAGCAGTTTAGTTCCTGTAAATTTCTAACATGATATTAAAGTGTGATAGTACTGAAATAGAAAGAAAACAGAACTTCAAATTTTTTATTTTGTTTATTGGTACTAGATTAGTACACCATGCAAGTATTTTATTCATTTAATGTATGGTGATGAATTTGTTTTGTTTAAACCAAGGCACGTACGTTGATGGGAGGAAGATCCGAAAGAAATGAATATTTATTATTACATGCATTTACAGAAAAGAATTTCCTAGTTCCAGATAAACAATACAAGAAAAAAACACCAGTGGTAAGTTAAAAGTTTATGTAATATAATATTATCCCTGGTCTGACAAGTAATAAAACATGTTCTTTTGTCACTATAAACAACTCTTTCAGCACAAGCACAGCCCACTCAATCAGGAATATTTATCCTTGGTTAAAATTTGTTGTCTAGAATATCAGATCTGTAGTATTTATAAATCAAATATAAGAATATTATATGAAATCAACTAAAACATACTGTGGTGTTGTGGCAGATTTCTTTAGTGTGACAATGCTGTCTTGCCATAAAATATTTGAGTTCTATCAGTGATTGTATGGGGCCAAGAGTGTAAGGATTTTAATAGAACATTGCTGGCATATGATCCACCTTTATACTAAGACTAAAATTAATCAGATCAAATATAGTCATTATAGTATGAGTGTGACCTCTTGCTGTTAAAAACCACTATATGGTCTTCCTTTAAAAGAAATATAACTTTTAAGTAAATTTTATCCTGGTTGTATGATATATTTTACAGCAAGCTGAAGCCGATGATGAAGATTTGGATACAACTAAATCTAAAAAATCACAAGGAAAACGAAAACCAGCTTATGCAGGAGGCTTGGTCTTGGAACCGAAAAAAGGTATTATATGTTATTGATGTATTATCTTTCTGTACATAGCATCTGGACACACTTGTGCTATATAAATCCACCATAATGATGATTATACGAAAATAGATACACCATAATGATAATAATATGAATGCATGATATAATGCTCTTGGCATAATTTAGACAAAGTCATCAGACCTAAACATCAGATATACTTTGCTGCAAACTCTAATGGCTCATCCTTGTTGTTGAAGATATGGTTACAATTAAGGCAAAGAATGGTGATTATTGATTCATTAGAATTGCTTTTCAGAGAATACTGACAAGAAAAGTGTGCTTAGTTATTCGGATGGCACAAAATCAAAGAATGTCAGCTCGCATTGCTGACGTTTCTATAAAGATAAGAAAAATTACCATGTGTTTGCCTCAAAATGGCTCAATTATTATGTTGACGAGACATTAAATTGCATTTCATTTCAGTTGGAATTTGAAGAAGATTAGGTAGAAACACAGCTGTCAAAAATAAGATAAAATACAATGTGTTAGTCTCAAAGTGACCTAATTATTGTAATGATGAGACGTTGAACCCCATTGCATTAATCTTGATTAGGAAAAATATTAGTTGATATTCAGATATTTGATAGAATTTTGTATTTATTTCAGGTTTTTATGACAAGTTTATTCTGTTGCTAGATTTTAACAGTTTATATCCGTCTATAATACAAGAGTATAATATATGTTTTACTACTATTAACAGAACACCAACACAACAGAATAACACAGTACGTATATTTAGCAGGGGTTATGGGTTGTGCATTCAAATGACTTTATCAAAGGGAAGGTTGTATTGAGTGGCCCAACATCTAATAGATTTAATAAAAAGATCATTTAACTAACTTATAGTAACGTATTACATAAATAAGTAGAGCAGATCATAGGAAATTTGTCTTTGCTTAGGCCAATACCGAATTGGTTTTTGGTTCTTCAGAATCATAAAACTGCACAAATTTGAAGCGAAGGGTTTGATAAAAGCAAGCAAGTGTTTTTTGTTTTCAAAATATTATTTTTCCAAGAAATAGGAAGCAAAGAAGTAGAATTTAAATTTATGTGACCTTATTGTTTTTGATGAACTGCAGTTAGTGACGTTATTTGCATTAATTTCACTCCTTGCATGTTGATGGTTTCATATTTGTCTGTAAAAGGTCTAGAAGGTGATCTGTTCTAATTCCACTGGATCTGATTACACATAAAACTGGTAATGTTAAATTGAACCTTTGCCCGGTGGAATTCAAAGAAGAATAGATGCAAACTCAGCTACCTAAGCAAAGTTCTTGTCTCTTCTATTGCATGTGATCTTTAAATAAACTAACCATATTAGTTTCATTAATTGTGTAGATGAGACATCTGTCCATTGTACAGAACTTTATGTTTTCCGTGTACTTCTAAACATTCTTTCTTGTAACACTCAGTCGATCATGACTCGCACTAGAATGAAACAACTTTTGAAAAATGTTCCCATTTTTTTGTTCATGGATTGTTTCCCTTATTGCTAATTTGTTTTCATTTTGAGTTAAGCCTGTATCACCACAAGCCTGGAACTATACAGCACTGTGGACATTTACTGGATCTGATTATGTTTGTTGCTTATTGCTTGCATTGTCTGTGTATAGTGTGTGTCTTGTCCGTGGTTTGGTTTTTATGTTGTTTTGTTTATGTGTGGTGTGGTCCTCCTGCATTTACTATTAGATTAATGAATACCTGTAATTATAGGAAGATGATGAAGAAATAATGCCAGAATTACCTGATAAAGATTTAGAACCAGGTATTTTACCTACAGAAATTCGTAAATTGGTAGAAAGTCGAAAACAAGTGAAACAACTTATGAAAACTGATAATTTATCACCAGAGCAAAAAATGCAGGTTGGTATTTAAATGGTATTATGAAAAATTAAATGGATGTTGAACAACAGGAAATAACTTGTCAGATGCCGATAAATTAAATTATGTGAAAATTAATACATAATTTTAAATATTTGTTAAATGAAGAATTCTACCATGGAATCTATATTTAAATGTTTTTATAAAGTAACTTCTGTAGCTACCTCCATTCATGTGGATTAAAAGTTAACTAATTGTTCTGATGTGTTTTGAAATTGTCTTTGAGTTTTTTATATAACCTGGTTATTTTCTACCTTACAGTATGATATAAGACAGAAAGCTTTAAAATTAACAGCTAACAGTATGTATGGTTGTCTTGGTTTCTCACATTCTCGTTTCTATGCTAAACCACTGGCTGCCATGGTTACAGGCAAAGGAAGAGAGGTAAGTTTTTGTTTTAAATTTAGACTAGGCCTAAAAATGTAGCAAAACTGTGTAAGTCCTTGGCTTTAATTTTCCCATTTCCTTTTGTTTGAGGGTAGGGAATCAGCAAATAAATTCACTTTCATAAAAAACTATGTTATAATTTTGACAAAACCAATTTTTGGGGGTCTTATAAATAAATAACCGCTCGCGTATCATGGACAATTTATTGTTTGAAATTTCAAGATTTAAAATTTGGAACAGCTTGGGAGAAGAGAAACAAAGTACTTTTTATTTGAAAATTAGTTTTATTCCCAAAGAGATCAGAAGCAAAATTTGTAATAGATGTTCCCAAAGAACAGGAATTCAAATTGGTGTGGCCTTACACAAGAACTTTTATGAGAAAGATTTAAGTTTTGTTTTACCAAGGTTAAGAAAATGTGCACAAATCACAAATAGATACAAAATAAACATATTCCATCTTAATATTAAATTGTTAAACATTACATTATTATAAACAATGATCATAAGATACCATATAGATTAAACGTTTAATCAAACAGTTCTATTCTCTCTTACACGAGACAAAAGCCACAAGTTAAATGGTGTCTTTATATGTTCTACAGTCATTATTTGTTGTTAAACAAATTTATGAAAGACTCCCAACTCCTGCACGCTACTTAGAAATCACTTAGTCAGTCAGCTTACCTGTTTATTTAAGACGGCAGTATTATCTCTAAACATTTTCATATCGAAGAATTTTGTCAAAGATAAAAGCCCAAAAGAAAAAAGAGCAATTTAACTCAACGTGTGTGCAGCGTGGTATTTCCGTAGCCTTGTTTGGTTTCCTATGGGAAAAAATATTTCAAGATGCAACGTTATTGATGAAGAATAGTGTTTACAAAGTAACAAAAACTTTTATCTTCTTTTATTACATTAACCGCTAAATGTTCTGATACGACTAGTTGACATTTAAATAAAAAACACACACAATTTACTTGTTGCTTAAATATTTTATTTTGGTAATAAAAGTTGTAGTAGGAAGCACTGGGGGATGTCTTATCAATGCTAAAGAGATCCTGAGGTATTTAGTCCATAATTAATTTATTTACTAATAAAATTGTTTTTTGGTTATTTGATTATATGAAAAATTAAATGAACATAATATATTGATTTAAAAAAAGAAATAGTGCTCGCGACGAATGCTGATTTTACTACCAGTATTCATATATCATAATTCTTTATTGGAAAGGTCGCCTGTCCAACCTCGTGGGTTTTCTCCGGGTCCTCCGGTTTCCTCCCACTGCTAAAGACCCCTACGCGCAAGCGAATTATGTAAATAAAATTAAACCATATGTTAGTCCCGAAATGACCTAGTTTGTGTCGAGTGGACGTTAAACCCCATTTCTCTCTCTCTCTCTTTATTGGAAATATTCGATTCTAGCTGAAAGGATTTATTTTTGATGTAAATCTTTTAAACCAGTATATTTTCCTTTTGTTCATTATTAAATATATTTTTTGATTTCATAGAATAAATATTAGTAAATATTTTATAGTAGATACATAACAGACCAAATTTTATTAGTTTTAATTAAACCCAAATCAAATAACTACTAAAAATTTGGTTCAATTGCTTTGAAATACTATTGGAAGATTTGTGCGAGTTCAATATAAAAAATAAAAAACAGATTTCCTTTTTCCTTTTGAAAAATATTTTTTGCCTAGAGAAAGTCCCATGTGTATAAGATGTGATAATAAAGACCTCTTTGTTTTAAATATGTGTTTATTTTATGATAATCTGGTGAACTAGAATAACAAATAGCAGGCTATTTGATCAATTGTAGAAGATTATATCAGGATTGTTAGTTACTTCTTTTATTAGCCACCATCTTGTTCACGGTGCTTCGATTAACTAGCTTCTTAAAATCCATTGTTTGGACGATGTTGGTTAGCAAATAATTACAGCATTTGTGTAAAGTGGCTGCTACTTTGTGGCCAGTTTGTGCTGAAGTGGCATTATTTCCTACTTAAACAGAACTAATCCCAGATAAATTAGGGAAAATCATTTTTCTCACACTAACTACTAGTAACGTCACACCTGAAACCATTGTACAAGATTCTACTGGCTATTGTTCTCGAGACAATAGAAACAACATGCTACTGACATGTGGATCGTTTGGATTAACTTAGAAAAATAAATAAATCTTTCATAATACAGGTTTTAAAACATTTGGTCAAAATGTCTAGTTTAAGATGTTTAATGGCACAATTTTAAAAGTAACTGAACAGAAATATTAAATACAGTATTTTCTTACTTTACATTTCAATCAAATATGCAGCCAGCTCTTGCTTAATGAGATGTGAAAAATGGCATTGATACCAATTAAGTTTCCAGAATATTTTCCATTCAATCCCCCCACCCCCAAACGCTTTATGTAAGATAATAAATTATATGTCACATATACGTTTTTGAGAAGAGAATTTAATGTTGTGTATAGGTATGTTTCAACTTTTTTTTTACCAATGTGTGTCATTTTAATTTGTCAAAAATGAGTATGATATGTTGGGTAGAGAAATTTTATATCTTTCATCCATTTCAGATTTTACTCCACACAAGAGATTTAGTTCAAATGGTGAGTTACACTCAAAGTTTCAAAAACATTTACCATATGATAAAATTTTGTTACTATAATCTACATTATAATGTGTAAATAAGAAAACCTTTATTTATATGCATTCTAAAAATTCAGTGCCAGTACTATCATAGTAGTAGGGGATGGGTGGTCGATTGGTCTAATGTGTACACTTTAGATCATTAGGTATGTCATTGACTCAAGTGGCATGGTTTCAAGCCCATACTTATACGTGACAAGGAGTAAGGTTGCTTGCCCAACCTTGTGGGTTATCTCCATGTGCTCCGGTTTACTCCCACAGATAAAGACCCCTACGCACAATCAAATTATTGAAATAAAATTGAAACACCTGTTAGTCACGAAATGACCTAATTGATGTCAAGCCCCATTTTTCTGTCTCTACTATCATAATCATAATAAATGCTCTTTCAAAACTATGTGATTATGTATTATAGATGAATCTAGAAGTTATATATGGTGATACAGATTCAATTATGATAAATACTAATTCAACTGATATGGATACAGTATTTAAACTAGGAAATAAGGTAATTAATATCTCAACAATCAAGTGGCATGAAAATTGATAAATGAATTTAAATTTTAGATGAAATCTGCTCAGTTTCAGAAAGAACAGCAAGAAAGGTATAGGGTATTACTATTCTGATGCAAACACCTGGAAATAAGGCACCTGTCATAGACATTGTCAGGCACAATCCTTTTGGTGTCTGTCATTTAATTTGGCTCGAATTTGTCTTTTATGACATTTATAATACATGTCTGGCACAAAGTTCAAAATGTCAGGTACCAGTTCAGTAGTCCCTGAACTAAATGCCAGGTGCAAATGTTTCCAGATCTGGGCTGAAAACTTCTATTGATAAATGTGATGCTGGTTCACTGACCAGGAGATCTCAGGTTCAATCAAAGTGTTGACTAAGAAAGTTTTTTTCAGCCTGGTTCTTCTTGTCAGTGGCTTGATTCTCAGTTGGTACTGTTAACACAACATTCATTGTTTAAATGGTCAAATTTGAATTGTCAGTATCATCATTTAAATGTAATTAATATGGTAGTCGGTTCTATAATGTTTCTCCTTTAAAAGGACATGGTCCATCTGTCTCCAATTTTATTCGATTCCCCGGTTGTACATGACAAAGGAGTAGGGTCGCCTCTCCAACCTTGTGGGTTTTCTCCGCTTCCTCTGGTTTCCTACCACTTTTAAAGACCCTACCCGCAAGCGAATTATTGAAATAAAAATAAACCATATTTTAGTCCCAGAATGACTAATTTGTGTCGAGTGGATGTTAAACCCCATTTCTATCTCCCTCTGTCCTTAATTAAAGAATGTGTCAGAAGTAGTCCCCAAGTGATCAAATGAAATAAGAAATTCATGTAGATGGATTATTGTATTTGATGATTTCAGACGAATAGCGTGGGGGTGGCCAGAATAACTGGATTAAATTAAAAGAAATTTACAATACAAAATTTGTTTTGGTGATATTGAATTAGTATGCAAAGTGTAAATGGATTACTTTATAAAATGTGATGTATTTTTTTAGGTAAAATCGGAAGTAAATAAATTATATAAATTGTTAGAGATTGATATAGATGGTGTATTTAAATCTATGTTATTACTCAAGAAGAAGAAATATGCTGCTTTAACGGTAACTAAAAATAATGACGGTAGTTTTACCACAGCTCAGGAATTAAAAGGTTTAGATATCGTTAGACGTGATTGGTCAGATTTGGCGAAAGAAGCAGGAAAGTAAGTACATATCTTCTTTTTTTTTCATTTCAAGGTCTGTCGTTTTTTTTGTCCCCCGCCTTTCGAAGAAAGCAGGGGACTATTAAAATGGGTTCGTCCGTCTGTCTGTCTGTCTGTCTGTCTGCCTGTCCGTCTGTCTGTCCCGTCTGTCTGTCCGTCTGTCTGTCCGTCACACTTTTTGGGACACAATAACTCTCTTCCTAATTGAGCTAGAATGTTCAAACTTGGTGTATGTGTTTATTAGGTCAATGCCTTGATGGAGTTCGAAGATGAGCATTTTCCGCTTAGGGTAAGCAGAGATAAGCAATTTGATTGGTTGATGCTTTGGGACACGATAACTCTCTTCCTAATTGGGCTAGAATGTTCAAACTTGGTGTATGTGTTGATTAGGTCAATGCCTTGATGGAGTTCGAAGATGAGCATTTTCCGCTTAGGGTAAGCAGAGATAAGCAATTTGATTGGTTGATGCTTTGGGACACGATAACTTTTAATTGAGCTAGAATGTTCAAACTTGGTGTATGTGTTTATTAGGTCAATGCCTTGATGGAGTTCGAAGATGAGCATTTTCCGCTTAGGGTAAGCAGAGATAAGCAATTTGATTGGTTGATACTTTGGGGCACGATAACTCTCTGCCTAATTGAGCTAGAATGTTCAAACTTGGTGTATGTGTTGATTAGGTCAATGCCTTGATGGAGTTCGAAGATGAGCATTTTCCGCTTAGGGTAAGCAGAGATAAGCAATTTGATTGGTTGATGCTTTGGGACACGATAACTTTAGTTCTAATTAAGTGAGATTGATGAAACTTGGTGTATAGTTTCATTACATCAATACCTTGACTAAGTTCAATCATGAGCATTTTCTACTCAGGCTAAGCAGAGCGATAAGCAATTTGATTGGTCGAGACATTGGAACACAATAATTCACATTCTAATTGATGTAGAATGTTCAAACTTGGTGTAGGCTTTCATTAGGTGAATGCCTTGATGGAGTTCAATGATGAACATTGTATGCTTACGGTAAGCAGAGATAAGCAATCTGATTGGTTGATGCTTTGGGGCATGATAACTTTGAGAGAGATGAAACTCCGAATATAGATTCATTATATCATTACCTTGACTAAGTTCGATGGTGAAAATTTTCTGCTAAGGCTAAGGAGCAATAAGCAATTTAATTGATTGGTCAAGACTTTGGAACATAATAACTCTGCTTTTAATTGAGGTAGAATGTTTAAACTTGATGTAGATGTTCATTAGGTGAATGTCTTGACTAAGTTCAATGATTAACATTTCGAGCTGAAGCCAAGCAGAGCTTATCAGTTTCATAATCTTGATTCTATTTGATAGACAGTGATGAAACTTAGTCTATAGTTTAACTGTTCGATACTTTTGAAAAAAATAAATGTTCTATTAATTAATACGTGTCATCTAATTATTTTGCTATTTCGGCGGGGGACATCAGCCTCACTGTTGGCTTGTTTGCATTCAATTACATGACAAGGAGTAAAGTTGTCCCCATAGCCTTGTGTTTTATTTCAAGAGTTTTCAAGGAACTCAAACTTCCAAAGTCACAGCTATAAATGAAATATATGAAATTTTTAATGTCAACATAATACGGTCCAAGAAATTTTGTTTTGTTTGACATGTTTTATTCAACTGGAGAGTCTTGTTGGTTAGACCTAGACAAAATGAAACAGTTTGTTCATTTATATATTTCAGTTTTGTTGTAAGCCAGATTTTATCTGGTGATAGTCGTGAGTTAATAGTAGAAAATATTCACACTAAGTTAATAGAAGTAGGAGAAAAAGTCAAGAATAATGAAATACCTGTAGAATTATATCATATTACTAAGGTTTGTTTACATTTAACGATACAAATAAATTCCATCAAACCGTATGGCTAATCTGGGGTGAATTGTTTGGGGTTTTATTTTTTTTTGGGGGGGGGGGTGCGATAATTAAAACAAGAATTTGAGATAGGAACTAAATGTCTTTTATGGCTATTATTTTTTTTGCAATAATTGAAAGCAGTAATTTGAGGTAAGAATAGCCATTTAACGTAAATTGTTATAGGTAATATTGAGACTAACAAAGAATAACTACTATAGTGAAGTGTACAATTCAAGGAGAGAATTTTGTTGGGACTCCCTATTAACTTTGTACTACCAACAGCATGCATATGGGATCTCATAATAAATTGAATGGCATTGTCTCATGTTTGATTTTTTTTATAGCAATTGACAAAAAATCCAGAGGATTACCCAGATAAAAAGAGTTTACCCCATGTACAAGTAGCATTACGTCTAAACACTAAAGGTGGAAAGAAATTACGTGGAGGTGATACTATAGCTTATGTTATTTGTGATGTAAGTACATGTTATTTTCTTATCTACTGAATTAATTATTGAGTATATCATCATTTATTGTCCTATTTCTGTTTAAAAAATTTGTTATGATTATGTCCAAAATTATTTTTTTGAATTACTTTCTATCAGGATGGTTCTAATTTACCTGCATCACAAAGAGCTTATCATCCTGAAGAATTAGCTAAGGTAGAGAATCTTAAGATAGGTGAGTTTTGTATATAAATATTTATTTCATTATATATAAATATTTATTTCATTATGGAGTTAATGAAAACTAAGTGCAGTATATATGGACAACGATGGTTTTGATTAAACAAGCATACACTCAGTAGAAATAAATGTCTCAATTAGTAAAAATGAATAAAAATATATTGTTTTAAAAGAAAGTTATTATGTATTTATATTTGTAGATGTCAAGTATTATCTATCTAATCAAGTTCATCCAGTAGTATCTAGATTATGTGATCCTATTGAAGGAACTGATGCTGCCCATTTAGCTGAATGCTTAGGTAAGTTCATTCTGTAGTGTTTAGGTCATAAGATTGCTGTAATGAATGCTTCTCATTTCATCGGCTATATGTTTTTATAACTTAAGTTCTAAAATTTATATGCCCATTAATTATAACAGAAATTGGTGATGACTGTCCAGTTAGGTTAGTTCTCATATATGGTAAATAAATTTTGGATTATTGAATGTCCCTCAACATTCCAGTTGATAAGGTCTGACCTCTATATACATTATACATTTTTTTCTTGCTGACATTGGTCACATGATTAAATTTCTTTCTATCGAATTTAGAGGAGGGGGGGGATGGCAGAATGGTTAGCGTGTGCGCATTGTATCATAAGGTCTGTCATTGTATCTTGTGGCATGGTTTCAATTCCCAGGTTGTATGTGACAAAAAGTAGGGTCGCCTGTCCAACCTTGTGGGTTTTCTCCGGGTCCTCCGGTTTCCTCCCACTGCTAAGGACCCCTACATGCAAGCGAATTATTGAAATAAAATTGAACCATATGTTAGTCCCGAAATGAACTAGTTTGTGTCGAGTGGATGATGAACCCCATTTCTCTCTCTTATCAAATTTTGAAATGTTAAATAGCACTCTAGAAGATATGTATGTGTGTACGGTACTTATTATGTCTATAATATAGGTTTAGATCCATCTGGCTATCGACAAGCATCCCATAATAATCATGATGAAGAAGATGCATTGCTAGGAGATCAGTTAACAGAAGAAGAAAGATATAAAGACTGTGATAGATTTAAATTTATTTGTCCTGAAGTTAACTGTGGAAAGGAGATCATATTTGATAGTGTATTTAATGGAACTGTAAGTATAAATATTATTGATATGATTTTATAAAACTTTCATATTCTTAATACTAAAATTCTTAATAAGGAAGATCTAATTGGAATTAAATTTTTCCCCTATTTTTTCTTATTTTTGCAGGAAGCTTTCATAGAATGTTCATTGGCTAAATGTACTAATTCTACATGTCAGTCAAGTCCTAAAGATTATCTTCCAAGAATACAGAATCAACTTACTACAACAATTAGACAACATATTGAAAAATATTATGAGGTAAACTACAATACTTAATACAAACTAACTAGCTGAGAACTTCATTGTGATTATAATTTATTTCCCGAACAGAACTAGAAAACAATATTTTTGCATGAAACTTTGTACACTGATCAGTCGCATAATGAATGAAGTGGTACTTTTTGCTAATTAGACTTTCTTGGGTTTTTTTTTTTATTTTTCTGTATAAAATTAAGGCTCGGTTTAATCTGGTGAGGGTGTCGTAACTGGAGCAGATTCTGACCATTCCGTATTCTTTCGAAAAACTCTACACAAAGTGGAGCCTTTTACCATTTAGACTTTTTTGGCTTTACTATTCTTTTTCTGTTGTGGGGATCACGTGGGTAAGACGCTGGCTCGCTAGCCTGGAGGTCGGTTGTTCGATCCCTGCATTGGCGGAGAAAGTTCATCCAGATTTTCCGGCGTGGTTCCCCCTTGTCAGTGATGCAGGACGGAGGGCCTGAAAAGGACAGCTGTCTAGTCCTTTGGATGAGACGAAAAACCGAGGTCCCGTGTATACATTGGAATGCACGTAAAAGATCCCTTGGCAGTTGGAATTCGATATAAGAGTAGGCGATAGTGTCACTGCCCAGGCAAAATTTCCCTCATAGCACACTGTATGGTGTATGCCCGTCTTCATTAGCCCAGCATAGGAGCAGAACAGTAGGACGTTAAACCCCATTTCATTTTTATTCCTGTTGTTCTACTGATGTGCCTTTTGATGGCTCTTGATTGTTAATTTTATTATAAATGGGCATGTAGAAAGAAATGGATTAAATTTATATATTCAATATGTTTTGAGATTCAGTACGTTTTGTAAGAACTTGTCATGTTATTCTAGGGTTGGATGAAATGTGAAGATACAGCTTGTGGTTCTAGAACGAAGAAATTACCTCTTATTTTTCAACGGGGTCATCCTATATGTTCTGTTTGTCAGCGTGGTATCTTACATACAGAGGTAATAAAATTGTCACAACTCAGTAAAAATATTTAAGAAACTACATAAATTAGGATATTCTTTTGATTATTAATTGCGGAAAATATTAAAAGACATTATTACTATTATAAGCTGTTGCACTGTCTCTCTACTAGGAACTTTTGTTTGCTTTCAAATTGTCGTGTGTATAGTTTGTATCAAACAATGTCCAGAGTAGGAATCCCAGCTTTGGCCTAGACGACCTTTCAGAATTTGTCAAGTATGGTACCTGCTTGTCAGGGGTGGTACCTGCAGGGTAGTGGGTCTAGTTGTTTGGATGGGACAGAATGGCACACATAACCATAAAAATTACATATGTTGACGAAATGTTAAAGCCCAACCCATTGAAATGAAATGTAGTAATGCGTACAATATCACAGCAATGGTTTGGTAATTTGTCTAGAGGTTTGATGCCATATAAGTAAGAGAAACAGAGAGATAGGGAGAAATGGGGTTTAACGTTGCGTTTAATGGTATTTAGTTGTGGGAGGAAACTGGATGTATGAATGCAGCCATTAGCAGGAAAAATGATTTGTTATTCTTCTTATATGGCATGTTGTAATTAGGTGGCCGAAAGGTTTAACACATGTGCATTAGATCATAAGGTCTGTCATTGAGTCTAGTGGCGTGGTTTCAATTACTTAACATGGAGTAGGGTCACCTGTCCAACCTTGTTGTTCTTACATTTCTGACCAATTTTGTGATGATATAATTTGAAACTTTAATATCCAATTAGGGATGCCTGTATTTTTTACATGCTGTATGAAGCCACAGTGAACGAAATTCAAAATATTTAATTCTCTTTGAAAAGAATTGTCAGCCATGTTGCTTATTTCCTTTGCTTGTTTCAAAACGAAATATTGACCGCATGGATTGATTATTAGGAGTAAATAATGACTTGAGATAGGCTTTATATATATAATTGACAATTATCAATCAACTAATCTTTTTATACGCCCACATTTTCATGTGGACGTATATTGTCGTCGCCCCTCGTCCACAATTGTTTGTGAACAGTCTACAGGTCACAATTTTTATCCGATTTCAATGAAACTTGAAATATAGGTTTATCACCCAAAGATCTCGGTTCCTTTCGATATTGGCATCTATCGGACCGTAACTTCATGGATTATGGCCCCTGATTGTACGAAAAATCACATTTTTGGCTTGTGAACACTGTAGAGGTCACAATTTTTATCCGATTTTGTTGAAACTTGAAATATAAGTTTATAACCCAAAGATCTCGGTTCCTTTTGATATTCGCACATATCGGACCGTAACTTCCTGAATTATGGCCCCTGATTGTACGTAAAAATGCGTTTTTTGGCTTGTGGACCCTATAGAGGTCATAATATTTATCCGATTTAAAAAAACGTATTATTATATCACCGTTAAACCCTAAGGACGGTTGAGTTCGAATTTCGTGAAAATCGGCCCAAAACTGACAGACAAAATGGCCGCCGTTCGTTCTCAAATAGCGTAAAAATATGGTATATCAAGGTTGTGGACCCTATAGATGTCACAATTTTTATCCAATTTTGTTGAAACTGGAAATGTAAGTTTATAACACAAAGATCTTGATTCCTTTCGATATTCGCGCATATCGGACCGTAACTTCATGAATTATGGCCCCTGATTGTACGCAAAAACGCGTTTTTTGGCTTGTGGACCCTAAAGAGGTCATAATTTTTATCCGATTTAAAAAAAAACGTGTTAATATATCACCGTTACACCCTAAGGACGGCTAAGTTCGAATTTCGTGAAAATCGGCCCAAAACTGACAGATAAAATGGCTGCCGTTCGTTCTCAAATAGCGTAAAAATATGGTATATCAAGGTTGTGGACCCTATAGAGGTCACAATTTTTATCCGATTTTGTTGAAACTTAAAATGTAAGTTTTTAACACAAAGATCTTGGTTCCTTTCGATATTCGCGCATATCGGACCGTAACTTCATGAATTATGGCCCCTGATTTTAATCAAAAACGCGTTTTTTGGCTTGTGGACCCTATAGAGGTCATAATTTTTATCCGATTTAAAAAACCGTGTTAATATATCACTGTTACACCATAAGGGCGGCTGAGTTTGAATTTCGTGAAAATCAGCCCCAAACTGACAGACAAAATGGCCGCCGTTCGTTCTCAAATAGCGTAAAAATATGGTATATCAAGGTTGTGGACCCTATAGAGGTCACAATTTTTATCCAATTTTGTTGAAACTTGAAATGTAAATTTATTACCCAAGGATCTCGGTTCCTTTCAATATTTACACACATGGGACCGTAACTTCCTGAATTATGGCCCCTGATTGTACGAAAAATCACGTTTTTAGCTTGTGGACCCTATAGAGGTCATAATTATTATCCGATTTAAAAAATCATATTATTATATCACCGTTACACCCTAAGGACGGCTGAGTTCGAATTTTGTGAAAATCGTCCAAAAACTGACAGATAAAATGGCCGCCCTTCGTTCTCAAATAGCGTAAAAATATGGTATATCAGAGGTTACAATTTTTATCCGATTTTGTTGAAACTTGAAATGTAAGTTTATAACCCAAAGATCTTGGTTCCTTTCGATATTCGCGCATATCGGTCCGTAACTTACTGAATTATGGCCCCTGATTGTACGAAAAATCGCGTTTTTAGCTTGTGGACCCTATAGAGGTCATAATTTTTATCCGATTTAAAAAAACGTATTATTATATCACCATTACACCCTAAGGAAGACTTAGTTCAAATTTCGTGAAAATCAGCCCAAAACTGACAGACAAAATGGCTGCCCCTCGTTCTCAAATTGCGTAAAAATATGGTATATCAAGGTTGTGGACCCTATAGAGGTCCTAATTTTTATCCGATTTTGTTGAAACTTGAAATGTAAGTTTATAACTCAAAGATCTTGGTTCCTTTCGATATTTGCGCATATCGAATTGTAATTTCCTGAATTATGGCCCTTGATTGTAGGAAAAATCACTTTCGTTTTAGCTTGTTTCCTATCCATCTCTCGAAAATGTGGGCGTATCCTGCCTGGCAGCCGCTGGTCAATTTAAACATATTTTATTGATCATAAATCATCAAAGGGATGAGACAAATGAATTCACTTAAAATTGATTACTCATTGACACGATCCGGATTATCAGCCAGTTGATTAATTTATAGTATGCTGCCACGACTACGTAGTTGTGATTGACAATCAACGTAATGGTCAATAATCTATTTTCAGTTAGAATTTTAAGATTTTTTTTCAATCCACTTCTCAAAAAGAATCGCAAGTACCCTAAAACATTATAGCCAAAATCAAATTTTAATCGGCACTTTTATTTTTTATCGCAAATTGCAACTTTGGCGACCAACAGCGTGAACCCTGCTTGTGGGTTTTCTCTGTGTCCTCCAGTTTCCTCCCACAACTAAATACCATTACACGCAACATTAAACCCTATTTCTCCCTATCTCTCTGTTTCTCTTAAATGGCATCAAACCTCTAGACAAATTTACCAAACCATTGCCGTGATAATGTACGCACTTTAAGTTTTAATATATACACTTCAAAAAAAGTAGGGGATATTGAAATGCAAATACCTATGCAGGTTGTGATATGATCAATAGTCCTGGAAACTTGACATGCTTTGAGAGTATGTTCACAGATGAAGAACTAATCGCCCCAACAGATTTACTGTTTAGCGTATCTTTGCTTTAGTGTGTTACGTTTAATTTGATCGGGAGACTTGTTCGTCAACATCAACCGACAAGACTGCTAGAATTGGCCGTGGCACTGCAAGAGGAGTGCGTCAGATTGCCCCAAATTGTGATTGGACGGTTGATTAGGAACATGCCACGGCGAGTTGCTGAATGTCTGAGGATTGGTGGGGCAATTACTCATTATTAAAACAAAAATCAAAAACGTCCATTTTCACTTTTGACAGTTTGCAAGTGAAATGGAGCCGTCAGATAAGTGAGGCTAAAGTGAATATCTGATTGACTTTAAATTTATACACAGTGTTTAAGGTCATGAGACCTTTCTGATAATTACTGCCAGAGTTATGGCCCTTGAATTTATATTTATACACTTAGACTGATACACAGAGTTTAAGGTCTTGAGACAAACAAGTACAGTGTACTCTGTCACTTTCGACATCGTAAGGGATCGATACAATACGCCAGATTATACAGCCTGACGGAATACTCAAATTGTCTCAATTCTGAAGTATTATTGTACCTCAAATACCGGAAGAATTATTTCAATACACCTTTAAATACTCAGAACTTAAAATATAATAAACCTTTCTGTACATTCAAAATTTTCTTACATAATATTTGGTCCAAATATCATCTAATATTTATAGAAATGTTTTAATATTATTAAATTACAGTATAGTGATTCAGCTTTATATACACAGTTATGTTATTATCAGTATATATTTGATCCAGAACGAGCCTTAAGTCTTCTTAGTGAAAGAGATAGAAGTATGTATTTCTTTATTTAATTACATAATTATTATAGATAATCCTTTTCTGTTTTGATTGTTGGGATGGAACAAAAAGACAGGGTTCTCCCATGTACACATGCTATACATGCTAAACAACCCTTGACAGTTGGAAATTGACTGAAACCCCACTGTCTGGGTAAAATTATCCTATCTCATATTGCACGTGGAAATGAAAAATTACCAATGTCAGTCTCAAGTTGACCGAAGTATTATGTTGACAAGACACTTAAAATCTCATTCCATTCCTACCTTTCTGCAAGAGGGAGAGAAATGGGGTTTAACGTCAAACTCGACCCAAACTAAGTCTTTTCGGGAGTAACATATGGTTCAATTTTATTTCAATAATTCAATTGCACGCAGGGGTCTTAGCAGTGGGAGGAAACTGGAGGACCCGGAGAAAACCCATGAGGTTCGACAGGCAACCCTACTTCTTGTCACATACAAGCGGGGAATAGAAGGCTCTAATACTACTAATAGTGATTTTCACAGGTTTCTTCAGGGCTTGGACATAAACTGTGCAGTTACAAATAAAGTTAGATAGCTGGTATCATGGTTAGACCTGTTTCTGCTTGTGATATTCACAAAAAGTTATTAGACCTCAATTGTTAATTTTAATTCTCAACTACAGAACTCTGTCAAAACTATGCGAAGATCCCAAATTTCTTAATGCCACTGATTGTGATTTGACAGATTTTAATATGAAAGTTAAATCTCAAAAAGGAATAAATACATCAGTTAAAAAATGGTTGAATTCCATTCAGTATTTACAAAGATAAGGTGAATTTGTCAACATTCATTAAATAAAATGGTAAATAATCAATTAAACATGGAATAAGATATTAGATGTCTGATGATCAGCTGCTTGAATTACCATATTTGTTCCAAACTACCACAAGAGCTATCAATAGCTTAGCTTGAAATTTGTCTGAGAAAATCTGTCCGCTTGTTAAAGATCAAAGATTTGACCTCAGGTCATCTGTGTTAGTTTCCTCTCTTTCACATGTCCCTGTGATTCTCAATCTTATTTATTCATTCAATTTTCACATGTTGTTCACATCTCTCTCATCAATTCACATAACATTGTTAAAACATCAACATTTAGTCTACGAATTTACTTGAAATTCTCCAGCTGATTGATGTGCTTTGTCATCTATGTTTCAATATTGATTTTTATTAAAATTGATAAATAAACAAAATTATTTGAATAATACTTTGTTTGAGTAATATTTAAGAGATTTTTTCGAAAGTTATACTTAGAATTATACAGTGAAAAGTTGTTAAATTCCATATCCAGTTTGAATGCATTAAAATGTTATTGAAGTCGCAGCATGCCAAAAACCTTTATTAAACAACATTTAGGCCCCAAACTTATTCATATTGATCAGTTCTAACTGAATTTTTAGCCATTTTAAGTTTACATAGGTTTCTACCGATTTCACGTTACTTTTATCATGTGTCTTAGATAATAACATAAAATATAATTGTGCCATCTTTTTCATACAATCCACTCATTCTTTGCTAAAAGGAATATCAGTCCAAAAATGGTTCCATTCCAATCAATATTTGGTTTCCCCTTGTCAGTGGTGCCGGACAGTGCCTGACAATGCAGATGTCGAGTAATTCTGATGGGACGAAAAACCAGGGTCCTGTGTACACATTGGCATGCATGTAACAGATCCACTGGCAGTTAGAATTTGATATAAGAAGTGGGCCATAGTGCTGCTGTCTGGCCCGTATAGCACTGAGTGGCATAAGCCTGTCTTCATAAGCCCAGTCGGAGCAGAACAGTAGGACGTAGAAAATTTGTCAACATCTAACATCTTCTGCAGACAATGGGATATGATCAAAACAAACCAACGCCACCTATAATATTTACTAAAATCTTTTGATGGGTCTCTTTTTTTAACCCCATTCAATTTTATCAAATTTAAATAATCAATTGGAGTACATTTTAGCATGGATTGTGTGTGAAATAGCTTTATTTAACGTCAGCTTCCACTGAGGTGATATCGCAGACAAGCATGGATTAAACCATGAACAATTAAATATCTGTAAAATGCAAATGACGATCAGCATCTGTAATAGATTTATATGCTGGGATTATTTAACAGATAACCTTTGAATTTTGATTTACATAATCACGCAAAAGCTTCTTGGACTGAAATAGGTCAAATATAACCAAGTAAATGAATTTAATACACAATGTAGAAATATGAGTAGAATATGAAGATTTGACACTATTTCTCTTGAAGCATTATTGACATTAGCCAGGTGCATTGTTCACTGACCTCTGAGGTCAGCTCCGTGTTTACTACAAGCTTTAGTCTATTGACTAGTCTCACAGTTGTCTGTGGTACACCGTGTGGAGCACATGACTTTATTGTTTACTGACCAATCACAGTGTCTGTTAGCTAGGACTTTTGACACTGTGTAACAATGTGGGTTGAAGTTTAAAATGGTCAATAGATTAAAGTTAAAATCTTGTTGACCACAAGGTTACCTTGTCCACTAAGTTTTCTCTTGACTTAATTAAATTCAGCTTGTTCTCTCAAGTGGTCTATCAATAAGATCTATTGAAACATGATCAACATACAGTCAGTCTTCTTTTTTTTTTTTTTTACTATGAAACCTTAGTAGATCAGCATTAAAAATCTATGTGAGATATGAGGATAAGACATTCATTTAAATTTGTAGATTTTATTTCGCTGATAGGTGTAATATGACTGAAATCCTTGTACCATACTTAGATCATTTTCTAATATATTAATGGTATGAACTACAGTTTCATTTTCCATTGTAGCAGGAACCCTCACTTAGTACTGAAAAGTGACATCAGATGTTCTAGAAAAAAAACTTTCAGTAAAACACCCTTGACTGACATATTGACTTAAATCAAATAGATTATTTATATTTTTGTTAATTCCAGGTACTGCCAGATTAAAGGTTAAGGATTATCTAGCAGATTATGCTATTGTTAAAAGAACAGTTGATAGATGGATTAAACAAAGTGCTTATTCAGAAGTTAATCTCAATAAACTATTTGACGGATTATTTATTCTCAAATAATAAGGGAATTCCCAAATTAAATAATAAAATTATAAGTATTAACAATACCAGCATTTAAATGGGTTAAAAATTGGTGTTTCATTAATTGTTTTATCCAATAAGATATAACCTTTTAAAGAGTGTTGTAGGAATTTATAATAAAGATCATCTAATGAATTTCAAAGTTTCATGTATTTATTCCTGTAGATATGTTATACATTTTAAATCAAAACTATTAATAACAGATTGTACAACAACAATTGTTTTAGGCTTCCTTGTATAGTTTATTCCCAGGACTGATTTAGTATAAATAATTAAAAACGTTTTGTACATACTTCTTTTGAAATAGTATACTTATAATGTACATAATATTTATTTTAATTCTCAAATATAAATTTATAAACCATAAAGAATATTAATAAATGTTTCCTTTTATATATTTTTAGAAATAACACAAACAGAAATTTTTGTACCATCTACATTTGACCCATAATACTATGGGAAATATTTTTTAAAATTTATCCAAAGATATATAAATAGGAGATAAACTAAAAATTATTATTTAGGCGTACATTTTTAGGATGATAATACATGCATGACCTCAAACATATTATAAAAACTTGATTATTCTTTCCAGAATGCATTATTGTTTAAAAACATTTGTAAATACCTCGGTATCATAATAAATCATTTTGTAATACAACTGTTGTTTGTTTACTTCTTTATTATTATTCGTATGGTATCCTGAATTTAAATGGAATCATGCTACACAATTATGATATAATGTATACAAATGGTATATGTTTTGATCGATTTCATAACCCATACAGGGGCGGATCTAGGAATTTTGAAAAGGGGGGGGGGCGCAAAATGAGGGCACTGACCGCGGAGAGCCTCTGAGAGGGGGGTGTCCCCTCAAGAAAATTATCCGTCATTTCCTGCATCTGTAGCCATTCCAAGAGCTATTTGGCTGATATTTTCGTCTAAGTAAACGTTCGGAAATCGTTGAAAAAGAGCCTTAAAATTGAGCAAAAAAGCCAGTTGAACACACGACTCGAAAATTGTCAAGGCGAGCGAGGCATTATGATGGGAAAAAAGACGAATCTATTCCCTAGCCACTTCACTATTTAAGCCTTGTAACTTGTACTGTCCACACATGAAACAATGCTACTGTCATATAGTAATGTCACCTTTCATGGAAGAGTTCCCTCCCCTTTGTTCTTTATTAGAGTACTCGAGAGTTATCTCCCATATGTGGGATCTTTAGTACTTAGAGAGGTTGAATAAAACATGGCCTATCTTACATGTGGATTTTAGATTTAATAGACTTTAATCCATGCCATCCATGGTGAACCAGAGAACTACCCCCCACAGAGCACTACATCAAGTTGCACTAATGCCCGTCGGTAATGGGCATGAGTGTATAGTAGTATACGCCACCGATTCCACAAGATGCTATCATTGATGTCTGTCTATAGTCACGCTATAAGATTAGGGCACCGTCAGCTAAACAACAAGAATTCGTTTGAAAATGGAAGCATTAATTAGACCAGACTGGTGTGTTTGAGTCGATGGTTTGAGTCATTTGGGATCCCTGTAACGGGTTGGAAACGGACATATTTGGGTCTGAGAAAAGGCACTTTCAGCAGTAAAAAAGGGCACTGTCGAAATAGGGGGTTTCGCGCCCCCATTGGATCCGCCTCTGCCATACAACAAAAGTTATTTGCCAAAGAGAAAAACTAATGGTACTCTGGTACATCTTCAAGTGAATGAAATGAAATGGCATTTAACATCTTACTTTTCAGCACGAACTGGGCTTATGAAGATGTAACATCTTTAAATATATACCAGCTAAATTTAAAATCATAATATATTGATTTATTAAAATTATAAGAGAAACGGTGGTGTTATTAGACCAAGTAATATTGGATCATGTTTGACTGACATGGGACTCGAGTGAAAAAACATCAGTTACATATATATATATTTGCGTTGCTACAATAAATGTAGGACCTCATCAGGGAAGGGCAGCGCAAAGGAGCCCATTTAAAAAGAAATTGTGAATTGCTTGAAGGATTTCGATAAATGTTCATTGGCAGGCAACAAATTTATAACTAACAACATTATAGAATGGAAGTTTGTTGTGTCATTCCATGTCAAGTAGACCCAATTTTCAGAAAGTTTTCTGGTAACACGCTTAGAAAGTTATATGTTAATAAACTAGTACATATGTAAAACTGCCAAGTAATATGGCTAGCATTAAGATTAACAGAGGTATGACCTTCAGGGTCAACATTCACCTGTTTTGACACTACCATCATATTTGGTGTTCTAATTTTATTTCTTGTCAGTGTATATTCTTTGGAAGAACTTTTTATTTAGATTATGAATCCACTATACCGGTTTTCTGAAGAAATACTGTCAACTGTGTATGGTGTACATAAAGTTTCAAAAATCATAAATCAGTATTTCGAAATAATGCAGGAATTTTACCACACTACATAAAATAGTCATTCCATCCAGCTGCTGATAAAATTAAGATTAATTACTTTTCGAGATACCCCCATCTAATCGAATGGATTAGAATACACCTCATAAGTCATGAGTCCTTGGATCCAATTTTAAAACGTCATTTAGATGGCCTTAACCCTTGTGCAAACACGTCGCACGAAAAACCTTGTCGGCAACAAGGGGTAATCTAAAACCCTCGGACATAAATGGGTTTGCGGATGCATAATTTTATTCAAATACGATCAAAACTAGAACTTCATATAAAAACTGAAGAATAATCAATGAATTATAAGGTATAATATTCTAAACCATCAAAACCTGCAAATAACTTTTGCCATTCTTTTGTCGGTGTTAGTAGAGTTCCTAGATTTGTTTGCAGATCTAGATTACTAGAATGACAACCCAGAGACTCGTTTAACATGGTGACTAGGCGGCGCCGCCGTCGCGCACTGGCCAACGCAATATCATCAGTAAAAAAGATTCCAAATACAAAGCTTGCAGTGAGCGCAGAACAGATTAGGAACTTGTAACCAGCAAAATGTTTAGGAGGGCGCGTCCAGGAAGACCCCTTATTTCCGATAATGTAATACCTTTAGTTTCTTGTCAAATGGTGCCACTGCCTCGCTTTCGTTCTATTTGCAGCATTATACCCGACATTAAGTAGCTGGCAATGTATAAAATTCTCGCTAGACGATTATGAACCAGTTCCCCACGGGCTATACTATATACCGGAAAACTACCCGAAAACACCATGTTATACTGAATACCGGAAAAACACTAAATACCGGAAAAAACACTAAATACTGGAAACCACCCTAAATAGGTAACCCGGAGAAGGGCTATACTATAAACCGCAAACTAACCCTAACCCAGGCTCACAGATGACCAGGCTCCCGGTTACCTATTTAGGGTGCTAGTCTCCGGGTTACCTATTTAGGGTATTTTCCGGTGTTTAGTGTGTTTTCCGGTATTTAGTAGTTTTCCGGTATTCAGTATAAAATGGTGTTTTCCGGTATATAGTATTGCCGGTTCCCCACAAATCTGAAGGATGTGGTCGTGCGGTCACTGAATACCCCGGTTTTCCAATATTTCAACACGACTTCCGACTATATACAGGTAAATTTTCATTCGATTCATTATAAATTTGAAACTGTGGAGATGTTTTAAAAAATGCGTTGGATTTTTATACGCCCACATTTTCACGTGAACGTGTTATGCCATCGCCCAGTAGGCACTGTTTAGGTCAAACTTTGTATTCGATTCTGATGAAACTTAAAGATACATTAGTTAAGAGTTTTATAAAGAGATGGCCATTCTTGCTAGATGATAAAAACAGAAAATGTCAGTCAAATTACTTTGTTCTGAACGGAATTGTCACTGTCGGAAGTTTGGACTAGAAATAGGCATCCATTGTGTTTGCAACGTCTGTGAGAATTCGCGATCGTTTGATTGACAGACGATAACTCCACCCACATATTCTCGATTGTCAAGTAACATGCTCAATGCTATGGTAGCCTCGCTTGGCAGGCCTTTCATCACCAGTTTCCGGTAGTGACAACAGCGGCGACTAACTGTATCCAAGCCATCCTTGGGTCTACAGAGTTGATTTTGAGCTTCTCTTATAAATAAAGGTCTAATTAATAATGTCTATAATAATAGATCTTTCTTTAGGCCTAATATACTATTCAAAAAAAGTAGGGGATATTTGATTTTTAAGTGTTATTAAAGTCACCTAATGAAACTGACGAAGAAACAAATGACAAAATGAAATGAAGTTCACATTCATCGATTTATTCCAAATGATCGTTAGACTAAGTAAGGCACAGACTGACCATTATAAGGGTAAAATGATACCCGGGGTCAAACAGCAAAGTTACCACAGCATCACAACCAAGTCAGTAACGGGTAAATCCTCCTCTGTTTGCCAAACAAGCATTGATCCGACGTGGCATACTCCTAATGAGACGTCTAAGGTCATTTTGGTCCAGATTGTCCCATTCCTGTTGCAACGCAGCAGCAAGTTCTTGGACATTGGCAGGACGTTGACGTAACCTCTGTCCAAGCATGTCCCAGACATGCTCGATGGGGGAGAGGTCGGGTAATTTGGCCCAGGTAATGTGGTGATGTTCTGTTGTTGGAGGTAACCTGTAACGATCCTGGCCCTGTGACATCTTGCGTTGTCATCCTGGAAGATGAAACGGCGGCCATGACGTCGTGCGAACGGCACAACATGGACTGCCAAGATGTTGTCCCGGTAGTACTGGCCTGTAACACGCCCTGCAACAACATGTAAAGCCGTTCTTCCAGCAACAGTGATGCCTCCCCACACCATAACAGAACCACCCCCAAATCGATCATGTCTGATGACGTTAACGTCTTGGAAGCGCTCGTTTCGACGACGCCACCCCCTCCTATGTCTGTCCAAAAAATCAACAGTGAACCTTGACTCATCTGAAAACATCACATTGCTCCAGCGTCGATTATCCCAGTGTTGACGATCCCTACACCAACGACGTCTTGCCTGAATGTGATGATCTCTCAAACAAGGGATCACGCGAGGACGTCGGGCGCGAAGGTGACCCCTATGCAGTCGATTCCGAATCGTCTGGCCACTCACTCTCACACCAGTGTCTGTTTGAAGACGAGCGCTGATCTGATTTGCTGTGATGACACGATTTCTCAAGGCCAAGGTACGGATAAATCGATCCTGGGCTTGAGTTGTCGCCCTTGGTCGACCTGAGCGTGGTCTGTCCTGTACAGATTGTGTATCACGGTATCTGGACCATAGCCTGCTTATGACAGACTGAGAAACATTCATCGTACGCGCCACAACCGCCTGTGTTGTGCCGATCTGTAGCATGCCAAGGGCACGTAACCTTTCATTTTGGGTAAGCCGACGCATATCAAAATTTGTTTTCTGGTCACTAAAACAATTAAACTGATGTTTCCACCCTGGAATTCAATGCCACAATGACTGTAACATTCAAAGTCAGAGTCGTGCAAATCTTGGGTTGGACCCCCATGATGATCCCAAGCATCACCTGCATTCCATGCGGTAGCTATTGGTGCGTTTGGGCGTCACATGTAACTGGAAATGTTTCTTCTGTTAGGTTCTATAGTGACTTTTTTCGTAGTCATTTGCATATTTTAGTATTAT